AGTGTCTCTAAAGTATAAACTGGATCCCATCTGCTCTATATTCACCGCTGAGCTAGCAGCCATAGATCTGGCTCTTGAGTGGGTAGTCTGCAATCGTCCGTCATACCAAAAATTCATTATTATGTCAGACTCACAATCAGCTATACGCGCATTACAAAATGCGCCTTTTCACATATACCACAACAAAACCATCGTCTCAATACTGGAGAAGGAGTCTCAATTAAGACAACTAAGGAAATCGGTGGCATTTATATGGATAAAAGGTCATGCAAGAATTGAGGGGAATGAAATGGCAGATCGACTGGCTAAGGTAGCCGCCTCGTCCGGAGAAGAAAAACAATACGTAACTAAAACTGACATAGCCTCGTCGAGGAAGCTTAATATGAAAAAGAGCTGGCAAATGGAATGGACTAATTTCTGTACCAACAATAATAACCAATACTGCAAAATTTATCCAAACCTCCCTGACTCCCCAATAGAGTTCAGAAGCCACGTCAATAGGAGAGTACACTCAATGTACTTCAGATGTTTGGTCGGACATGCTACAGTAAAAGCTTACCTGCACCGCTTTGGTCTCGAAGAATCGGATACATGTAGCTGTGATGGGAATAGGGATGATATCAATCATTGGTTGTTCCAATGCAAATTCAACTCAACCGCTTCAGTTTATATGATGAGTGAGCTGGCTACACTTGGTGTTCCATTTCCTCAAAGTCAAACCTCCCTTCTGTATTCAAGCACTCACAATTCATCAATTCGAAAAACTCTATGGGACTTCTTCAAGAGAGCCAGACGGAAAATATAATTAACGAGTTACACGAATTTAGAATTCAGTGAGATTGTCGTGTGACTTGAGTTATTTTTACCTGTGTTTTTGCCTATCTGTTATTAAACCTACCAACCGTTGCCTGTGTTGTCTGTCTTTAAAGTCGTCATGACCGGCACCTTGACGTGAAACGTGTATCCCCGTTCCTCCCTAATCTTGGTTCTTCTATTATAATTTCCTGGTTTTGAGTAGGGCCCTGTTACCTGTATGTATGTGGATCTATACAATATTGCTAGCAGCGGATCTATATGTTTTATTATAAATTTGAGCATGTTTATATCACTCTCGTGGCCGAATAGGCTAGAACTCCTAAGGCCAGTAATAAAAAAAAAAAAAAAAAAAAAAAAAGTTTTCCTACTCCTTTTGATGACATACTGCCCTGGATCATAATGGATGCTGGAAATTTCACTTTTCTCTTCAGACAGTCAACATGGAATACTTCATTTTTTGCGAATAACTCTACTGCGACTGTCACCAACACAAACTTCGAATCGGGCCTCATCACACCATTGTATTGCACACCGTTGTTGAGGTGTCCATTGTCTATGTTCTTTAGCCCATCTAAGCCGATTTTTCTTTTGCAGTGGAGTTAATAGTGGCTTTTCTTTGGCCTATAAACAAGTTGTGCAACTTTAGGGTTTTTACTTCACTTTTTTGTATAAGAAAACTTAGCTTGCAAGTGCTAAATCCCAGTTTGTGGGCCTCTCTATGAGTTGTGGACCTCGAGATGCTCCTTCCAACAGCGTCACTCCACAGAGCACTTAATTGTAAATAATTGGCACGCCTGTTTTTCACGATTATTCTTCTTAATGCTCTTCGGTCGGCATTTGTGATATTACTTTTTTTCACTTATCGTGGCTTAATATTAACTGAACCAGTTACGTTATATCTTCTAACAATATTTCTCACACTGTACCGCGATAAGTCTAACAAAGTTGCAATGTCTGAGTTTGATTTCCCAGAATTAAAAAAATTAATTATCAGTAACCGAATTTTCTCACTAATAACCTTTCCTCCACCCATTTTGAAAACCTTAACTACACAAAACTATTTTAAACGTATTCTGACAGCTGTGATTAATAAAAAGAATTGTCATGGCTTTTATTTTTCACAGCCACCTATGCGTTATAGACTTATTTTGCATTGAAATGAAAATAGGTTGATATGCTGTAATTGCAACATGTGTTATTTTTATGCTGCAAATTTGATTAGGGAATGATAAGGATGGTGTTTTCTGCTATACAGGGTGTTTCAGTTTATTGTTGCATAACTTTAAGATTCGATAGAACTTTTAAAATTAATGCATAAAGTCTATATAGACATGGGTCGAAAAATGCGTGGCTTCCGAAATACAGGGTGTTTAAATTTACTTTCTAAAATAGTTTTTTTTAAATATTTTGAACAATATTTGATGTATAACAGTGGAAATTGGTATACAAGGGTTTTTTGGTACAATAAAACGAACCATGGGCGTAGTTTTACTGTAGCCGCTAGAGGGCGCTCTCTACTGTACCTGTAGTGTATTAAAATGACCGAAAACTTTTTCTTAGTGCAATTTTTTGCTTTTTGAATAAAAAAACTGATTCTTCGCACTTTCCAACATAAAAAAGCTCTCTTGTGAATTTTCGTTATAGTTATCCGTTTCTGAGATATTTCGATTTTTAAGGTTCGATGCATTTTTAATTTATTTATGATAAAATATCGTTAAAAAGTCAGTATCTCGATAATTTTTAGAAGTAGGCTGTGCGTGCAAATATTTTTGAAATTGAAAGCATAATAAGGTTAAACGTCAATTAGTTGACAGTTAGTTTTGTTGTCTGATGACACCTGAAACGTTTTTTTGCAATTGTGAATACACGAAATTTAGTTTCTTTTACCTGTTTTTTTTTGTAAGTTTTATAAAAATGCCATTTTTATTCTCTAATCAAGAGTTAGCGGATATTCATTTTGTGTATGGCTTTGTAAATTGAAACGAAGCAGAAGCAGCCAGAGAATACGCACGAAGATTTCCAAACAGACGACATCCAACTCGCTCAGTATTTGTAAGAGTGCATCGCCAAATAATTGAAAATGGTTTTGGAAATTTCCAAAGGGATCAAAGCATAAATGTTCGTCAGCGCAGATTTACCCGTATGATTCTGCGTGAGTTTGATAGAGATCCGACCACAAGTGTTAGGAGAGTTTCTGGTGCTTTGGGAATTTCAGCAAGCCAATGTTCACCGTGTTCTTAGAAATGACCATAGACTTCCTTGCCATTTGCAACCTGTGCAAGGACTACAGCCAGAGGACGGAGAACGAAGAATGACATTTTGTCAGTGAATTCTTGATAGAACTGATAATAATAGGGAGTTTTTAAGTAACGTTTTATGGACCGATGAGTCATGCTTCACTAGACGTGGAGTGCTAAATTTTCATAATCAACATATTTGGTCGCATGAAAATCCGCATGCAGTTCGGGAAAGAAATTTTCTGCACGAATTCAGTGTGAACGTGTGGATTGGTACCTACCGTAATCGACTATTTGGACCCTACCTTTTGCCTGCAAGGTTAAATGCTGCGACCTTCTTGGAATTTTTAAAGGCTGAACAATCAAATATGTGGGATGATGTTATGTTAGATTTAAGGAGATTGGCCTGGTTCCAGCTTGATGGTTGTCCAGCTCATTATTCGAGAATAGTTAGAAACAGGCTGGGCGAACATTATCCAGAAAGATAGATCGGCCGTGGAGGTCCAGTCGCCTGGCCTCCACGATCCCCTGACCTAAATCCATTAGATTTCTTTGTGTGGGGATTTCTAAAAGAAAAAGTGTACCAGACTCCCGTAACCACAAGAGATATGCTAATAGACAGAATCAGGAATGCATGTGATGAAATAAGGCCTTATTTGAATAATGCTATACCACGTTCGATCATTCGTAGATGTGAATTGTGTATTGAACAATTGGGTTTACATTTCGAGCAACTACTTTAGATTTTGTATGTTTGTCCTAACTATCCAATAGCATTTTAGTTGTAAATAATTAATTTAATTTGTTAAAAATAATATTGAAAAATTAAACAAATTAATATTCTGTTTTTTGTGTTTATTTGGAGTTAGGAATTATTGCTGTGTTTAAAAACACAATCTAAACGATCATCTTAATTACTTGTAATGCCCAAATCGAAAATGTAAAAAAATATTATTTTCCCATAAATAAATAATTAAAAATGCATCGAACCTTAAAAATTGAAATATCTCAAAAACGGCTAACTATAACGAATATTCACAAGAGAGCTTTTTATGTTGAAAAGTGCGAAGAATCAGTTTTTTCATTCAAAAAGCAAAAAATTGCACTAAGAAAAAGTTTTCGGTCATTTTAATACACTACAGGTACAGTAGAGAGCGCCCTCTAACGGCTACAGTAAAACTACCAAAAAACCCTTGTATACCAATTTCCACTGTTATACATCAAATATTGTTCAAAATATTTAAAAAAACTATTTTAGAAAGTATATTTAAACACCCTGTATTTCGGAAGCCACGCATTTTTCGACCCATGTTTATATAGACTTTATGCATTAATTTTAAAAGTTCTATCAAATCTTAAAGTTATGCAACAATAAACTGAAACACCCTGTATATTATCAAAATATTCATTGTTAATATTTTAAACCTATAACACCCTGCTACATTTTTATTATTTGTGTTTGATAAGAAAAAAACTAAGATATCAATAGTTGGGCCAACTGAAGTGGGAAGGGGCTCGTACTTCTTTTGGATCATTCTTATCAGTTCCTTAAAACGCTTTCAAACTTGGTTGTTGTTCTGATGAGTAACTACAAAAGATTATCATTACGTGAGCTGTTTAGAACTTGATGAAGGACTTGAAAGAACTTTCTGCATTCGCAATTTTTAATTTACCGATAACCTGACAGACAGTGGTCAGTAGGTCAAATAGTAAAAATGTTAAGGTGGCAAGTTGCATACTAGGTCAAGACATTCACCTTAGGCAGAGAAATTCTTCTACTTCTTCAACTGTCTGTCTAACATCCAGTCAACTTTCAGATGTCTCTGATGCAACAAAAGCTTAGAGGTTGAGATTCAGCAAGTTGATTTTTGCAAGGCGTTGCGACCGAAAATGACTAGACCGTTATCTCTCTCGCTTCATCACATCACACCCGGTGTTCTTTCGCAGGTTTGTTCCGATTACCGGTGAAGCCATGGAGAAAGATGACCAAATAAGAAAATACTTCAGCGTTGACGATAACCCTGTTACTCTATCACCTCAGAAGGAAACAAAAGCGAAAATTACTTTCAAACCGACTCAGCAAGTGGAGTTTGTCAATCTTCCAATCTTTATATGTAACGTGGTAGATGCTGCCAAGCCCGATGTTGTGATCACCTCTTTTCAACTATCATTCAGTGCCAAAGTCTTCTTGTCTAGGTAAAACAACAATAATTTTAGGTTCTACATTCTATTTTACATTACAGAGCAATATTTTTAGTTTTTTAATATTGCAGGTTTGAAATATGTCCAGCAAAAGATATGTACTTTGGAGATCTGCCAATATCAACAACAAGAACGCAAACGATAGAATTGAAAAATGTTGGGAAATTTCCCTTTAATTATACGATTATTAGCCACAAGATGTGGCTGGGTCAGCTGGCCAAAAAAAGCAGAAGTAGTAAGTCCTTCTAACTTCGATCTTCATTTGATTTGGGCTTTCATTTATCTGGCTTTTTTTGCGCCAAATCTGTTCAGCCGTTTTGAGATAATAGCCCGAGATTGTGCACAAGTCTGGTATTTATTCAGGCGCTATTGTAATCGACAAACAGTGCACCTTTACAGGTTTTATTAATTTTGAATGTTGATCAAAATCTAGTGTAGCTAGCAGCCCAAACCTGAATTTTCGTGCTGTTGAATATATTATTACAACGTAAAAATACAATGCTATAATATAGTATTATAGACACAGCGTGGTCCAACGAAAAGGTCGCACCCCCATTTGTGATCTCCTTGTGTATTTTGGGGAAAACGCTCGGACACGTCAATTTTGTTTCATACAAATTAAAAAAAATGAGCTATTGCATTACACTTTAGATTATTGAATGCAATAATAAAAATTTTGTTCGAATCTATTCCTCACGTTTTCAAGCATGACTTGGTTATCTGTCGACATCTAGCCGTAATCCACTGAAGAAGATCTTGAATGGAATCTGTCTTCGTACTAAGAACTTTACTTCTCAAAAGCCCCCAAAGAAAGTAATCTAAAGGACTTAGGTCCGGAGATCCTGACGTCCACTCGATAGGGACTCGTCTGCCAATCCACTGATTTGGGAAATGGGTGTCCAAAAACTGTCGTACTGGAGCACATAGTGCTGCGGTGCACCATCTTGTTGGAAATAAATGTAGTCTCGCCCGTCAAGTTTTTTAGCAATAAAGAATGATTTCCGAAAATGCCGACCCACACATTTATTTTTTCAGGGTATTGCGAGTCAACCTCTCGAAAAAAATGTGGATTCGAGTCATTCCAGTATCGACAATTATGTCTATTCACAGCACCATGTAAATAGAACGTACAGTCATCCGAGAAACAAATATCAAATAACAGATTTGCATTGCTGATTAAACGGTGGAACATTAATTCGCAAGACCCCAACTTTTTACCAAAATCGTCTTTATTAAGTTCATGGACAAGTTTTATTTTGAATGGGTGAAATTTATTGTCTTTCAAAATTGTTTGTACTGTTGAGCCTGTAAATCCTGAAGAAGCAGCCAGTCCACGAGTGCTTTGGGTGTTGTCAAGGGCTACGTTTCCCAAAACTGCTATTTCTGCGGCTTTCTAACTGGCCGATTTTCTCGACGGCGATTACGGCGAATATTAGACACAGATCCAATTTCTTCAAATTTTCTTATCATCTTAGCCACATACTTTTATATGTTTGGCTGGATGTAACGCATGAAATAACCGAGCAGTACCTCTTGCAATACTCCCATTTTGATAGTACAGTTTTGTTATTTCTACCCTTTCTTGAATTGAATAAGTCATTGTTCAATATTTATCACAACTAGGTAGGTAATTTAAAAATTTGAAATGACAGTTTTTCTTTGACATACGACGACGCTGACTGATGCTAAATGTTCTTGCTGGTATACATTATTATTATTATTATTTTTCCATTCCATTATTAGTCTAATCATATTAGACGAAAATACCTCTGGTTCGCGAAATAATTGTAAAGTCTGGTTTTATTGCTGCGAGTTGTTCAAGGGGTATTTAAAACATGGACGCATAAAATGGGTACACCAATTCTGGTGGGAAAACTTTTTATTTGACAACAAAGAATGAGAAAACGTGTTTCTTAAGATTCAAACGAAACTTTTTTTATAAGATTTTTAGGTATTTATGAAACCTACAAGATAAGAACACACGTAAAAAGATACGACTAATAGCAAAAAAGTTATGGCCGAAAACCGAGGCAAACTGCAGGTTTTGGCACTTTTTGGTAATGCGACGATGGTTTCTTACGATACTTGAAATTCTTTAAATTCGTAGGATTAGTACTTCTAAATAACCACAACGAAATTGGAGTAGATTGGTCAAGGAGTTTTTGAGCATTTCTAATTGTTTATCCCAAAGCACCTGTTTTCCGGCCATTACTACTAGTTTATTTAGCAATATACAGGTTTAGCTCAAAGGGCATTTTGAGTCGTTTTGTTTTTCGGCCATAACATTTTTGCTATTAGTCGGATATTTTTACGTGTGCTCTCATTTTGTAGGTCTCATAAATATCTAAAAGTCTTATATGGAAAGTTTTTTCGTTCCCGTCAACCCTTTCGATTGATTCCCCAAAAAAACACGTTTTCTCATTCTTTATTGTCGACTAAAAAGTTTTCCCACAAAAATTGATGTACACCATTGTCCATGGTTTAAATACCCCCTTGAAGAACGTGCACCAATAAAACCAGACTTTCCTATTACTTGGGGGACATTTGCTTATATGAGCCGTTGAAAGCCAGGATGGTCCAAGTCCAAATTTTCAGATATCGAGGTTCTATGTGTATACTGTTCTGGATGGATCAATCTTTGTCTGGGAGAGTTTTGAAAAATGTATCTTTTCGTTTTGCACACAGATGGCACCAGTCTGTTTTTATATGTCAATGGAAAGCTGTAACCGTTATGAGGCAGAATGGGACAAGTGTGACTTAACCCATTGTGGTTTTCAATAGTAGTGTCAAGCGGGCAAAAAATAGCATCAAGTACGTGCCAGAAGACTGGTATACAACAATAAGAACATGCAGACCCAGGAAACCCTTTTACGTCTGTGAGATGGAACGGTCTGATTTTTTCTCATCAACAACATTAGAGAAAACAGTAACAAGACGAAAGAAAAATGGTACTAATGCCACTGTATCATGGCTCTAGATCCAGTGGCTACACTTTGAGAAAAAAGAACCTTACACAATTTTTTATAAAGAAACTTTGAATGAAGAACTTCCATATGATTTTATAAATTTACTACCAAATAGGAAAGGCGCACCCAAAAATTTCAAAAATATAAACCTACCTCCTTTGTATGAATCCCCTCTTCCTGTCAACGACAAAAAGAAGAAAAACATAGAAGAGCTTCTCCAATTCATACCACCAGTTCATCACAGTTTTTTTAAGAATCTGAAGACAGATGCAACTTTGCCAGATACCGGACCACTGCTTGTTACTAAAGAAGAAGAAGGAGAAGGCGAACAGACTCGAGAATTTCCGGAAATTCCATAAGGTCGTGTCAGTACAGCACAGTTTTTGTGTAGAAAATATACATTATTTTTTTACTGTATGGAGATTGATTTCTGTCGTTTTGTAATAAAATTATCAATTCACATAATATTGTGTAACTCTACTTTAATACTCTACTTTACTATAATCTTTATACAAGTATGAAACCAAAGGTAAGAACCGTTTTAAGGCAGAGTGGGCTTAAGCTTAAACATATGAAAAAAAAACACATGAACACAAAATGTTCATGTATTTTATGATAAGATACTTAAATTGATTCTACCTTTAAGGGTATTTTGATTTCTTACTGCTGTTTTATTATTCTACATTTATCAGCCGCATCTAAACTTTAAAACCGTAAATCTCGGAAACGTCTTTTTGTGACTTGGACCATCCTGGCTTTCAATGGCTCATATGATTAGACTATATTATCAGTATTAAGTTAGTTGAATTTTGTGATAAGCTCAGATAGCTTCACAACGATTGATGATAGGTATATACTTTATTATACAAAAGTTACTAAAAACTTCATCAAAAATCTAAAAATTAAAAGCATTGAGGTTTCCATTTAAAAATCTAAAGTGTAACGCAATATCTAATTTTTTGATCACCTTGTATTATATATCTATAGAAGTCAAAATTGACGTGTCCGAGCATTTTCACAGAATATACCAGGAGAGTCACAAATGGAGGTGCGATCTTTTTATTGGGCCACCTTGTATACGTGGCGTGCCAATTAAATTCCAGGAATTTGTCAATAAAAAATCAAATTTTACGTTAAATTTTATTATCGACCTTCACAATAGTCTCCATTTAACTATACACAACGCTTCCGTCGCTGCTCCCACGATTCAAAACAAGCTTGGTAATCCTCTGGAGTTAGACCTTTCACCACCTGCGTTACAGCTGCTTTCACCTCATATATGCCACCATGATGAGTTGCTTTGAGGTGTGTCTTTATCTTAGGGAATAAGAAAACGTCACAGGGGGCAATATCGGGGCTATGAAGTGGGTGCGGCATCGTTGGGATGCTCTCGATTTTCGCATTTGTTTTTGTTCATGGGTGACAACTTTTGGAACCATCTTTGCGCAAACCTTTCGCATGTTCAAATTCTCATGTAACATTTGCCATTTCTTTGTTCATGTTTAGCTTGTCAGACAATGCACGAATGCTTAGGCGCCGGTCAGATGTCATCAGAGCGCGCAAACGGTTGACATTTGCGTCGCTACGAGAGGTTACGGTAGCCCCTTCACGTGGATCATCTTCTACTGATTCACGCCCCTCTTTGAACCGTTGGCCCATTCAAACACGCGTGTTTTCGACATGCGCTTGTCTTCATACACCAGCTGCAATTTTCTGAAGATTTCCGAGGGTTTTTCGTCTGATTTCACTAAAAATTGGATCACAACACGTTGCTTGTAATGAGAGTCACTCATTTTCACGACACCACTCAAAAACTTTCCTTCAAAAAATACCCACAAAATTCAAACCACACGTCAGTTTTGGAGTGGAACTCAAAAAGAGGGCGCTTATGCCAGGCAGAAGTTGACAGGTGACACAGTGTTGCCAGACCTCAAGTTATTACTGCATTCCCGAAATTTAATTGGCACACCACGTATAGGGTATTACCATTGCTGAACATATCAATCATTCAGTATTTTTTCACAAAGAAATGAGTGTTCGAATTATTTTTTTATAGAAATGCAGCTAGATGGTAAAAAGGGCAAAGGTAAGAAGGGTAAAGGTATTGGAAGTAGCAAAAGTAGCAATGGAAGCAAGAATAGCAAAAGCGGTAGTAATAAAATTGATAAAACAAAAAAGCCAGAAAAAAGTAGTCAAGTAGATAAGGATAGAGGAAGCAAAGGCAAAGGTAGCAAAGAAAGTAAGAAGGATAAAGGAAAGTGAGTATTATGTTGTCAATGAAGTTTCGCTTCAAAACGGTAGCTAGAAATTTCGATAAATAGTAGACCTCATGCTTGGAATTGTGTTTGAAGTTAATGTAACTCCTGAGGGTGTCATGCTAATCAATCTCCATGTTTTATTGACCTCGAAATGAAATTACAGATTTGGAATTGAACTGTTTACTGAAGTTTCTGTCATCTCAGTCGTCTTGTTTAAAGAACAAAAAATGATAATGACAAAATACTTTATGAATAAATGTATAGTTTATATGGTGTTGCCAGAAGTGACCTAGAACCAGGTTTTGCCTCCCAAACATTACTGCTACAACTATGAGGCCAAACAAAGGTCGTCAAAAAAGTATTTATGTCTCAGAAGTTTCTTTATTCTTCTATACGCTCAAATCCTTTTTTAGAAAAGAGAAAACAAAACCGATAACAAAACTAAGCATCCCCGGATTTGTTATACTCCCGTCAACAGGCACAGTTAAGCCAGACGAAACGGAAAAAATAGAAGTTCAATGCACTCCATTAGAAGCGATTGCTTACGAAGATGCTATAGTGATACATATATCGGAGCCTAGAAAGTGTGACCTAAACGGGAGACACTTGAATCTACATGCCAAAGGATCAGAGCCTCATCTTGACTTCAAAGATATCGATAAGGTTTTTAGAGAGCAATATATTGTGGAGACTGTAGACGACTTTATACAAGGCGTAAGGATACTCTTGTTTTAATAGCGACATGTGATAAGGACGTTAAAAATATGGGCGTATCCAGGGAGGGCAAAGGGAACAGCTGCCCCCTTTCCTCTAGCTCGGCAAAAATTAAATGATGAGATCATTTTAAATTAAATTTATCATCTACAGCAGTGGTGTAAAACTGCTTGTCAACAACGTTTGATAACAGATTATAATAGCTCTTGATATGTACTCATATACTATATAATATTACGACCCTAAATAACAGCATTCAATTACACTCCACGCATGGCGCTCATATATAGCAAATATTTTCTTCGATAATCGGATCGAATTCCAAAGATGCAATGTGTATAAAAGAAATCCATCATTTGCGGCCGATGGGCGATATATCTCCTGAAAATATATGTACATGCAAACCTAAGAGTTGTGAATTATAAAGGGTGTATCAATAAGAACGCAATATTTGAATTTAGCTCCATTTTGGCAGTCATAATGTCATAATGATTGTGACATGACAGATCGATAGTAGATAGGAGGAAGTTTATGAAAATGAATCACTACACAATAGAACAGCGTATCCTAATTGTTAAAAATTATCACCAAAATGGTGAAAGTTTAATTGCCACGATTCGAAAAGTGCAGCTAATATTCGGTCGGAATAATGTTCTTACCTCATCCACTGTGAAAAGAATAACCCAAAAATTTGAAAGTACTGGTTCTGTTAATGATGTGGAACATACGAGACGACCTCGCAGCGGTCGTTCAGAAGAAAATGTTAGAGTATTTCGCGTAAATGTAGCCGAGAGTCTAGGGACGTCGATTCGTCATCGCGATCAAGAATTGGATATTGAAACATCCTCTCCCCAGTGTATTCTAACGAAAGATTTACACCTGCATGCCTATAGAGTCCAATTGATTCAACAGCTTATGCCAACAGACCATGCACAGCGAAGAAAATTGAGCAATTGGATTTGGCCAACAGTATGTGAATGGTGATTTTGTAGACGAAATCATTTTCAGCGATGAGGCCCATTTTCATCTCGATGGCTTCGTTAATAGACAAAACTGCTGCATTTGGGGCACAGAGAATCCAAGAGTAATTCATGAGAAAGCTATGCATCAAAAACGTGTCACTCTTTGGTGTGCACTATGGTCTGGAGTATTTATTGGACATGGTCGGACCTACAGACAGACCGGCAGACAAAACTATAGACAGACCGACATACAGACAAGACCGACTGACGGAAATAAGTAATATCATTTTTCGTGATATAAGGCCATAAATTGACCCCCTCTAACGTTTTTATATGACCTTCCAGAAAAAAGTTTCATATAAAAGTTATAGGGTCTATCATGAAATTTTTCGTGTATTTCTTTTTTGTCTCAGGCCGTGGTATTTATTCCTGGCTTCAGTTGAGGTAAGGTTTCAGAATGAATCACGCATTAAAAGTTCGCAGATGGGTCAAATTAATCAGTTCCTGAAGATACCGAATCAAACTAAGCATTAAAGAGACCAAAAGTGGATTGGAGATCCTAGCACCATCTATGCGACAGTAGTAGAATCAAGCGCTCTGTCTCTTTTCGTAGTAGATTTCTTAATTAATTTTTGTGTTCTGCTGTCTCATATATGGCGCTGGTACAATCTTCGATGTTTTCAGATTGGGGCTTGCTGTGCTTATATCAAGTCAGAATCGGTGCTATATTTTAAGAACGCCTGCGTCCGAAAGACATCTTCAGCGAGGATATATCTTAAAAATATAGGTGACGTAATAGCTAACGTCGTTTTGAAGGTGGACAATAAACAGACTTACAAGGTTTCTCCTAGCGAGTGCATCATTGAAGCCTACAATACAGAGACTGTAACAATTGCTTTCACCCCTGATTCAATAAACGTGAGTAGATCACTTTCGGAGAGTCCTACACATCGGGCATAAGATTCTCGAGAAACAGTTCCAACTAGCATTTTTTCCTAATAAAGAATAATCGTATGTCGCTTTTCATAATGGCATAAGGAAAAGTTAGAAAATACAATTTTGGAAAATATTTTCAAAGGTTAAAAAATGTGTGTCTTCCCTAAAGTACACTAATCACACCACATTTGATGTCTTTATATCAATTCTGCATAGTTCTGATAATTTAAAGACCATTCTAAGATAAAATAAGTAGAATATACAAAACACAGGATATACACAGAACTACTCCAAATAGGAGCAGAGAGTATGTGAAAAATACTTCACGTTTTTCAAAAATAGGAGTACTTTTATCTAAATAATTTTCAACATTTTCAACATTCTCAAAGATTTCAGAATTATAAAAATATTATAAATTTACAATTTTGAAAATTTTCAATATTTCCGATATCTTCAATATTTTCAATATGTTCGACATCTTCAATATTTCCAAAAATTTCTAAATTTCACTTCCAACATTTTTTAAATCTTAAAAATTTCCAAGATTCTTCAAAAGTTTAAAAATGTAGAGAGCAGGCTCCGCCGGCACTTTTGAATATCAGAATAGTGTGCCTAATTCAACAAGCTGCTGGTGAATTTCAGCAGGATTAACTTTTTTTGCGCTTAAGCCGAATTTGCTGATAGACATGACAAAGCAATATAACCACGTAACGAACATCGACAGAAGTGAAACGTAATGGCGGCGTCGTGAGAGACTGGCCAAGAGTGTCTGAGATTGAGCGGAGGTCAGGACACAGGATGCGCGGACACGATGCGCGATCGGATCTTACCTTAAAAATGGCCATCGAGTATTGTTTTCAATTAAGTCAAAGTAATCAAAAATACTCATCAGAATCCTGAAAGATGTGGCGATCAAGTGCGCCTTCCCTAAAGTACAATAATAACAATAATCAATTCTGTATGGATTTAGAACACCCTGCATGACATTCGTTTGATGTTCGCACTTGTACGATTAGGTAATCGAAGGCAAATTGGAAATTTCATACAATGCAACCCCAAACAGCAAGTACGTTTTGAAACTGATGGGCGAGAGTTGCATCCCTCGAGTAGTCCTGCTAGAACCGACAAGCAAAGATCATGAAAACCAAAGTTTAATTTTGTTTCCGCCCACTTTTGTCGGTGAGCAAAATGAACATAATGTAAGCATAAAGAATGTGGGTCCTATCGGTGCCAAAGTTATCTTGGAATTATGTGGAAATACTGAAGAGGTGTTGTCCTTGCAAGTTGCTGAGGATACGAGGCAGTATTTGAATATAGCTGATTTCCCAGGTAAGATTCAACCGTTGAAAACAGAAAATCCCCAAAAATAGTATATTACATGTCTAGGCGGATAAGTATGCCATTATAAACAGCTGATTTGAACACGCTATAAAAATAAAATAAACGTTCACAATAAACAATTGAAGTATAACATGAAAAAAATGCCGTCAAGTAGGTTGACTGCACTTTCTACGTAACGCTGTCGTCAGTTCATGAAGGATTATGTTCGGCCTAAGTTGGCCCTTCGGAGAAATAAGTTAGCTACGAACATGTATATCAAATAATTAAATGGATTAGATTAATGAAGCAGGTTCATACAATTAAGATTTGCATATTAAGCATGCTTTCCTGTACAATTGTGTTACTCTTTAAGATTTGGCTCCCTGTGAAAATATGCGACCCTCACTCTTGAAAAAGTTTTGGAGGCAGCCATGCTGTCACACAAACTTATCTCTTGACGATGGACGGCCCCCTCCCCCTTCCTCTGAGAAAAATTCCAGTGCCGGATGCTCCGCTGTTCGATTTTCGTCCGCCGGCGCGCATGACGTCACGCGGAGAGTGATTATCATTTGGGTTGATATGGATAACGTGAATATTTTCACCTACAGGCCAAATGGCTCGACGGATTTACACATATGAAGTGTTGTTGGATTCGTCTTAGCGGTGCGAGTGACACTAGATACATTAAAATGTTATACAAAATAAAATGGCGGATTTTAATAAAAGATTTCAAGCTTGTAATTCATAGGCTACAGTTTAAATGGCTTTCTAGCTCCACAATAGAGCGAGTATCGTTACTTTACTGTAAAAACAAGATTTTTCTACATTACCTATATTTTAGTATGTTCTGTGTAGCAGAATTAACATGCTCATGAAGTTAATACTGCACTACATTTATTCATCCTTATTTCACAGAACATCCTAAGTACTAATTACATACAAGTGTGAAAATGTACGCAACTCGAAAAGTAGAAAAATGGAGTTATCATCTGTTTGCAGTAAGCTGGCGGTATAACAATAAATGGAAATGACTTAGTCTAAGCCACAATTTTTATCCACTTCCTTTCACGTTTTTGCTGGTCTTTCAAACTTTCATTCAGTTCTTTGATCCGGCAGAACACCCTTGACCTGAAAAATAAATAAAAAGCTTTTTCAGGGCAGTCAGTGTTGCTGCTCTTCAACAGAAGTTAGCCTATAAAATTTTGCTTTTCTGTCACTATTCCGCCCCCATTGAATGTAGTAAACACCTTATGAAGCTTCTCAATTTGATTCATGAAAGCTGTGGAAGGTTTTGATAATCTAATCTCACTAAGATGGTCTATCCAAGAGTAAGTTTCATTTGAGGAACTTTTCAACCTCTCATCCTGCAATTTATGGCAAACAAACCCGACAAAATTTTTCAGCCCATCATACTCGAGCTCATCCATTTCTTCCACTAAAACTTCCTCGTTATGTTATAGTCAGCTCATACTTCAGGTGCATTCAGTTCATTCGTTAATGATGCGGTTAGTGGAATTTCCGGAGTATCCCCTTCCTCTACGCTGCAATACACTGAGTATGCGCCTTCGTTTCGCCCCAAAATATATGACCTTATTCTATACCTAAACTCTAGGGGATAAGTTGAGCCCTTTGCCTTTTTTCGTAGGCACTTCTCCACTTTTCCCCATCAACAGATGTAGATGGTCCAGGTGATGATAGAGACTTGGGTAAATTTTCCATAGGAATGGCATTATCTTTTAGAGCACGGTAACTTTCAGGGGTGTAACCCAAAAAGGTATGGTTTAAATTGAACTTATAGGCACTTTCACAAAAATGCTTCGAGAAAACCCTAGCGCTTTTTACATTGACTTTGTCTTTTCTTTTTGTAAGATGTAGCCGTTTTTTGATTGCGGAAATCTGTAGAACTTCATGTCTTTGCAAGGATTCCATTTAGACTGGTTGTCGGAATTACATCCCACAACAGCACACCGCAATTCTAACAATTCATCAACCACACAGGCTATATAAAGTATGTATAACTAATAGAACAGGTCACAAAACTACCAAAAAACACCAACAAATCACACTATATAGGTAGTATTAACCACGATACACGTGAACTGCAGTAACGTTACGACAATCCTGCCGCTGGTAACCACGAGCCAATAACTCTCCGGGTGACGTCACGAAGCTCCGCCCACATGCGCAATATCCTATCTTCAGTGTATGTGTATCCTGATGTGTACACATAGCGTGGATGACGATCGACGGCCCACATCCAGTCGAGCAGGGAAGGTCGATTGCTACACATTTGCGTGCGCAGCATCGTAAAGCCTATGATCGACAGACGAAGCTCGGACATATTTCTACACCATTCTAAGAATAAATGTACGGGAAAATCTATGTTGAGTGAGATATTTCTAAAAGTTGCGTAGAGTTACCACGGTTGGAGGCGTACAAGTATACCAACGTCAAAAATTGAAATAATATACCCTCCTCATCCCTCTACAACCCCCCACCCTCCAAGTTTTTACCCCTAAAAACTTTTTAACAATGTTCAGGGTCCTCTGAAATGCCACAAGGCGAACTTAGAGCGATTTTTTCTTCAAGCACTATAAATTTCTTTCGTTCTTGGCATAGTAGTAACCTTGTGTACAAATTTCATCAAAACCCGACCGGTAACTTACCAAGTTAACGCAGGTTCAAGGATTAGCGGACAGACAGTCAAACACCGTTTGTCGTGATGTACATGTCATATAACACCCAAAAAACGTATCTCAACCTCTTTCGTGATTACAATACTTCTACGCCAGTGGCGTAGCTAGTAAATTGAAGAAAAAACTGATTGAGACCGGGCCCACATTTTAACCAAGGCGTAAAGGTGCGTCTGTTATTTATGCTAGGTCGCCATGTGGTTTTGAAGAGCCGAACAATAATTATGACCTTGAGATAGAATCTTATCTTGTTGTTTTATTCCAATGTATTCAGTAATAGCTTTCTTAATCTTTGATGCAATTTCACATTTTTTTACTTTTCACGCCAACCGACGGGGAAGTATTCGAAAAAAGATATTTTCATTTCCATCTGTCTGTCTGTCTCCTAATCCGCCCGTATTTTGATGACATTTTTAAACAAAGTCGGACAAAAAAACTTTGTAGTTTCTGAAAATCGATCCAGTGGTACCGAAGCTAGGGCAAAAAATGGAAAAAATAGCAGCTCAATTTTAATTTTTTGACGATTCGTAGATTTCTGGTCATTTTTTAAAAAATGTATGAGATAAAGTTGAGGGTAAGGATTTGCAGGACTATCTCAATGTTTTTGCTTAATAATATATATGCATACGCTTATCAGCCCGGTAATTTCCGTGACCGAAATGTCCGGGCACCCACATCAAAGTTACTTTGTTGTGTTTCGGTTCCATCGTCCATGAGATTCGGGTTAGAATTCTTATTCTTTCATTTCAACTACCATACACGCATTTATTGGTTTTGTCTTCTAACAATGTGAATTAAGAAGAGCACAATGTTTAGACAAAAGACTAAGGGAATTATAATCAACACAGATTGTTAGCACACAAATCCTCTTTAGGCAGCTAAGGACTACCGTTTCCTCCCAGCTGTAGTATACAACTTACAGCTTAGACCTCTAATAATGCCATCTCTGAAGCAGATGTTGCATCACATCACATAGCTCAAGCGTAGACTTGCTGATCCCATTAGCTTTGGACCTACCCTTTTTTCCTACCTACCTTACTCCTCAAACTTACAGTAGCCAGTCCAGCAGTCGAGTATTATGTACCAGTTGGTTCAGTTTTCCTGGTGGTACTGTTCTAAACTCCCTTCTAGTTTTGATTTCACGAAAAGTTGATGTCTTTTGATATCCAACGCGTCGCACTCAAACCAAACATGTAGGGCTGATTCTCTTCCATTTCCGCATTGTCTGCAGCTAAGGTCTCCATCATTTTATGCAGATGTTCTTTCAGGTGATTGTGCCCTGTAAGAAGCCCTGTAACTACAAGGAGTTGGTTTATACTCATTGAGAGCAGTACCGCAGCCTTGTTTGGTCATGTTCCCGAGATAAATTCTTTCCCATGCCTGCATCCAGTCACTTCCTTGTGGTTTCATACCAATTCTTTGATTTGGTTTCTTATTGTGCTTGTGCAGGTTGTGGGCCTGTAAATGGTATGAATGATCCTTTCCTTGTGTCCGTTACCTAAATGTCCTGGCACCCACATCAAAGTTACTTTGTTGTTTCGCTTCCATCGTCCATGAAATCGGTATAGAATTCTTTTTCTTCCATTTTCACCAACATACAGATCAAACGTGTTTTTTGGTTCTGTTTTCCAATGGTGTAAATTAAAATAGCCCAATTCGTAAGATATAAATATGTGTGTGTTGTCTAATTTAGCAAAAATGATTTGGGGCCCTCCTCTTTGCCGTGTATTCACTGACCCCCATAGCCTTGTACTGACTTTTACTGTTACTCAGGCCGTATATTTTGGGACTGTCTTTGGATTGTTCTTAGGTATGACCTTTGAACTTAGCCTTGGCTCTACTAACCTAAGCTGCTCTAGCCTCAGCCTAACTTCAATAACTTAAATGGGGGTAAAATATCGTATTTAGATAATCAACAAAAAGCCACTTAGAAAATTTCGAAATACAAAGGCGGAAAAACGAGCTTTTCCAAGATCGCTTTAATTTTTTCCTGATTTCATTTGTAGTAGGATTCCAAAATAAATTGCACATTATCATTGACTCTTTTTCTAGTTTACAAGATGCCAATATTAGAATTTCAATATGACATGTCATCTCTTGTCCTCCAGCATCAACTTTAATCAAATCCAAGCGAATAACCAAAATTTCTGTATTATGTGCCGCGGTTATAATATGGTTCAAGATGACACACGGGTTGATGACGTCAGTTACACGAATCGCTTGAACGCGTTGGTTATAACCGCGGGTTTGTTGCAAGTTGTTTATTTTAGAAAAGCGCGTATATAATCTCTAATTATTTTTATTATCATTTAATAATCGGTGCTCTTTCGTCTACAACTGTATATGGAAAGTTTAAATAAGAAACCTTTCATAATATTCATGGGAGAAATGTTTTTTCAGATTTTTTTTTAATGATGGAACCATGGCTTTGTAGCTATGATAACTTTCAATTCTCTAAATTTTTCCGCATGTCAAAGAAATCATTTATTGATTCAGCAGAAATGATGAAAAAAGAAATTAGCAAAACCGTATACAGGTGGATATCATCTAGTGAGTTTATATGGCCATATTTTAATATTCTTGTGGTATATGGCTACACAGGATACTTTGTTAAGCATAGGAACTACATTTAAAGTGTCCCCAACAACCGTAATGAGTATAACTAATAAGGTGCTCCACTTTATGGTAAAACTGAAGTCAGCCTGTATCATTTTTCTCAAAAATGAAGCTGAAGTACAATAACAATATCCAATACCCGGCAAAATTCTAACTTGTCACATTTCAAATAATAACCAGAAATATAAAACTACTCTTGAGTTGGGTAAATACCACAATTTTGCGCTGATAACTATGACATATAACTGCTGATTCGTGACGTCACGGATCTTATAACCAAACTGATAACTACACTCGCTTGAACGGATTGGTAAATACCAACCCAAAATGGTAAATACCATTTCCATTTGGTTATCCGCTTGAATTTGATTTTTGTTTTTTATTATGGACGCCATATTGGATCTTTATACAAATGAATAGAGTTTCTTATTCTGATTCCAATAATGTATAATACAACTAAAGCCGCGTACAGACCAAAAATCCAACGCCGAGCAAAGAAATGCACCACATGTGACACTGGCGTTTGTTGTTGGAAGGTCTTGGAATGCGTTCGTCTACACGTCGTCTACACCTCAATTTAATTTCGAGTTGGACTGCGTCGGGTTAAATTCGGTACTAATGTCGAATGCAGACAAACGACTAAATACTAGACGCGCAACAAATCCTGTCCGGACCAAATCAAACGCCTTTGATGTACCGATCAAGGAGCGAACGCAATCGAACGCCAACGCCGACCGTGGAAACCGTTGGCTTATGTTGGCTCGCGCCGTACACACCGAATCGAATACCTCCAAATCTGTAACCACATGTGACTTGGCTTGCGTTGGAATCTCGGTCTGTACGCGGCTTTACACTGACATTGTCCAACCTTGGTTATTCAAGAAAAAACAGAATTTCCTAGGTAGACCTTAAGACTATCGTCCATCATTTTTTTGTTTGGCATACCAGATTTGTCCCAAAATCATTTTTATTTTTTTCCTGACTTTATTCGAGATGAGATTTCAAAATAAATTACATGTTGTCATTGTTGCTTATTCTCCTCTACAAGAAGGCAGTCAAATTATACATGCAAGGTTTCTTCAATTTCGACTTCCACTTTGTTTTTTCATATGGACGCTATATTAAAATGTTATACATTTAAATGGACCTTTCAGTCCTAAATTCAGTGATTTTCTTAGTTGATTGTTGTGGGATGAAAATTATAATGCCGGGTCCACATCAAAGCAACAAAACAAAAACAAGGAACAAAACAAAAACGCACCAAATGAGCAACTTTTTTGAAACAAAACAAAATGAAAACTTATGTCCACATTGCCAAGAGACAAAAAAGTTTTCAGTTGTTTTGATTCGTGCAGTTCATACCAAAAATTTCCAAACAGAAAATATGTGGCGTTTTTATGCTGAAAGGCAGAAGCGCAAAAATTTTATCATAATGTCTGCTGGTTATGTGCTTCTCCAGAGTTGTGACTGGAAAAATAAAAAACACTTATGGATGAATCCATCCTTACTTGAAATATATGATCGTGGTATTGAAAAATCATTGTTCGGTTTCCGAAAAATGATATCGGATTGCAAGGAGAAATGCGTTCTAGTTTCGAGAACTTTTTAAGAATTTAAGAAACTGCGAAGAATTAATAATTGGATGATCGGTCCTGAAATTTATAAAAAAAATATCAATTTCAGATATGCCATTAACGTAGTTGAACGTTGGCCTTGACACTAAGATTTTGGCGATCGGAGACTCTTATCATAGCTTGACGTATCAGTCAAAAATATCAAAACAAGCAATATCAATAATAATACCAGAAACTTGTGATGCTCTAACTTAAGGCCTCAAAGAATATATTAAGGTAAGTTTCTTTCGCAACAAAGTTCACATCGCACCGACAATGTTGCCTGATATGAAAACCTAACAAAAGCATCTTTACCGACTCGCGAAGGGAAGGCCCAAAGTTGCCAGAAACAGAAACAAAACATGAATTGTTGACAAAATGTTGCTGATTTGTTGCTTAATTTTTGAAAGACATTGAGTTGCTGTGTTGTTGGTTTGGTGTCGACCCGGCATTAGGAAATAAAAAGGTATAGTGAAACTTGAACACAAAATGTAAATTATGTTGATATTACTGATAAATAAGCATTGATAAATCTATTCTATGTACATTGTTTACTGCTCGGTTTATTTCCCTCCTTCTCAGTCTTCCAAAGTTTAATACTATGTTCAATTTGAGGTCTGGTCTGATATGGGTACAAAATAAATGATGGCTAATAATTTCAAGACCTACTTAGGAACTTCTGTTTTTCTGGAATAATCAAGGTTCGGCGATCTCAATGTATGACATAAATATTTTTTAAATCAGAATTAAAAACTATTCATCAGCGTAAAAATCCAATACCGCGTTCATAAGAGAAAAATAAGTTGATGCTGGAGGACAGGAGTCGAAACATCATATTGAAATTCTAGTTATGCCATCTTGTCAAGGGGAAAAAGTGAGCAATTTATTTTAAAATCCGACTAGAAATAAGTCAGTCAAAATAAAAAAATCGGGGTTCTTTCTGGATTTTGAAACTTTCTAAGCAGCATTGTTATTTACGTATCGTCAGTCACTCCTACAATTGTAGCACGCCTGTATGCCCTCCTTGATTTTCATTGTTTTTCCTGTCCTCCAGAAAAGCAGGGAATTTCTACATTTCTACCGCTCAGTGTCGGCGCTCTATTTTGAGGTAATGTTTTTATTTTGAATTTTAAGAAATTTGAGGCCGATGAATCTTTATTTTTATTATCTGTTTTATAGTAGAAATCTAGAAATGGCCTTCATGAAGGAGAGTAATGACTATGAAAATCAAGGAGGCCATAAAAGCGTTCTACAATTTGAGGGAACGACTGACGATTCGGGCCTGAATACGCAACTTGGCCCCTATTACAGCGACTTGGCGAGGGTCGAATTTGAAATACCCGCTATAAAGTTGAGAGTTTTTTCTAAGATGTAAAATGTGTTCTGTTCTGTGTTTCTCTCCTTTCGACATGCCCTTGTCAACTTTTGACACACGCTGCTTTTGAACCTCATGCCACCAGCTGAGCTGCTGGAAGTTAGTTATAGCCAGTGTAAACGCAGAAGAGATGGTACATTCGCAATGTTTCATCTCTTCGTGGCAAGCATAGAAAAGACGTTTACTTGAGACCATTTTTTTCTTATCAAGAAACATTAATTTCAGATTTCGTTGACGTCAAGTATTCAACGTTGGTGAATCTGCCACCGTCAAAAATCGGAAACTTCAGGGTGTTCTTTAAACCGACATCTGACAAGAAAATTACAGCTCTTCTGAGAATCCATACAGTTGACAACATCTTTGAAATCATAAAGGTATGCAATCTTTGGGCAGTGGACACTAATTAAAGACTGAGAGCTGAGTACCGATTGAGGGTTGATCAATCCCCAGATTTTAAACGAATAGTAACTCACCCTCAATTTGAGATTCAATAGACGCTCACAGGTTTTCACGTTCCTCGAAATTTCCAAAATGTTTAATTTTCAAAATTTAAAAATTTTCAGCTTTCCAAATTTTGAAAGCTTTCAGTTCTCAAAATTTTCAAAATTATTGCAATCATTTTAAAAAATCTCAACATTTTCAAAACTCACCGGCGATTGCGTCGCTTGGCTGATTGTACAGGGCGGTGCAAATGTGCTTCTACAGGATGATACGGGTCGTTGTACTGAGGTGTACAACAAAACATTTTTTTGATCATGGATCTTATATTTCACAAGATTCTCCGGACATTTTTTAAAAATCCCTTTCATTCTTTGTTTCAGATTTCTATAATTATTCTCCTCTAGTACTGGGTAATCTTTTTTTCCAGATAGAGCTCATGGGCATAGGTTTTCACCATGAAATCCGCTTCGATCTACCCGTGTCCTACTATATGAGCAGCAGCAAGTCTAGTCCGTCTTTCAGCTATGATCTGGACATTGGATTCACTTCGCTTAATCGAATTTTGAACAAAACGTTCACAATAACGAATCTGTCATTCAACAGCACGTACAAGTTTGAGATATGCAGCAAGTGTGCTGTGATGTTCGTACCGAGTGTAGGACATTTGAAACCGATGGTTACGAAGACTATAGTAGCATCTTTTTGCACTAATGAACCGCTAGCACTGGAAAAGGTGAGGAAATCTTGAAAACGGGATCGTCGAACAAATAATACGGCTTAAAACATACGGCAAAAGAGATGCGCTGCCGTACTTAGGTAAGAGTGACTGTCTTTTGTGTGTAAAAACCAAAGACTGTGAAAATTGAGTTCATAGTTCTGGATTTGTTCGAACCAAATAAATAATATAATTACGACAGAACAATAGTGAATGAATATTGCAAAGTAACATGCTTTTATAGAGAATCATTTGAATGTGGTTTCGGTTTATAATTGTTGTTGAAGCCTGAAATAAATAACATTCCGTCTTTAATTGTAGTAATGCAAAAGCAGTAACATTTGATTTTCTGCTTTTATACTCTGCAAAAACAAATTTATTGTCTTTTTTCGTAGTTTTCATAATTTATTTATAATATTTTTTCAAAGGAAAAGCGCAGAAGTGCAGAGTTTTATTTTATTGGCATATTATTTGTTTATAGTGAAATTCACATAAATGTCACAAAAGTAAACCTTTTCGACACCTAATAATTCACTTTAATAATTACGTGATTACATACATATATTGCCGCACTTAGATAGAAGGCAGTAAAGTGTAAAAATCGGAGTCTGAGGAAATTGGCTTCAATATTCTGGATTTTTTCGAACGAAGTCGCTAAGCTTCGACAAAACAGAAGTGAATGAATATTGCAAAGTTACAGGGTTTCATTTACATGAGATTTTGGGATATAATTGTTGTAGAGGCCTAAAATAAATGAAAATCCGTCATTAATCGTTGTAATAAAAAATGGCGTCAAGTAGATTGACTCAGCACTTCCCACGTTACGCTGTCATCAATTCGTACAGGATTATGTTTGGCACAAGTTGGTCCTTCGGACAAAAAAGTTTGTCACGAACTTGTATAACAAAAAATTAAATGTCCTTCCTTTTTCCCCTGAGAGGAATTGCTGCAGGCGCACATGAACGAAGAATTTTTTATAAAAATTATTCTATAGGAGCAAAAGTAATTATTTAAAACGATAAATACTTATTCACAAATAGTAGAATTGTACATAAAAAACAAAATTAGTAAGAATCATAATAGGTTATAAAAGGTTGAAAACTCAGTACTTGTATCATACAGAGAATAAAAGCAGTATAGTTCGAAGACTACTGATTTTTTGCTTTGATAAATTAAGTTACTGCTTTTATGCTTAGAAAATATACTTAATATGAAATATTTGACAAAGCGAAAAACTAACTATTATCAAATTATTGTGATATAAATGCTGACAGTTTGAACAGCATTCTGGGAGTAGCCAGAAATTGCTTAAATAAATAATTTACGATATGTTTCTCACTTGAGTGAAATACTTTTTTCCGCTTCTTTTTTTTTCTTTAGATGTAATCACCTGCTTTTTTATGTTTTCTGTTTTTGTTAGTTTGATTTATATTAGGACTGTCCTTCGTTTTTGTTGAACCTAAAAAGTTAGTCCCTCTAAGGGCCGGTTGTTCAACTCCAGTTTAAACCGCTGTTCAGATTGAACTAAGTTCAAAGTTGAAAATCAGTTGTACAAATAAAGCTCAAGGCTTGAACCCAGTTCAAGTAGGCATAGAACCTGACCGGTCGATGTCCCTCGGTTAAACTCAGTTCAATGTGAGTAACATAAATATCGTAGCAAAGTTTAGCGAAGGAGTTGTGTGTTAAGTTTAAAAATGGACATTCCCGAAGAGATAACTGATGACGAGGACTTCTTAGAATTAATTACCATCGTACATATACCCAGGTTACCCAAAACTTACAAACAGAGACCTGATAATTTTCGGATTTGGAACGACACTCAATTCTTGCAACGTTTTCGGTTATCAAAAAGTACTGTTAGATCCATAATAGATAAAGTTGCAGATGATATCAGAAATATAACAATACAGTAAGTTCATTTATAATTACTAGGTATCAGAGCCATTCCTGACGGGTGCATATTGTGCTCCAAATTGAAGAATAAATATCATTACCTATTTAAAATTTTATATATTTTATATATATATATATATATATATATCTTTAAACATAATTTTTTTATAAATTTATACAAACACCAACTTATGGGAATGCTGTGTTGCATCTAAATTGAAAAATCGTTCTTTCATTGTCGGTGAATTTGCAAAAACCATCTGAGCTGCTCAAAGGCTACTCACTCTACATGAATGGCCCTGGGATGATATAATGCGGGTGGGATTTGGACAAATGTGTATAAAAGCTATTTTTTTATAGAAATCATGCCCTCACGCCAGATGATATGGTCTTTGTTACGCTACGTTACCTTGCAACTGGGTCCTTTTTGCAAGTAATAGGGGATGTACAAGGTATGGACAAAGGAACTGCAAGCAGGGTTGTGTCGAAAGTTATAAAATCATTAGCAGTCCATTTTAAAGAATTAATAAAAATGCCTGAAAATGGCGAAGAGAGAACTGCGATACGTCAAGAATTTTTCAATATTGCTAGATTTCCTAGGTGCATAGGAGCTTTAGACTGCACCCACATTAAAATAAAATCTCCAGGTGGTGCAGACCCAGAGAATTATAGGAACAGGAAAGGTTTCTTTTCCTATAATGTACAGGTGATTTGTGATGCCACTTTGAAAATACAAAATATAGTTTGCCGTTGGCCAGGTGCATCACATGATGCAAATATATTTGCAAATAGTAGAGTTCGAGCCTTATTTGAAACCGGACATTTTGGCGATAGTTTGTTGGTTGCAGATAGTGGTTATGGTATTAAGCCATATTTAATCACACCACTAAGCCGACCTGAAACTCAGAGTCAACACTTATTTAATGAATCTCAAATTCGCACAAGGAATCCTGTCGAGAGATGCTTCGGGGTATGGAAAAGACGTTTCCCCATCTTAGCATTAGGAATTCGTGTAGCGAAAGAAAAAATTGAGCCAGTAGTTGTTGCAACAGCAGCCTTGCATAACCTAGCAATTATCATGAAAGACCCACAACCTGCAATAAATAATGAAATTGAAGCAGCAGTTGAATTCATTAACAACTTTGATATTGTACCAGTCCCAGTTGGAGGTCAAGATGCATCTAATAATAGGACACGATTATTGTTAATTAATTATTTCCAGGATTTATTGTGAATGATTCAAAAATTCAGTTTTTAGTATTTTTCTAATGTTATCTTCGTTTCATACTAAGTGAAAGTGGATATAAATGATGCAATAAAGAATATTGGAGATTTTATGTATTTATTCAAAATAGGTAAATAAGATGGCAAGATTAAGAAAATCAAATTTTATATTTATTTAACAGATACTGTTTTTCCATATTTAACATTTCCATTTTAATGTTATGTACCTCATCTTCCCTCTTTTTTCTCTCTTCATACTCTAGTTGCATTATTTCCAGTTTCTTTTTGTTTTCTTTCATCAATAGCTGTTTTTTCATTTCAAATTCATCCAAAAGGCATTTTTCTTTAGAATCTTCCAATGATTTTTTGGATTCAACCCATTTTTCCATTTTTGTGCAAATAGCACCCCTTTTTTTTGAGCAGTCGGTCTTCACTAAAATTAAAATGTTTAAGGAACATCTTATTGTGATCCACATTTACTAGCAACATATAGTATTTCATTACTAATTTCGTCAACAAGAACAAAAAAATTTACAGCACAACATGCAAAAACTTTCCATTTTAGTACTAGAAGTAACAATTCCTTTTTGAAATTTGTAATGAATATGAAATATTCCTGGAGATTATAATGTAGATTACCTTCTGCAGTTCTCAGAGCACTTGATTTTGGTGTGCGCAAAAGGGATGTACTTAATTTGCTCCAGTCCCTCGTTTGATGTCTACTGGATTCTGGACCTTCTAAACGATGCGCTATTTGATTTTCTTTATCTGTAAAATCATGAATAAATGAGGATGCACCACAATAAGGCACATATATTGTGTATTTACTAGCAACAGGTAGTATTTTATTACTCATTCAATCAACAATATGAAAAACTTTCCATTTCAGTTCTAAAATAGGTTTTTTTTATTTTCATAATTCAAGATAAATGCCATTATAAAAAGCATACAGTAATGACTATATAATAGTTCTGTAGATTTTAATGTAGATTACCTTCTGGAGTTCTCAGAGCACTTGATTTTAGTGTGCACAAATGGGATGTATTTAACTTGCTCCCCTCCTCCGCCTGATGACTACTGGCCTCTGGACCTTCTAAATGAGACACTTCTTGATTTTCTTTATCTGGAAAATCATAAATAAATGATAACATTAAAACTATTTATTTTATTAGTACCACTATTTTGAACTTCCTGTGTCTCCTCTGAAGTAATTTCATCTGAAACACCTTAAATTAATAAAAGTACATTATTTAACATACATTCGAAACTTACATTCCTCAATAAAGTCCCTGCATGTAGCATTCTCAGGTATGTCACAGACAACTAAAAATAAAATTAACTTAAAAATATATTCACACAACACAATCCAGCTTCCTTACTCATGTCATCATCATACGTTGAAGGGTGTCCTTCTATTCGGACACCTAAAATGTCTTTGACTTGTTCATCAATATCGGTGAAATGAACTGTTTTTGAGGCACCTCCTCCTGTAGCAAACAGGGAACACTTCTCCTGTGAGAACTTCTTCTTTGACCTTTTTTTGATATTGTCGTATTTATTCTTCAATGTTTTACTATCCCTGTAGGTCACCGCTCCACTGTTAAACTCTTTTGCAATCATATTCCATGTCTTTGCTTTTGAAGAGTTTGTTACTGCATCCGTTTTACGACATTCAATAACATCTTTATATTTATTCACCAGTCTAATTAAAAGGGATTCTTCTTCCCTGCTAAAGTTACTTGTTCTCTTAGGTGCACTCATTTTTGAAATAAATCCACTACTACGAAGAGAAAGAATCAGCAGCAATTATATTTTTAATAAATATAACATAGGAAAGATAATGAAGCAATTATATACCTACCCGCTCTCCTGCAGATGTTGCGATATATTTATAGTCGACAATAACAAGCTAACTTCAAAAAATCGCCAAAAATGATTCCAGATTGAACCTATCGCTTCGGCCTATAAGTAAAAGCAAGTGAAAGTAGGGTTATGACTTCGGTCAAAATCACGTCAAAATGACATTATTGACAAGTCTTATCATTCCGTGCCTAATAACATAGTGCTTATGGTATTACCAACTGCTGCATATTTGAGGTTCAGTGGAACCGAGCTTGACTGACAGATGAACAACGCACATGCATTTGAACTAAGTTCATATTTTAACTGGAGTTCAGGTGATCTACAGTTTAACCGAAAGTTGAACAACCGGCCCTAAAAGTGAAGGGAAATCATAGCATTTCATACTCATTGCCTTTAGAGACAGTCAAAAATCTCATTTGTAATATTGACGAAAACAAAGGTTCAGGACCCGACAACATCCCTCCCATTTTCATTAAAAGATGTTCGGAAAGTGTATGTGTACCTTTACAGATTATATTTAACGCAAGTCTAAAACTAAGATATTTTCCTACTAGATGGAAGGTTGCACATATACTTCCGATATTCAAAAATGAAGATAAACAACTGGTAACTAATTATAGACCTATCAGTGGTCTGTGCACTTTTGCAAAGTTGCTCGAAAAAGTTGTTTACAACCTAATAATTCCATCAGTAAAAAACATAATAATCGACGAACAGCACGGATTTTTTCCAAACCGTTCCCTAGAATCTAATATTTTGTGTTACACTGATTATATTTGTGAAGCCCTAGATAAAAAGACTCGAGTCGATTGCATATATACCGACTTCAGCAAGGCTTTTGATAAAATAAATCATGAATTGCTGGTTGAAAGGCTTGCTGAGACTGGTGTCGACGATGCACTATGTCATTGGATATGGTCTTACATTACCAATCGTAAGCAAATTGTAGCTATCAACGGTTTCAAGTCGCTGAGGGTTACGGTTACGTCTGGCGTCCCACAAGGAAGTCATCTAGGTCCTTTATTATTCATAATTTTTATCAACAACTTAAAAAAATCCTTTAATATGCAAATTGTCTATTATACGCCGATGACTTGAAAATATTCCATACAGTGAGAGACATTAATGACTGTAAAGAAATCCAAAGTGATATAGATACTTTTGTCAATTTTTGTGACAATAATGATTTGTTTCTAAATGCTGATAAATGTACTTTTATTAGACTCTCCCGGAACAAATCTCTCATAGAATACCGGTACCAAATCAAAAATACACCTTTGAAGGAAACGGATATACTGAAGGACCTAGGAGTCCTCCTAGATGCAAAAATGACGTTCCAACCACACATAGAAAACTTGTTTTGCGAATCAAACTAAATGTTGGGATTTATCTGTAGAATCTGCAGGGATTTCAAGAGTGCAAGAGCCATGACATCCCTATATTATGCATATATTTATAACAAGTTGAACTTTGCTTCCGTTAAATGGAACCCTCAGTATATTACATACATAAATCGAATTGAAAGTGTACAAAATAGATTCGTGAAGAGATTAAATTTTAAAATCGGCAATCCGGTACGTGACGGAAACTATGATCATATTAGACAACATTTCAATATCATGACCTTAAAAAGTAGAAGAATGATGTCCGACGTGTGTCTTGTATACAAAATATTCAACAATTTTGACTGTCCCTATTTGCTTTCAAAAATAAATATTAATGTGCCAGATAGAAACTACCGCCATTCCATGTTTTTCAGGATTACCTTCTGTAGAACGAATTTAGGAGTCAACTCACCTGTAATTAGGGCCCAAAGGGTGTTTAACGATACCTCTAATAATTTGGACATTTTTGTGGTTAATTTTAACAAGTTTAAAGCAACGGTAAGGAGGCAGCTTACATAGGATAGTATCATACTATCTAATTGTTTGTTTGCTGTGATACTGTTGTCAACCATTAATAGTTTTATATACTTTTATACAGTATTTTATATGTTTTGTTATCAAAGCTGTCTAGTAACGTGCTCTGTGTTTGTGTTTTTTGCTGACTAGTGCGATTCATGGAATAGTGTAACTGATACATGCTAATTTTTAAAAAAATAAATTTTAAATTTATATCGTTTTATAGTAGTTGCTATATCATAATATTGTTTATTCTCATATAGTAGGCTTGTGTTACAGATTTTCATCTTCTGGATTTTTTAATCTATGTATCTTTTTATTTTATCACTATAGTAAGCAGCGGGTGCTGTCTTTGGAATTCACATTCTGTTGCACCCCAAACATGAGTAAATAAATAAATAAATGAATGGTTTCCTTAACAGTTGGGCAATAAACGCTTTTATTTATATATTACTATTTATTTATATTCATTGTGGACTCGATAACTCCGTTATTACGCATGTTAGCTAAAAAAGTTACTCACAAAGATTGTAGCCAACAGCATGCTCCGTACTTGGAAACTATGTTTATCTCTTCAGGGTGATTCATCACAAACATTTCATGATGCTTTACAGGTGAATATAAACTGCCACGTGGTGAGAATAGAGTATGTGGAGCCTTCAGCTGCAGACATTTCCTGGGACGATAGACAGGAAATGATGGTTTGGAAATTACCAAGCGAGGCTGAATCGTAATAAATATATATTTTTTAAAAACTCTAAGCTAATTGGGCAATATTTTAGCGGTGACCTTAACGATAAGAATGGTTCAAAAACGAAACTATTATCGCACACAACTGAACCAGAAATAATCGAAAAGTCAGAACACGATTTCATAAAACTCTTCATAACAGGAAAGGCAGATTATGCCATGTACATAACGACGATGAAAGAGATTGTATTTCCCAATACTTTTTTGAATGAGGTAAGTGAAAATAAGCGACGAACTAGTTGACTGGTTGATGATTAACTTGTTGAAATGTATAAGCCTCCAATCTATTCGAGTCTTATGGAAAGTCATATTTCATGATCATTGTTCTAGCAAAGTACAGTGGACTTTGAAGTTATCAATGATGGAATGGTACCGCTGCAAATAACATGGGCAATCAAGGACTTCGAGGAAGATGATGTACAGAGACCATTCACACCTAAGACAAAATCACTCCGAAGTCACGGTAAAGATTTTACACTTCACAGATGGGGCATTTCACGGGAAGCGAACAGCGAAAGTAAAAGTGAGGTTTTAAAATTTGTTCATATGAACGTCAAGTAGGTGCGAAAGAGAATACACGTACATTTGCTAAGCTACGGGCTTCGAATTATTTCAAAGTGGGGTGTTTTTCGATAGAAAAACCAAAGAACCTGGCGGTTTCATCATGGAAAATGGCTTTCAGCCAAATTTGTTGAAATTTCGCATAGAAGTAGTGTACAACATGGCGTTCAAAAGTTTCCATGGGGCCAATCTCCTAGCCCCCTCCTTTATCCCCCACGGAATCCATAAACTCCCAAGTAGTATTAATAGATATGGAAGGACAACATAAGTCTTAAAATAATATTATGAGAGAAAAAGTAAAACATACTGTTGCTAAGGTTTCTCCCAGATCGGTCAATAGTGAATGGATTTGATCTTGACGGTGGCCTTGAGGGTTATGGTCAAGGTCGGGTCATTTTTGTCGTATATCCTACATTTCGCCAGAAAAATGGACAAAGCGGAACATCTACTTTCATGCAGTACTCGAACATTTCTAATACGTAATATTTTTCATGGTTAGGAAACCCCTCCCATACCTCCTATAGAGCGGCCCAGCTCCCTAATTACGGCGTATTTATACATATCATTATAACTTGTAATGTTGACAGAGAAGAAGTAACACATACTGTTTGTTAAGATTTATTCCAGAACGGCCAATGGTGAACATGGATTTGACCTTGACCGTGATCTTGAAGATTATGGCCAAAGTCAAGTCAATTTTTTAAGCGAACCATCCTACTTGGTAGTGATGTCGCTTATTTTGACTGTCTAAGTGGTGATGGATCTGGCTGTAACTGATCGGACAGAAAAGTAGGATGTACGACTTTTAAAAATTTACGTGACCTTGACTATAAACTTCAAAGTCACTGTCAGGGTCAAATCGATGATCACCATTGGCCAATCTTTGAGAAATCCTAGCAACAGTATGTTTACATGGATTTGAAATTGACCGTGACTTTGAAGATTCTGGCCAAAGTCAAGTCAATTTTTTAAGTGAACCATCCTACTTGGTAGTGACGTCACTTATTTTGACTGTCCAAGTGGTGATGGATCTTGCTGTAACTGGTCGGACAGAAAAGTAGGATGTACGACTTTTAAAAATTTACCTGACCTTGACCATAACCTTCAAAGTCACTGTCAAGGTCAAATCCATGATCACCATTGGCCAAACTTTAAGAAATCCTAGTAGCTTCCCCTCGGATTATATTATTTTAAGACCCCCATATTTATCAATAACCCCCACTTCGGGGTTTTTGGGGTAGGAGGTAAAGGTGGGGCCGTCAAGGGGTTGGCCCTATTGGAACTTTCGATCGTCATGCTGAAAACTACCTCTATACGAAATTTCAGCAAATTTAGCCAAAACCCATTTTCCATATGGAAACTGCCTGGTTCTGTGGAATTCAAATAAAACTTGAGCTGCTAAGTCGGCAGTAAACATTTCAAACCAATATTTGGTCCACTTCGCATTTTCTTATTTTTTTACTCCAAAATAAAGGTGTGTTTGAAATACCTCAGACGCTTTGAAAGGTATGCGCATTAATTAAAGATGTACGTATTTTTATGGGTATGGCGGTGGGCGCCTGTTTAAGTCGACTGGTTTGCGCGATATTGCATTAATAGGCTACACTATGAGTATTTTTTTAGCTGTATTGATCATTGTACATAAATTTAAATATAAAATTATAATTTATTTTTATATGACATTCTTAAATATTGGAATTGTAAAAAAATAGTGTGCAAAACTGAAGGCTTCAGGCCATAATTTAGGCAACTACTACCGTTTTTATCCTGATTTTTTACTCCAAAATATAGGCTAAACTGTGTAATAGTACAATAGAGGTTTTAAAATGGGAAGCGCATTCTCTAAGCGCTTGTTTGTCGGCTAGTCACACACACAAAAAATATTTTATTTTATAATCTTCGCTTCGCTCGCTAATGCTAATTCTTCTAACCACAAGGCCTTTTGTCGTGAAATACCCAGGCTTAAAACTCAAGCAACTTCGCTATAAGCAAGATGAATACTGCTACAGTTTCACCGGTTGGGATCAAACCCTATTTTTCGGTTTTTTGTCTGAGCCTTATGAAATAGTCAATTTTCTAAATAAAGAGAACGAAGATAAATATCAATCGTTTTTCCAGACTGTTCCTTGCGAAGCACTTGCAGTTCGACCTCTCTGTCATCGTTATTTGGTTCGACCACACCTACTGGACATCCAGCCTCGACTTTTCCTGAGATGCATGTCCAGAAGAAAAATCCTTTTAGAGTTATTCCAGAATCTGACACTATCCCAGTTCATTCAGGGAGACGATTCCAGGTTTGTTAGTTGAAATATGTCTTCGAATAACACAAATATCCTATCACAGAAAAAATAATCCTCTATGTTTGTCTGGCCGGTAAATGAAGCCACATACCGGAAGTTTTAAATTAGATTCTCACCACTGAGATCTTGGAAACGGTGAGAGATATGATGTCGGTTACATGGTAGCAAAGCTGCGCATTTAGGTAACTAAGAAAATTCTGCTTAGAATGTTTTGAAGTCCAAAGTACTTCCTCAAAATAGAAAGTGGGTTAACATAACCACATTTTTCGTTTATACGATGGCATAATTACAATTTATGACGTTTCATCTCTTGTCCATCAACATCAACTTTATTTAAGAATATAGAAGATTTTAACATTATTTCTATTTTTGGTATTGCAATAATTATTGGTTTATTTTTACTTCTAGTATCATATTCATAATTTTTATAAATGGTTGGATGTTTTGTTTTATGGAAATTCTGGTATAACATATCAAAATAATTTTTTATATATCAAATTTTTGATTCTATAAACAGCGATTTGGGGGGATATAGTAAAAGGTTTGTTATGAATTGTTTTTATGAATAGTTTTTGTATTATTTGTATGGTTATTATTCGTGGATCTCCAGATAATAATTCCATAGGTTATGTGGCATTCAACAAATGTTTGATATGAAATTTTTCATTGAGTTTCATTAAAATTTGACTGTAATATTTGAATTTATAATAGAAATCTAAATTTCTTTTTATGTATTGGATATGTTCATCCCAACGAAGATGGCGGTCTAAATCAATTTCGAGATATTCATGATTTAGTTTACGTGATATATATTCATTTTGGAGATTTGTTTTCTTTATATTTAACTGATTATATAGCGATAATTTATGTATGTTAGAAGTGAAGAGAATAAGGTAGGTTTTTGTATAACTAATAATTAATAATTGATTATCGAACAAGTCTGTTATCTGTACTAAATCTTTTTCAATTTCCTCTTTTAATGTTGTCCATGTTCTGGCTTTACGGATGATGGTGATGCCATCTGCAAATCCTATTTTTTCTCTTTTTGTTGATAGATTGTACAAGTCGTAATATATATATACCAAAAAAACAGGAAAATAATGGGCAACATCCGCAAAACGAAGGTAAGTGAATTCAAGCAGAAAATAGGATAGGTAACCCGAGCAATACGTATTTCTGCTTGTTGGCTAGATGCACATATGCAACCACAAAAGTATATACACATTACACATGCCCATACATCCGGATACGGGTAACCCGAGGAAACGAAGATGGATGTAGTGGGAAAAAATGACTCACGATGTCCCCAACAAGAGCCAACCTACACATTTTAGTATATAATTGCTATAATACCTCGACTTTTCAAGGCGACGACAACTAACCACAGCGACGCGGCCGGTTTTAGCTACTTGCTGTGGTACTCCAAGCCCAAAGAATTTACAGAGAGAAAATGATTCATTCATTCCTACTTTTCAACTTCCATTTTCTAACTTCTCTCCTATTATAAATAAATCTGTTGCAAATTGTTCTGAAAAATGCCGCTTCAGAAACTTAGGAAATCTAGATAAAGACTTGCTCAATGAGTTTTTGGAAATTTCTCCTTTCGAACAATTGATCCATTTACCAAAAGTTGAGGAAAAGGGCTTATTTTTGAATGAAGTACTGTTCAATATCTTCGATGTACTAGCTCCTGTAAAGGAAATTCAATTTAAAGTTCGAAAACCCCCATGGTTAACGTTTTCTATTAAACGCATGATTAAACTAAAAAACGAAAAATTTAAGAGAAACAAAAATTGGGAAAATTATAAACAAATGAAAAATCAAACAAATATTGCCATATATAATGAAAAGAAAAGTTATTTGAAATACTGTATTGATAAAAATATCAATAAAACTAAAGTGCTTTGGAAAAAATATTAAATTTAAATATTAGCAACAAAAAAACAGGTTGTATTCCCGTTCAGCTGAATAATTTGAATGGCATAAATAACCATTTTCTTCAGATCTCTCGAGCAAGCTCAACAATAGACTATGGCACTTTGGATAACTATTATAGCAATAGGCGTATACTTTATCTGAAGTCACTTGAAACACTGTGAAATACCGGGTGTGTTTTATATATCTATATTTAACACGATCTGTTGCTGCAAAAATCGCCAAATTTCGCAGCAAATATCCCCCGTATAAGATCAAAGGCAGTTTCACCGGTCCACGTGGAGTAAAGCACGCCTATGCGTGGACATAGCCAATGAGAAAGCGTGTATTTCAGAGCTCCGAACAAGTGCAGGTGGCTACTGAAAATTGAAACAGTTTAGCCAGTGCCGTGTAGCGGTGAATAAACGTGTTTTCTTTAGTCTGTCCGTGTTTTTTCATAGATTTTATTAGTTTGTGTGTTTTTGACTTTTGAATACTCAGTTTACTTGTTGATTTAATTGTTGCGTTGATTGTTTTTGTGTGTCATAAATATGGCTCTTTGGAGACCTTGGGAAAATGCTCCAAGCCACGAGGAGATGGTTGATGAATCTGTGCAGGCAGAATTCTTTCATAAAGATTTAGAGGAACAGACCCAAAGAGTAATCCTAAATATGTATGATTGTCTGAAAAACGAAAATCCAGCTTCCTCGCAAAATCAAATTTTAAACAGAATTTGTATCCTGACAAAAATCAGTCGGTCTACCATTTATCGGGTTATTAGTCAACCATTCCTTCCACAGAAAGCGCATAGGGCAAAAATTAAAAAGAATAGACGTGGGTTTTCAGGAAGATATTCGTCGTATAATATACGGATTTTATAAAGAAAATTTGGTGCCCACGTTGGAAATAATACGGGATAAATTAAAAGATTATCCTGAAGATTTTTATAATTACAAATGCTTAGACTCACTGCACTGTATTGTAAAACTGTGTGGTTTTCAATACTAAAAAATTAGATAAAAGAACGGTGATTATGGAGTCGTCTCGAATCGTTGAATTGCGCCAAGAATTTTTGCACAAAGTTAAAATCTATAGAGAGCAGAAAAGAAATCTGATTTACCTGGATGAAACGTGGTATGATACCCATGATGTTGTGCAGTACGGCTGGGTTGACGACAGCAACAAGTGCATTTTAAATGCACCATGCAACCGTGGAAAACGAATCATTATTCTCCATACTGGCAGTGAAAATGGATTTATACCTAATGCCTCTGCCAAAAATATCAAAGAATCATGTGCCGACTATCATGAGGACATGACCTCCGACTTATTTGAAAAGTGGATAGAGCAGCAGTTAATACCAAACATTTCCCCAAATTCAGTGATTATTATGGACAATGCGCCATACCATTCCCGACAGAAAAACAAAATTCCGAATACAGGCACAAAAAAACAAGACATTATTGATTTTATGAAGGATAAGGGAATGGAAATACCACAAAAATCAACCAAAGCCATATTATTGGATCTTATTAGAAGACAAAAATTTGAAAAAGGGTATGTTGTTGACAATCTGCTTCAGCAAAATGGCCATGAAGTATTACGTCTACCTCCCTATTACTGCATTTTTAACCCGATTGAGTTGGTCTGGGCTGCTTTAAAAAAAAAGTAAGAAAACATAATCAGACCCCTCAATTAAGTGAATCGCTATTGGCCACAATAAGAGATGCAGTATCTCATATTGGTGCCACAGACCTATGGAAGCAGTGTTCTAGGCATATTATTGAAAAAGAAAATGAATATTGTGTTTTCCTCCTGTAAATCCCGTTGTAATTCCTCTACAAGATGACTCTAGCGACAGCTCCGAAGGCGAGGATGATATATAAATACCTATAATGTAAGTCTTTATATACCTTTTTATATACCTACCTGCTATGTAAATATTTGCCTATGTCAAACGTTGGAATTCTGTAATTTTTCCATTTCTTAACTTTCAGTCAACATAAATTAAACTCCCAATATAAGTATTTTTTATCCCAAATCAAAAAAATAAGAAGATAGTAAAATCCATTTATTGTGATATAAAAACATTATTATTATCGTTCTAAATAAATGCCGCACGCCTATGATACGTCATGAAATTACAAAGGACACGCCGACCAAAGGTTTTTATGCTATTTCAAGTGACTTCAGATACACCATACTAACGTCAACACTCTTTTTGAATTTCACACAGTTTCTCAGGATGTCGTTAAAAATGCACTTCTCAGAATTAAATCGCTTGCCATAGGTGCTGATGGTATAAATCTTGAAATGATATTATTGTGTTGCCATAAAACAATCCCCTACATTACAAATATAATAAACGACTGTATTTTAGATAGACAATTTCCAGACACGTGGAAAATTGCCAAAATTATACCAATATCAATGACTACAATGATCTTCGCCCCGTAAATATTTTACCAGTGCTATCAAAATAATGGAGATTATATTGGACCAACAAATAAGAGACTATTCAACTGAGAACAATTTGTTACCAGACCATCAATCGGGATTTATGTAAGGATTCAGCTGCGAAACTGCACTGTTAAATATAACAGACGACATCTTCAAAGCAACAGATTCCGGAAAAACTACCGCTCTCGTGCTCTTGGACTACTCCAAGGCATTTGATAAACTAAATGACGAAATGCTGTTTGGTATTTTAAACTAAATAGAGTTTTCCGAATCTGCTAGATATGTAGAAATAGATAAAGGTATGTTCTCCAAAGATGTCATCCCATCGGGTATTCCACAAGGCTCCATTTTAGGACCTTTGATTTTTAGTATTTATACCTCAAACCTTTCCCAATGTCTCCGAAGTTGTCAGGTAGATTTGTATGCTGACGATACTCACCTTTATTTTTCTTTCAATACTAACGAGAAACGTGATGCATTTGGCTTATTAATCGAGATATTGAAAGATTAGTTGTATTTTCGGAAAGTCATGGTCTACAGATTAATGCAAGCAAATCACATGTTATTTGGCATATTGAAAGACAATATTGAGCCCACTTTTCATGTCAAAATAAAAAGTGAATCTAACTCTGTTCTGCAACTGTGAGAAATTTGGGAGTAAAATTAGAAAGCTTATGTTTCTCTAAAAGTTCGATATGCTCATCAATATGTCCTCCTTGTTAAACTTGAACTATTGCTTTGTGAAGTACTAGTGCTCAGCCATTTTAGTTTTTGTAACAGTGCTTATGGGTTTTGTTTAGACAAGATTGGCATGGATAGAATTGAAGGTGTACAGAAGTCCAGCCTACGATTTATTTATGGTATACGCAACTTTGAAAGAGTTTCACATAAGCAGCTTGATGCAAACTGGTTGAATATGCGATGTCGATGTGAGTTAAAAAATATCATTTTTCACAAAATGATATTTTTTAAGCAACCAACATACTCGTATTTATTCAATAGAATAACTTTTCGCACCGGTGTTCATAACTTAAATTTGCGGTTTCGGGGCTACATATCACCTCCTCCTCATCAAACTTTTCTTTTTTGTCGATCTTTCTCATACAACATTTACCGGCTTTACAATCAAATTAATAATGACTTTAAAATTGTGCAAAACCAGTTTAAAAGCAAATATAAAAAATTTATTATTGAAAAACACATTTGACATTTAACAATAAAATAATTCCATCCTAATCGTACCTCATCGGTCCAGTTTTTTATTCGTCGACTATGTGTTCCCTTCACTGTTGTTTAAAAAACAATTCCAGCAACAATCTCGCCGACTTACTCCAGACGATGAAGAAAAAATTCTTCGAAAGCTTGAGATTTTAAGTTATAAGAGTGTACTTTTGCAATACTTTGCATTCTACCCAAAGAAATTAAAGGATTTATATATATATATGTATGTATATGTGTAATAGGTAAAGGGCTGAACTTGTATCATTTTTAAATGTCTTCAGCCCTTTTTTGTAACATATCTCATTTAAATGTATCTTGCTACTATTTTTACCTAACTGCATGTTGCAAATAAACATTATTATTATTATTATTATTATTATTATTATTATTTAACAGACTTCGTATCGCTTGGTGAGAGTCAAAGTTAAAATACCCGGCATGTGGTTTCTTTTAGCGGCCAGACAAACATGGAGGATTACCAGCTTAAAAACCCCAGGGTAAGTTTCGGTGTTACATTAGATAAAAAATATTTCATGACTGTGACTGTAACTCTTTATTCATAGGTGACCTTCGCTCCAATAGAAGCCTCTCTTTATACTCTTCAATTAATTTCCAACATTCCTTCATTGAGTCCCACACTATCGGAAATTGAAGTTGCTCTAATGGGAAAAGCCATTCTGCCAGAATACTATTTCGAGTTGGAATATACCGATTACCTTAATAGTCGACCGCACATACCGAATTGTAATAATGAGGACATTGCTAACTGCAAGATCATTGAATTTTTATCTATTGGAGTTGGAGTCGTTTGTACAAGGTGAGTAAATGAAAAAATATGTATTTATTTAATGCAAGAAGGTGGTCATGTGAAGAACAGGTTATGAATATAGGTATGCTAACGACGTGACGTCACAGTGTGAATCATATATACGATAGGGCTTAAAGCAGATTCTTGTGGTACTTCCTTATACTGGGTGCGCCATCTATTACTTTTTTTTACTTATAAGTTTATGTGTTACCATGTAAGTCACAAGTAATGTGGTGTGCATAAATGAACTGTCAAAGGTATGCCATTTATAGTCATGGATTCGTTTACAATACAACAACGCATTTTGGTTATCCAAACTTATTACGAAAACGGTCGAAATATAAAAAATACTTTTCGCAAACTTTGCATTAGTTTTGGCCGACATGGACTCCCCACGAGCCTGGAATTCGTTGGATTGTTAATCGTTTTGAGGAAACTGGTCCAGCTGAAGGTCGTAGACCATACCAACATGCTCGTCCAGCTCGTACTCGTGAAAACATAGCCGCAGTGAGTGAAAGTGTGCGAGAAGATCCAACCACCTCGACTAGGCACCGTTCGCAACAATTGGGAATTAGTGAGACCACTTTACGTCGGATTCTACACGTTGATATTCACCTCCATCCATACAAAATCCAATTAACTCAAGAATTGAAGCCGGCAGACCATCAACAGCGGCGTGTTTTTGTTGATTGGATGCTGAAAAGAGAAGACGGATTTTCGTCCAAAGTGCTCTTTTCTGATTAGGCTCATTTTCACCTCAATGGGTACGTAAATAAGCAAAATTGCAGATTCTGGGGGGCTGAAAATCCACACTAATATCATGAACAACCTCTCCATCCTAAAAAAGTGACTGTTTGGTCCGGTTTATGGGCTGGTGGCATCGTTGGACCATTCTTCTTTGAAGATGCCGAAGAAAAGGCCATTACCGTCAACGGGAATGTTATCGCGGCATGTTAACAGACTTCTTGTGGCCACACTTGGATCGTATTGGTGCCGACGATCTTTGGTTTCAACAAGACGGAGCAACGGCTCACTCATCTTGCCAAACAATCGCACACGAAACATCAAGACCGCATAATTTCACGAAATTCAGATGTCAGTTGGCCCCCGAGATCGTGCGATTTAACACCTCTTGACTATTTTCTTTGGGGATTTTTGAAATGAAAATTGTATGCGAATGGTCCCCGGACAATTCAAGACCTAAAGCGTAATATTCGGACTGAAATTGCGGCCATAGACCCGATTATTCTGGGAAAAGTCATTGAAAATTTTAATGTTCGGATGTTGGCCTGTAAACAAAGCCGCGGTGGTCACATGACTGATATTATTTTTCATACATAAATGGCATAAACCAACCTTCATTTATCAATAAAAAAAATCGATTTCACCTCGTAAAAAGCGTGTTGATTTTTCAAATAGAAAAAAGTAATAGATGACGCACCCTATACCAGATTGCATAATGTGGCTAGATGGATACTGGTTTGAGCTCGGATGCATATGAATGAATGACACAAAAAATGTATGTTGCTCAAACTATTCAAAATAAGTATGATAAATAATATATTTGTATTTGGAATCAGAAAAAAAGTGACTATAATTTTCAATAGAAATATATAGGGTGTTCCATTCAATAAACAAAACTTTATTCGGTAGCACTTAGCAACTGTATATTGGACCCTACTTCTTTGGTATAAAACTTTTTACCTAAACAGTCATACTAAAAGTTATAGCGGGTCGATTGGCGTGAGTGTGACGTTTAGCACCATTACTTCAAAGTTATCGAAAAAGATAAATTACTTCTATAGAGTTTCCGATAATCCCAGTATGTATTCCAAAAAAAAATTGTGGATAACGCCATAATTCTTCCCTATTTTTTATATTGTTCAAGTATTTTGTTTACAGCAAATGAAAACAAACAAAATTACAAATTCTACAAATTAAAGCTATGAAAAACATTTTAAATGAAAACAAATATTCCAAAATTAAGTCTATGTTAGAAAAGCTCCAGTGATTGAATGTAAAAAAATGTATATGTTATTTAGGTCTCATCTTCATATTCAAATTAAAATATCATTTATTACCACCACATTTAGAAAACTTCACAATAGCAAATCTGTATTCCAAAAGGGAGTATCTGAATTTAATAAATTGAATAATTATATCAAACAGTGTTCGAATTTAAAAATGTTTAAGGTGAAATTATATAATCTCGTTATGGATATCTAAGTCGCATAGCGATGTAATTTTATCAGACAAGAATGTCAAATTATTCTACTATAAAATGTGTAAAAGATTAATAAAGGGTGGGCCATCAGTTGGTTTTTTAACATGGTATTGTTTTAACAGTTGGTAACACTTCCATGCTCAACCCATTAACAGATATATTCTGTCAAACTTCCAGTGTGAGCAATGTATCGTTTTAATCTTGAACAAAGGTGGAAAATATTGAAAAACTATTTTCAAAGTGAGTGCTGTGTTGTAGAAACTTTGCAAAAATTTAGAAGACTATTTGGTTGGAATGAAGCTCCGTCCGCGACTGGTATACGAAAATTCGTGAAAAAGGTTCGTGAAACTGGCTTTCTTGTGGATAACAAGGTATGAGCGACCCGTACGTACGGCCGAAAACAGTGCTGCTGTTTCCCAGAGTGTGCGTGAAAACGCGAGAATGTCAACTCGTCACAGAGCACAAGTGGGCATCAGCCGCACTTCTGTGCGGATAATATTGCATAACGACCTGGAATTATTTCCCTACAAGGTGCAACTTGTACAAGAGTTGAAACAAAATGCCCATCCGCTTCGATATCGCTTCTCTCTGTGGGCTCTATATCAATTAGTAACGGACGTCAATTTTGGTCGCCAAATCATCTTTTCGAACGAAGCCCATTTCCATCTGGGAGGTTACGTTGACAAGCAGAACTGTAGGATTTGGGATTCTGAAAATGTCGTCATAGAAAAACCAATGCATCCAAAAAGAGTAATTTGGTGTGATTTTTGGAGTGGTGGGATTATTGGTCTCTACTTTTTTCAAGATGAAGATGGTAACAGCGTGACGGTAAACGGGGAACGCTATACAGACATGTTGAGGAGTTTTTTGTGGCCACTATTAGATGGCATGCACTTGCACAACCTCGAATTCCAGCAGGATGACGCAACACCACCACACACCACACCACCCGTGAAACAATCGATCTTTTGCACGTTCGGTCATCGCGTTATCAGCCGATTTGGAGACGTTCAGTGGCCCGCCCGCAGCTGTGATTTGACGCCCATGGATTACTTTTTCACCTATCAGCGACTGTACTACAACACGGCCCAGTCTTGCACCAGTCCTTTAATCACTTTTTATTCATGACGTCCTTTGCCTCAGCAACTGGGAAATCTATCTCTATGCGGATGACACTGCCCTGGTGGCCCAGTCGTGCTCTGGGGATCTAGTTCACGACAGGCTTCAAAGTGCAGTGGACGAGCTATTGGAATGGGCGAATCGGTGGCTGATCAAAATTAATCATTCGAAAACGCATGCAATCTATTGTACTAAAAAACGTAGCGGCGCCCCGTCTGAGGTTTCAGTGAATGAAGCTCGGGTACCATGGGAAAGCTCTGCTAAGTATCTCGGTGTCACTCTTGACAAGGGGATAACCTGGCAGAAGCACACTGAAGCGTTAAAAACTAAATTCCAAATCTCGTTTTGGCAACTCTACCCTATGCTATGTAGAACATCAAAATTAAGTTTGATCAACAAAGTTCGGCTATACAAGATGGTTATTAGACCAGCGATCACTTACGCAAGTGCGGCTTGGTGTTTTCTCGCCAAAACGCATTTGCGTAGCCTGCAGGTTTTGCAGAACAGAACCTTATGTACAATCACTAACGCCCCATGGTATGTTTCCAACGAGACCCTTCACAGAGACCTTGACATCCCTCACCTACCCCACAACAAGCGCAGCTACATTACAGTCAAGCAGAATCGCATAATAACCTTTTGTTGCGCGAGTCAGTAGACTACACAGTCGAGCAAGTTCGCAAGCGCACAAGGCCGCGATTCGCACTGTGAACAAAATTAAATCGTGCGACTTTAGGTCCAACCAAAATTATAATTTTTCTTCAACAACCAATCCCAAAATTAATTTTAGGATCAATTTGAAATTGCCGAATACTAATTAGCAACGCCAAGGCACCTCTCAAATTAACGCACTTCTTTGCTCTCCCTCCTTCCTTCCTTTCTTCTTCCTTCTTTCTCCCTGACTTTGTTTGGTATCTGGGCAACCAGACCTGACAGATCTACTGACTTACAAGACTTCAACCAAGAGCAAAGGTATTTAGAATGATCATTCCGAAAAAAAAGTGGCAGTGTCCTAGAGATGCTTTTTGCCTTAATTTAGAACGACTTCCTCATCGTCCAAATTTTAAATATGAAAGCCTTTAAGACGATACTGAGAGGACTCTCTTGAATGATGAACTGTCGAGGAATCAGAGTTTCCCCAACAAACGGGTCCTACAGTTCGAATAATGTAGACTTAAAAGCCACACAGATAACAGAGGTGAAGAAAGTAAAGACGAATGTGTAAAAAGAATTCTTGTTGTGATATATTTAACATTATTATTTTGGAATGAATCTACTGTGTTTTAGTAAAAAAAAAAATGTGAATAATTACAGTGTGTTTCTTGAGTCGGTTGAACAGTATGGAAAACTACTTAGTTTTTGCTGCATTCGTGCAGAGTTAGTCATACTTAGAAATGTTGATTTTGACTTGCTCAAATCACGTTTCAAATATTTTGATCTCCTCTTCAAATGCTGTTACTGTGATCTGTCCCTTTTTTATACCAAGAAGCTTGTCCTATTCTTTTCTACCAAACTAAAATCACTTGTAGCAAATATTTGAAACAACAAGAAAAATACTACCACATGTACTTTTATGGAAAATAAACGTCCATCGTGCTAATATGGTCTTGTAACTTGTAAAACATGTAGTAGTATTAATGTATCATGTTTTAAAGTTACACGGAATACAATATCTCGTATTAGTACAACTTACAAGTAAATCTACTCATAATTTTTAAAACATACTATTTATGGAATAGGGACCTGATACTGGAAGTATTCTCGGTCTCTGTTTCTCCTGGACGTTCCTTGTTGGTGCCAGCTCTCCTCTTACTGGAGGGCTCTAAATCCAAATACGTGCATTCAAAGGCATGCGCGTGTCCAGCAGCACCGCCTGGGGGATAAACCCTTCTTTCCTAAAAGTTCCTCTAAACTTAGGTTTATGGACGGGCATAGTACAAATATGATTAAATACATATATAGCACCATCCGCCACATAGTTTTCACTTGTACTATATTTCACATATAGATTGCAAGGGTGGAGTCAAAGAACAAATAATAATAAAATTGTCAGTTGCGAGATTCATGCAGCGCTGTAGGTTTTAAGAATTTAATTTTAATCAAGAAGTTATATATTTAGAATTCAGAATTCACTAACAATACAATAACACCTAAAAGAATCCCCCTCTCTCTCTCTTTTTTTGTGTACAACAGGTAAAGACTGGTAGATCACCGTCATTACCGCATGACCAGACAGCAATAAGGAAATCAGAGCTCGTCTGTATTTGATTGAATATCATATTAAATTGACAGGTGCTGAGGCTTCAACTTCAGGGGTGAAACAGACAAATATTCGAAATCTTTTGAACAACAAAGGCAAATGGATTTCAATCATGGTTGCAAAGGAGTTTGAAGAGCTGATTGAGCAACTTAGGATAAATATCTGTTTCAGGAACAGATGACTTCAAAAAACCTGTGTTGTGCATGTGCGCGAAATACAAAAATATACTTTTATCATAGAGGGTGCTGCGTGATGCAAGCAGCAAGTCTCTTGATCCATCGCTGGTCTTGTTTTAAGGCACTGATTTTTAAATACTGCCGATTTTGTCCTTGAAGCTACCGACTTTCAACGACACTGTGTACCGACTTTTTTTTCTGTTCGGCAACAGTGGTATGAGCTGAACGATTTAAGAACTTTTTTTGAAGACCATTTATTGCCTAACATTGTTTCTTTTTTCATAGAAAATTCAATTTTGTAAATCCTGACAAAGACGACACAACCTTCAGGTTATCTCCAAAAGGGGAAAATAACCACTTCACATATTTTTCGTGTAAAAGCAATACTGGTATTGTGAAAGGGGGCAAAAAATGTGAGATTTGTTTCACATTTACGCCTCAAGAACTAGGAGCATACGAAGAATTCTACCAATTTCATGTTGAAGGTAAGCCCAACAGAAAAAGCTTGAATACACATAAATTTATATCTAAATAATACCATACCATTCCATTTATTGACCACATTAAGTATAAACAATGTACATGTGAGGTCTTACAAACTAATTTATTAACTATCCGAGTGACATCATAGCATCAACGTATTCATCAACTGAATAGAATCAGTGATTAAGCAATTTCTTTTAGCAAACTTTGAAGAATAAATCATATAATTTAACGTTAGATCTATTATTTTTAGTCATATTCAGTCGCTAGTATGGATTCCTTGTTTAGATTTCTGTGCACATGACATAGGACTCCAAAAATATAAATTGATGAATGCGGTAATATTTGATGATTTTTAACGTGATTTCTGCACGTTGATCCATAACCGGAATTTGTAGTTATACTCAAAGCCGTTTTATGTAAAATGAAAGTTCTGCTAGATGCTATCAAGTTTCCCCAGACCATTGTGCCTTATGTAATGTAACATGCTGAAGTGCACTACCCGCAAAGTGTGGTTATCGAGGGCATCTGCTCAGCAGCCTAAGGAGAAATAATTGTGTAGACAGTCTAGACTGCGAATAATCAATGTGGGATCTTCAGTTTAGTGTATTAAGTACTATTTCTAGAAGTTGTACTGGTTTTGATCTAACAACCGAAAAGTCATAGGAAAATGTAACATGAGATGTCTTGTTTTCATTTAGCGATAACTTGTTGGCTAAAAATCAACTTTTGGCTTATTCCAGACTATCTATACCCGTGCTTTGTCCATGTCTAAACAGCAAAGTGGTATCATCGTCTGCAAATCGGAAGAAGGACCCTTTGAAAGTACTCGAGGGCAGCTCATTGATATAAATTAGAAACAGCAGGGGGCTAAGTACTGATCCCTGCGGTACACCCCCTTGCAAATAGGCAAAAAGTCAGAGAGCGGAGCCTTTAGAGTTTACACACTGCTTCCTATTTGACAAATGAAAAAGCGCTTTCGGCTTGTTCCAGACTATCCTATAATAATAGTTATTCCCATCAATTATAAAATGTGGATAAACTGATTTCCACAAAAGATGCGTGTATGAATATCATTCTAACACATTTATTTTTTAAATAGACGGAATTTTCTTGTAGAAATTAGAAAATCTTTTTCATCATTTACGCAATATAATCCAAGAATTTTTTCTAAGCTAGAGGTCAACTATTTAAAACGAGCAAGTAGCATAGCCAAAACAAAGTGGGTATAGTTTTGTTACTTACCGAGGCTTTTTCTAACAGCTATTAACATTTTCTTTAAATAAGTTTGTGAATGATTCCATTTTCGGCAAACTAAGAAATGGTCATAGGTTTTTCGTATCATAAAATGGTTCATCACAAAGTTGACTTTAGAGATGAGATGAATGGGTGACGGCGAGACTCTCCCAACTACCGATACACCGCGGCTGCTATAACGAACTTGTTAACCTCATTTTTGAACCTACCTAGGGTTAGTACGACGGGAAAGCCTTAGGCAAATTTTTCCACAATTTTTACACCTTAGAAACAAAGGAGGGGTCGTTCCGACCGAATGTACGAAGTTGGTCAGAATGAAAATGAGAGAAGCTTGGCGGGTACTTCTCACGTAGCGGTAGAAGAGAGCCAAATCGCCGACCACCCGTCGGTGCGAAAGGGTCCCGAGACTGTTCGTTAGAGAAGTGTCATCGATCAGTAGGAGAACCCTTCTCTGAACAGCATAGAGTATGAACAATGTAGTCAGGGTGATTGTACCGCAAATATGTGAACAGTACCCGGATGGAACTTGATCTGGGCCTTGTACAAAGTGAGAATGACCTGAGAAGCGATTTTTCTATCATGAAAAGGTTAATAATACTGAAGAGTCATAGGAGCACGCCCACTTTCTAGTATTCTCCATCGTTTTCAAAAAATGTCCTTGTAATAGTGCGTACAGAATCAACCTACTTAATACTATTTCTTCTCTAGGCAAGAATCCTACTACATTTTTATTGGCCGGTCAATGTCGAGAGCCGCACGTTTACTTCAAAACCCCATTCATAACCATTGAACCAACATTGCTACACGTGGCAAAAACTGTGACGGTCGAACTTAAAAACGACGAGTATCAAGAGTGTCCTTTCAGAATCTGTAAGGGAAGCTTGTTGGACGAAAATTCCAAAAGAGTGCTGGAAGTGATTCCTATGTCAGGCAATGTGGCATCGAGAAGTGAAACGAGCGTTAAGTAGGTATCGTTAAGCCCCTTTTACTACCGACGCCTAAGGAAGTATTTTAATCGCGCAAGAATTTCGAAAATGAAAAATGTCTTTTTTTATATTATTTGAAATGAAAAAACATGTCACTCATTTTAGTCGGTATGTCTGCCGGTTTTCTGTCTGTCTGTCCCCAGATCGTTAGCCCAACTATACTTTGAAATGAAATTTTTACGCAAGGTTACTTGTATGCCAAGGACAAAAAAGCTTTATAGATTTTGAAAATTGATCCAGTGGCGGCGAAGAAAAATGCCAAAATTAACAAATGTAAATCACTCAAAAACTTCTTTGACGTTTCAGAGAATCCTGATAATTTTTGAAAAAAAATTTCAAAAGTAAGAATTTGCAGATGTAGGGGGTAGGTGAGGAAGTATAGTAATTCTTTGATGTTAGCTCTCCCAGCCCCGGTAATTCTACGCTCCTATTAGAAATAATATTTCACATACCATAGATTTTCCCGTGCATTTACCGTTAAAAGTTAAAGCGATAGAGAAATGTTCCGTCTGTTGCTGTCTGGTTTCATCGGACGGCGTGCCGGTCTTTGTAAGTGCCGTCGCGATCTTTTTCTCGTACCAGGAATGCCAAATTTCTCGTACATTCAGAATATAACCTCATACACAGGAGTATGTAGAACTTGAATTCGAGTGACGCCTATGGACCAGGTGGCGTTGTTTGCTGCTTTTCATGCAAGACAGATTGGTAGTAATTGAAAAGTGGAGATAGGGGAGGGGGTATACTAGACCCAAAAATTTAGTGTAATAAAATTTGTAATAATAATGACCTAATTAAAGCATTTTCAGTTCGTTTGGTTGGTTACAGATTGGTTTGTCGAATATGACCATCAGGTACAAAATATCAACGCGATGTCTGCTGTGCTGTTGTACAGGGTGGCCCATCCAAGTGTGGACGGAATATTACTCATAAACAACTACATTTTGGGAAAATCTATTTACGGGATGTTACACATGATATTTGAGGGCACATTTCTAAAATATTGGTCATTATACAGGGTGTCCCAATTTTGACCTACATATCAAAGTTGTGATTTTTCAAATAGAATGCCTCAAATTTTATTGCATATTTGGATAAACCAATTCAAAAGAAGAAAATTAATATAACATACTATGGAGTTTTGGTTATAAGCTACTGAGATATAAGGTGTTTTGTCTAGGAAAAAACCCCCACTTCGGCAACCCCTCAGTCCGCCATTTTGAAATTTGAAGTGCTGGATTCTATATCAAAAAAAACTTACAAACCTCTGCTTTTATCCTATTTGTTACTTTTTCGAACTTTAATTTTTGCTCATACAGGGTGGTCAAAAACGCAAATTGTGATTTTTCTCAAAAATTTCAAATGCACCACTCTGTATATTTGTGCAAGTTTGGATTCAATATTTTATAACCTTTTTTTTATGCTAGACACATAAGGGTTTTTACGGCTATTTTTTCGGTTATTTATGGAACAGCTTAATTCCCTAAAACATCGCATCATCCTTGGAAACAAATAAATTGTTGATTAGTTACAAACTGTCAAAATAAGCTTTGTGAGCATTATAATAAAAACGTGTATGAAAATGAATTTTTCTAAAGAATAAATGGTGAATATGATGTTCGTTTTGGGCGAAGCTCAAAGGAATAGTTTCCTAGCATCTCGCAATTATAAGCAACGGTACCCTAATATACGACATCCAAGGCCGGAAACATTTTCCATGCTACGAGAACGTTTTATATCAAGTGGAGCAGTGGAATATAGTAAATAATGTATAAATAATCCAACTGTCACAATGAGGCGAATCAGTTGGAGGTTCTATTAAAGTGGAAGGAAAATCCCCATTTAAGTGCACGGCAAATTAGAGCAGAAACTGATATATGCAGAACTTCTGTGCAAAGGATTATTCACAAGCATAGGTACCATCCATATCACCTATGCTAGCATCAAGGCCTTCGTCCTTAGGATTTCGCAGCTCGAACGGAGTTTAGCAGAATAATGCTAAATAAAGTGAGTGAAGACACTACTTTCCTGGATAAGGTTCTTTTTAACAGCATAGGTGTTGTCAACAGGCATAACATCCACTATTATGCTACGGAAAATCCTTACTGGGTTAGGTAAATAGATTTCCAAAATAAATGGAGCTTGAATGCTTGGGGAGGAGTTATTGGCAGACAAGTTATCGGGCCTTTCTTTTCCGACAACAGATTAACAGGTACAGAATACTTGAATTTTTTTGATCGAGCATTAATTTGGTTTCGCTTTTGGAGGATGTTAACCTCCAAACTCGGATGCATATATACTTCCAACATAACGGCGCACCTGCGCATTATCATAGTCGTGTGCGTAACTATTTGGACACCTGGAGTAACAATCGTTGGATCGGTCGTGATGGACGTATATCTTGGTCTCCTAAATCACCAGATATGACACCGATGGACTTCTTTCTATGGGGCTACGTTAAGCAAGAGGTTTATAGATATCCACCGTCTACCTCTGAAAATATGAATCAAAGGATTAAGGATGCTTTTCTGAACATAAGGGAACACATGCTGAAGGATGTGCAACGGTCATTTATCCAAAAACTACGGCTGTGTATTCAACATGGAGGAGATATTTTCGAGCAGTTTTTGTAGATTAGGTCTTGAGTAGTGACAGTAGTTTGTTTATGTTGTTGTTACAGTTGTTTTTCTCTATTACGCTTGAAACTGATTTATAATGTTCTGATTGTTATTAGTTTTTACGTCAAATCTGTACTCACTTTTTGTCTTTTGTTTCCATGGATGATGTGATTTTTTTCCTTAATTTTGATGTGTTGTTCTATTAAAAGCTTAATAACTCAAAATCTAGTGATGTTATCTGAATCAAACCTTATACCAAAAAAAAGGTTATGAAAAATTGAATGCAAACTTGCACACATATTCAGGGTGATGCATTTAAAGTTTTCCGCGTTTTTGACCACCCTGTATGAGCAAAAATGAAAACTCAAAAAAGTTACAAAATGATACAAAATTCAGCACTCCAAATTTCAAAATGGCGGATTGAGGGGTTGCCGAAGTGGACGGTTTTTCTGGACAAAACACCTTACATCTCAGTAGCTAATTACCAAAACCCCAGAGTATGTTATATCAATCTTTTTCTTTTGAATTGGTTTATCCAAATATGCAATAAGATTTGAGGGATTTTATTTAAAAAATCACAGCTTTGAAATGTAAGTCAAAATTGGGACAGACTGTAATTGCCACTATTTTAGAAATGTGCCCTCAAATGTCATGTATAACATGCCATAAATAGATTTTCCCAAATTGTATTTGTTTATGAGTAATATTCGGTACACACATGGATGGGCCACCCTGTATAATTAATTACGAAGTATGAAATGGGAGCATTTAGAGTTGATATGATTCAGTAAGACCAACATTTACTTGAATGATGGTGTATTTTTGCAGCTATAGGAAGGCACTAAACTTGATATCGTTTTAACAAAATCAGTACCTACTATATCTCGTATCAGTATTATAGAAGAGTAGCGCTGATATCGAGTTGAGAATCCTTGACGTGGTTATATTTGACAGACCAACTATTGCCTAACAGGACCAACTGGAAAAACTAATTGGTAGGTATGCAGACGGTATATTGATGTTTCTGAAACATCGATTTACCATGGATGGTCATGTTTGCATGCATTATTTTGCTTTTCCAAGCTAATAAAAGCATGTTAATAAAAGCGTGTTTTAAAATTCATTTGAAAAATTGCTTAAGCAATTAAAATGGATCCTTTTTGATTAAATTATGCAAAAAAACTACTATAAAATTTCCTTGAATATGACGCACATGAAAAGTACATAACTTGGATTGAAAAACATTTTTTTATCACTCTACCAAGATGACTTATTTTACTGTCATTCATCAAAATACATCAAGTAAGCTTCTACAAATGAGTCAGTGGCGAAGCTTAGACACCAATCCTTGTAAAAGTGACGACTGTATGGCTTTTGTAGGATTATATTCAATGCAGAAGAGCCAGGCCCGGTGAATTTTGATTTGAGGTGTACCGTAAGACAAATTAAGGAACCATTACATCTTGGAATATCAGCAAACTGTTTGACAGTTGTTAGTAAGGTATTCTATACAGACGTGGCAGGAGACCTTATAATATTGAAGGCTGATGAAGACAATTATATGAATTTTAAAAATGTAAGTTTCGAACGAACAACTAAGGCTGACTTTAGTTAGGAAAAACATCAGATAAAGATCAAATTGGTAACAGCGAAATTTACAGTTACTCAAAAACTAATTCACATCATAGAAGTGTATGAAAAGTGAAGATACACAAGCATAATGGAGTTCTGATATATAAAATTTTTCATTTATAAAGAGAATATTGTAAAAAAGTGACATGTACTGAAGGTCAGCGTTGTGACCGAAACGTATGTGAAAATATGTCGCATGCGACACTCAAAAACACCTCAAGGCTGGGCTTTGATTAAACTGTAACCATTAAAGATGACCTTTTCTGTTCTAATCAAAGATTACTCAAAAATTCTAGGTGATGTTGAAAAATCCTTCAACACAAAAAATATCCATAGTAAACGAAGGTTCGATTGGATTTTATTATACTTGGCACGTGGACAAAAGCACCACAAATCCTTTTGTTGACATTACGATAGAAGAAGAAAAAGGATTTTTGGCTGGTGGTACTTTTAATGATTCCGTTTTAACATTGACGCCGCAGAGAAAATCTGCTATACATGACATGAAGATCATTCTGCAGGTAACACATACTATGTCAAGGAGATCGACTTAATATCAATGACAAATTGACAAATATCGCACAGGTTTACGAGGATTAAAATAATTTTAGTATCAGCAAAACTAAAATTTACCAATTTTTTCTTATTTCAGATTTCCTATGGACCAAAATATGTGATCAAAATAAATGCAATAGCTGGAAAACCACTTTTTAAATTTTCGTTTGTGAACTATGACTTTGGACATTGCCTAGTGCAAAAGAACAAATCAAAATATTATGGCACGTTACTTACTTGCAAAAATTATGATACTCGACCGTTAGTGTAAGTATAATGACTAAAATTGGAATTGCAATGGTATCTCAGTTCGTGTCGAAAACTAAGCGTCGGAGAAAAAAAACACCCAGTAATTATGATTTTTCACAACTAATTTTTATATACATGTCTCTTATGGTTAGGCAAGTAATTGACAGAAATTTCAGAAAAAATCCAGCCGTTGAAAAAAATAACTTGTTGAGCCTCCACGATGTCTTATGCACTCAGAAACACGTCTAGGCATACTTCTACTGAGATGATCGATTTACTCTTGAGGAATCTCATCTAGGAATACTTGTACCTCGTGTCGAAGTGCCGGTTTGAGTCTATGGAATATGGGGCAAACAGAGTATATTATTCCCATAATGCGTGAAAGATTGGGAGATCTAGGGGCCAAAGCAACAAATTGGCTTGGTTGTCTTCAAAATGGACCAACGTAATTCTGGCTATATGTGGTCGGGTATTATCTTGTTCGAAAAGTGGGTTGGTGGATATCCGTATACAGGGTGTTTCAGTTTATTGTTGCATAACTTTAAGATTCGATAGAACTTTTAAAATTAATGCATAAAGTCTATATAAACATGGGTCGAAAAATGCGTGGCTTCCGAAATACAGGGTGTTTAAATTTACTTTCTAAAATAGTTTTTTTTTAAATATTTCGAACAATATTTGATGTATAACAGTGAAAATTGGTATACAAGGTTTTTTTGGTACGACAAAACGAACCATGGGCATAGTTTTACTGTAGCCGCTAGAGGGCGCTCTCTACTGTACCTGTAGTGTATTAAAATGACCAAAAAACCCTTGTATACCAATTTTCACTGTTATACATCAAATATTGTTCGAAATATTTAAAAAAACTATTTTAGAAAGTAAATTTAAACACCCTGTATTTCGGAAGCCACGCATTTTTCGACCCATGTTTATATAGACTTTATGCATTAATTTTAAAAGTTCTATCGAATCTTAAAGTTATGCAACAATAAACTGAAACACCCTGTATAAGGCAAAACATGTGGTTCCCTCACTTCCTGGATGTCACGCACGGCGGTCATCTTGTCATATATACCCAAACAGAAACTGGATCCATCACTAAAGACAATATATCTTGATAAAGTAAATTATTAGAAACGTTTTTCTTATTAAGAATAATAATCTGATAGCAGTTCTTAAAAATATCCAATTTCATATTTATAACAAAACACCTCTAGGTCTAATAATGTTATAGCAGAAAATAATACTCTACTCTCCATCTCGTTAGACGTCGTTTTTTATAATTGCTATCGACCGTGAATACGAGAGCTAAAGGTTTCTTGGTGCTATTTCCGGTGCACTCGTGTAGGAGTTTAGCGGCTCATTATCCGAATTTGTGAAATAGTTTCTTACGCAGTGCTGCGGTCTATCGGGTGGTGTAAATTTTAATAGAAATCGACCTTCATTAGTAAGTTTTTTGCCGGAGCCCTTTTTCTCACGCGCCTGGGGATTTAGCCGCAGACATAACTAAACTCAACCATCGAGCTGAGGGGAACCGTCTGCACTGATAATCCGAGGCGAAATTGAGTAGTACTCACACCTGTGAGGAGCAGTTCCCCATTCCTATGAACCCTCATTGTTCTATCTACCGGTTATACCTTCGGGTATCCAGTTACACCTAGGATTTCCTGCCCTCGGTTGCTTCCCTGTGGTAGCCAGGCACCTGCCAAGGTTTTTTAATATCTTTTTTTTTTCTTGAAACCATTTAGCTGGGGGTAGTACAAAATAACTTTCTTTGATTGTTCTCCAGGATTACTTTTAAATTTTGTATTTCTTTTGTTCAATAAATGTTTGTGTACCTTGTGAGTTTGTATCTCCTTTAGCGCCAGAGGTCCAACATTGGTTACTTGTTATTTTCTTTTCTTAGTGCTTGAAACTAGGTGGCGCCCAAGCCACAACCATTTGCATCCAAAAACCAAAGTACAAAGAACCTCACTCCGAGGTCTCATTATCTACCATACTGACTCGTTTCTGGGGATAACATTCGAGGTTCCAATTCAGCAGTTATTTGCGCCAAGGTAGTCGATAACTTTGGTGCCTAGGAGTGAGAGATAGGACAAACTAAGGACGGTATGAAGTCCAAAACTAATGACTCGGCGATAACAAAATTTCATTGTAAAAGGCTTTCCAAGCTTTCGAAACTATTGGCTCATAATTGACCTTGTGCATGAGAAGCGGTCCTGTAAAGCCTAAGGCGACGATATTGGTGTGGGACCATTCTTCTGACACCCCCCTGTACATCTAACTCTTCGTGTACGGCCTTCCTGATTCAATGTCCGACAACAAACCACCACTGTATTTAGACTTCTGTGCGACCTGGTTGCTATTTCTGAGAAGGACCAACCAGCCTCACTCAAGCCCGCTCTATTCGCCCCTATCAAACTCGCTAAGCTGCTGAAAGTTTCCTCGTCTTCTCACTCTAGGTACGATGAACAGATTAATGCTGTTCTTCACAATGTATTGTACGATGGTCAAATTCCAATTCTATCTACAGACTGAGGCAGAAAGACTTCCCCGAATTGGAGAGCCGATGAAATCTGAATTAATCAAGACATAGAAAAAACATTTATTTTTTAAAAAGCATATAAAAATGCCATTTTAAGTCAATGCATTTTGCAAATGACATCACTCAAGTGTGCGCCTCTATTGTTGATACACTGAGTGAGCCTCTCTCGATAACTTTCCATCACTCTGCTGATCATGTCAGGCGGAATGGCAGCAATTTCCTGGATTATCGTCTCCTTGGGAGTAATTTGGGGGCGATGTTGGTACAGGTTTTTCGTTAGGTAGCCCCAAAGAAAAAAACACATGGGATCAAAGGCATTTCGATGATTTATATTAAAAACGGGCAGGAATACACACGTCAAATGATATATCCTCCACTGCGCTATTCCCCCCATAGGCGTTTCCAAATCGGGGAGGTCTTTCTGCCCCACCCTGTACAAAACACAACTATCACTTTTAATAAAGCATTTACATATAAGTACATTTGTACATATAAGTACACGTTTGCCTTATTACAATAATAGAAATAGAAAAAAAGAATTGTGCTGTTATATGCAAAAATTGAATAAAAAGTGTAATACTTCACAAAACAAAAAGAATCGAAAATAAATCTACAAACCGTAATCTAAAAATAGTACTACGAATACAAATACAAGGGGTACTGATAATTTTAGATTAAAAACTAGACAGAGATAAAACTTAACGTAAAATGTAAAAAACAAAACAAAACAGGTATAACTAAAATTGTACAAATAAAGTAGATAAAACCGTGCTAAAATGTGCAAAATTAAAATAAACAGATTACTAGTTACTAACACTTATCTAAAACAAATTTTCTTAGGAGCCGCTATATACCTTCAATCTATCACATAAATAGTTAGGTAACAAATTATGTTTAACTTTGAAAATAAACAGATACACATTAAACATAACCCTTTGTTTCACATACAACATATTTAGAACATTCAACATACATTCAATTGGCGCATACCAGTTACATTTCAAAATCTGTCTCATAGCTCTGTTTTGCAATCTCTCCATTTGATTTATTTTATACTGCGGCAGATTAAACAATAAAGTGGAACAAAACTGTAAATGTGGGGATAAAGTTGTAATTTTCTATGCATGGTTAAATGTTTACCTATTCGCGTTATAAAACCGACTTTTATTGAAAATTTTCGCATTACATAATCAGCATGAGCTTGAAAGTTTAAATTACAATCCAATATAATGCCTAAATATTTAATTTCCCCATTATAAACAATATTTTCCCCATCCACAGTAATGTACAGATTTTGAATTTCTGCTTCCCTAAGTTTTGATTTCTTACTAAATATGCAAAATTTCGATTTATCGGCATCCAAACATGGTTTGTTAACACACAGCCAACTAAAAATTCGTTCTAAATCATCATTTAAATCTTTCTGTATTTGCTGTAAGTTTTTACCTATAATATAAAGCATTGTGTCGTCATCAAATAGAACAATTTTACACTTTATTGTTACTCCAACTATATCATTGATATAAATAAAAAATAACAACGGCCCCAAAACCGTTCCTTGCGGTACACCATATTTAACATTAACAGGCTCGGACAGAAAGTTCTTATAACAACACTCGTTGAACTCTATTATCCAAATATGATTTAAACCACTTTAAAAAAGTATGCTTGATTCCTATATGCTCTAATTTACTAAACCAAATATCCCTACCTACTGTTTCAAAAGCTCTCCTAAAATCTAGAAAAACGGCTAATACAAAGTTATCACAGTCGATGGTCCTAAGAAAATCATGACAAATACCAACAACAACAGACTCGACTTTTTTTGTACGAACAGACGATATCACAAAAACTACTTTATCGATATGGTCAAAATGCTGATCATTTTTTGTCTTAGCCCTAATAAACATATACCTAGAAAATGTTTGTAATAAATTTGTTATTACTGGGTGTTCTATTACCTATTTCACTTACGATGGATAATGTCGACTTGCCATTGAAAACTATTAATACATCTTTCGTTGGTCCCACCAACAGAGGACCAACCATGGACAGTTGTTTCATGCTTATTGACAATCATCAGCAAACCACACTGGAAGGTGCGAAGCGAAACCCGGCTACACGACAGCAGTAGTCCGATATGGAGGATCCCATTTTTGATCCCGCCAAGTGCGAGATTCGTTCCATAACTCGTTTATTGCACGCCAAAGGGACTCCATCAGTGAATATTGATAGTAAGTAAGAAAAAGACGAAATCGGTAGATAGTGTTGTTGAAATTCGGTAGATCCACAGACAAAATCAGTAGGAGGAAAAAATCAGAGCCATCACAAAATCAGTGGTGTATCAAGAGCCTTGGCAACACGCAGCGCTGTCTCTGAAAGTAGTATATTTTTTTATTGCCCGTGTACAAACATCACAGGTTTTTAGAGGGCATCTTTCCATGAAACAATATCAACTTTTTTATTATATCTTGTTCAATGAGCTTACTCTTCAAACTCATTTGCAACCATCGTGAAAACTTCTTTTCCCATTCTTGTCTGTAAAATTATGAATAGTTTTCTGTTTATTTTTGAACTTGAAGCCTTATCAGCTAAAATCTTAATTTATATTCAACTAAAAACGCGAGCTTTGGTTTCTTTATTGCTTGTCCGGTGATACGGACGCACAAGAACTAATACAAGAAAAGCAAATTGTGCGCGCATGTATGATTGAATTGGGGCATAAAACTACATAGACTACAATTATTTTTCTCAATTATTTTAAAAAATCGTGGAAAATGAGGACGTTCTCGGTATTTCGGTAAGGTCTCATTTCGGTAGAACTGCTGTAAAATCGGCAGGTTCGGCAACGCTGGGCGCAACGAAACACGCCCGGGAGGCATTTTAACACTATGGTATAGGATTCGGCACCAGCCTTAATTTTATTGGTCAATTTCAATTTATTTAACCAATAACAAGCTGGGTGCCGAAATCACTACCGGAATGTTAAACAGTGCTGAAAACAGTGTCAGAATGTTATCAATAAACTGCTTCTACTAATATATATACATATATATAACTTGAGACGTGGTCATTGTCGTCTAGACCAGTTAGGTGAAAAATTAAAGCTTCCGCCTTTTGTTGGGTACTTCGACAAAAATTTAAGCAAAGAGGACTGTTTATACCTTTTTTATTCTCTCTAGCTTTCAATGGACTTTGCCATCATCATCAGGAGCTGCAATTACATTGATAACAGTAGCAGCAATAGTGTGAAATGAATTTAAATTAACTTAACTTACAGTAGTATGTGAGGATGTTGTTAATTGTTGTTTACGTTAAGGATGAGGGAAACACCCAGTAACATGGTGAAAGCTGGATAAATGGTACAATGGTCAAAATTATATAAAATACACACAGCTGTATGACAAGAACAAGTTAAAAACAGATTAAAAAATTTTTAAAAAATTACATCGTGAAGCCACTTGATGATTGCACATACCCACCATTTTGTGTACCCAAGTACCCAACAAAAGGCGGAAGCTTTAATTTTTCACCTATATAAATATGTATATATAAATTTTTCATGTAATTTTTCTTATTGCTAAACCAAATTATTAATTTTAAAATCATTAAATATCGTAATAGGAAACAACGTTCGTTGATTATTATGTTACGTATTTTTAGCGGAAGGTAAGTAAATTTAAATTTAAATTGATAACATTCTGACCCCATGCTCAGAACTGTTTAACATTCCGGTAGTGATTTCGGCACCCGGCTTGTTATTGGTTGAATAAATTGAAATTGACCAATAAAATTAAGGCTGGTGCCGAATCCTATACCATAGTGTTAAAATGCGCCCGGGAGAAGTCCAGAGGAGGGAACACTAGCGTGCAGTGTTGCCGGATTTTTTCCCGCACCTTCCAGTGTGAGAGAGAGCTGGAGCTGTCTGGGGACTTTTTTGTGGGTCAATCATCGTATTACCATAATCGCCAAGTGCGAGAGTGAAAAAACCTATTTTCTGTTTCAGAATCGAAAACCTATTCGATACCAACGCAAACCTATCCGTAAACTTCAAATCAGCAACAATCGCGCCGAACAGTTTGGTGACTATTCCCATCTACTTCCACCCCCTAACTGTGGGAAAACACCACTTTGCTATCCCGTTTGACGTCAGCACTTCCAAGAATATCGTGAATGTTAATGGAAATGCTGTCAAACTTAACATCCAGCTGTTTGACATTAGGGATAAGTTCATCGATATTGGTAGTATGAAAGTTGGAAGTATCAAGAAACGGGCGATTCAGGTTAGAATATACATGGGTAGAGTGAAATGATCTCGGTCTGACAATAAAATACTACAGTTTTCCAGTTAAAGATGATTTTATTTTTTTACCTATTTTCCTACAACTTCAAAACACTTGGCCATCGCTTTACAAGTTTAAATTGACATCCGTAACTTTAAGAATTATATCTTTACTGGATGCTCAATATGTAAAGATATGTCAATAGGTTATATTTTGTAAAGTATGCATGCTCTTGATGGTGTAGCACCTGGTTTTAATTACGAGGGTAAGGTGAAAAGTTATCCGCCTGACAATGGAAGATGTTTTATTTCGTCATCTCAAGGCTAAACTATTGTGCCTTTATTTCCTCACAGTACAAATAACGTGATTCCCTTTAAATGTCGAAGTGCTATTTCTCGCAGATAGATTACTTTACTGCACAGTTCCTCACCAGACATGGCTGTTTTGGAATCTACCTAAAGCAGATAGGAAAGAGAGAATACGCGAACTGTACGTACGAGTACTACTCTGACAGGGAGGATGTTCCTGAGCATCTACTCGGATGCAGTAGATGGATTGAGTGCCAGCAATAACTGAGAGCAACGCTCGGCGAGCTCTCTTCTGACTATCTGAATGTGATGAGAAAGGCAGACGGAAAAACCAATAATATGATTCTCTGTTTGATGCGTATGTACTTACAAATACCTTTGGAGCTACCCACCATGTCGAAATGCTGTAATCCGTGGTGGGATGCATGCCGAACGACTAAGGGGGTTTAGTGAGTATGCCGTTTTTGGAGGCACTCACACTTCGGACAGAAAAGGCTGCAAGAAAGAATCCGTTAAACTTTCCTGCCTGAGAGTCGATTAAAAGCTTTCCCCTCTCTAAAAAAGTTTCAGAGCAAACTAATACATACAATTAAGCTACAATATATTTTTATTTAGGTACTGAATAAAACACCTACTGAAATGGATGTATACTTTGCCTTGTGGGATCATTTGCCTATGCATAAACGACCTCAAGAAAAGGCTGAGATGATATTGAAATTACCAGAAGTTCCTGAACCCGTCGTTAAAGAGTAAGTCTCATATTAAAAAAATATTCTTTATTATTCCTTTTGTTCAAAAATATAAAGGGTGTCCCAATAGGTACTGAGATTTCAAGGATAATGGTTAATTAGGGAGCTTTTCGGCACTGAAAATAACTTTTAAGCTGATTGCATCTATGAAATGATTGCATTTAAATATTTCAGAACAGATGTATGTATGTATGTTGAATCATCATCAAGATTTAGTGGCGGATCCAGGGGGTATCCTGCGAGTCCAGATCCCCCCCCCCCCCGAGATACTCGAGTTTAAAAAATTCTAACGTATTTTTCAATATGCTGAGGGCACAATCTGATCTATTTAATTCATTTGTTATACATGCTCGTAGTCAACTTTTTCTGAAAGGGGCTAGTTAACTTATATCGAAACTAATTTTTCATGAACTAATGATAGCGTTGCGTGGGAAGGGCAAAGACAACCTACTTGACGCCATTTTTTATATACAATGCTTTATGTGATATTTGCCTAATAGCGCATTTCATTATACTTTTAAAGTAGGGAGCGTTGCAATCACTGGCTCCTATAAAAATAGTGAAGTGAATATTCAAAAATGAATTTTGGACATCCCCGATGTCAGATACTCTAGGTCTATGGACAATAGATAAATTTCAATATATATCACTAATTTTTTTGTATTTAAGGGGAAACGGGAAAAGCAAAAAATATAAAGGTAGTGAAGATAAGAAGAAGGGTAAGTCGAAAGAAGAAGGGAATACAGAAAAAGTTCAAAATCAACCAAGAAGGACAAAAAGAAACTCAAAGAAGATGAAGATAGGCATAGCAGATCTGGGTCTGATCAGCTTTTTGGGTAAGCACGAAATGAAGATGTTTAGTATGCAAACTGTTATAGCAGTGTTTTATTATTTATAATATAGGCCAAAGGTGAACTTGACCGAACCTCCAAAAATGGACATGTCGCAGTACGTGAAAATATCACCAAAGACGAGCATTCATATGCTGCCTGATAAAAAATACGAGATCATCGTCGAATTCAATGCCAAACAACGATTGGAAGAGTTTGTAGAAAAGGTATGATTTATCCTATTCCTTGGTGCCCTAAAACTGAAATTTGGCGTTACATGTTTAACCTAGCACTTACTGATGTCAGCAGCTGAAACTGACATTGTGGACCTTTGCATTAAAATCACTAGATAAAAATCGGCTTTGCTTGTTTAACCTAGCGTAATGTCACCACCTAAAAGTTGACATCACTGTTTAACTTAATGTTAAAGTCACTAGCTGAAAGTCGAAACTACTTTTTTAACGTAGCACCAAAGTTAGCAGTTAAGAGTCGGTGTTTCCATAATAAACTAGCATTAAAATCACCAGCTAAAAGTTGACATTACTGTTTAACTCAATGTTTAAGTCACTAGCTAACAGTCTGAGTTACTTTTTTAACCTAGCACCAATGTCAGCAGCCAGAAGTTGTTGCTATATTAACCTAGCATTAAGATCACCAGCTAATAGTCGATGCTGCTATATTAACCTAGCATTGAAATCACTAGCTAAAAAATCAGCGACTCTTGTTTAATCTGGTACTAGAGTGACCAGCTAAAGTCGGCGTTTATTGTTTAACTTAATATTAAAATCACTACCAAAAAGAGTTACTCTTAACTTAACATCGAAGTCACCGGCTAAAAGTAGGAGTTACTTTTTTAATCTACCATCGAAGTCACCAGTCAAAGGTCGACGTTCCTTGTTTGATCTAGTATTGATGGCATAAACAGCTAAAAGTCAGCGTTTCGTGTACAACTAGTGTTAAAGTCCCTAGCTAAAAGTTAGGGTTGCCTACTTTTTTAACCTAGCATCAAGTCACTAGCTAAAAGTGGGTGTTGCTAAATTCACCCAGCATTAAAATCACCAGCTAAAATTCTGCGTTTCTTGTTTAATCTAAGATTGAAGTCACCAGCTTAAACTTGGTGTTTCTTATTCAACTAGTGTTAAAGTCACTAGCTAAAAGTCAGGGTTACTTTTTTATCCTAGCATCAAAGTCCCAAGCTAGAAGTCGGTGTTGCTTAATTAACCTAGCATTGAACTCACTAGCTAAAAGTCAACCTTGTTTAATCTGGTACTAAAGTGACCAGCTAAAGTCGGCGATTCTTGTTTAACCTAGTATTAAAAGCACTACGAAAAAGTCAGAGTTACTCTTAACTTAAAATCGATGTCATCAGCTAAAAGTATGAGTATCTTTTTTAATCTAGCATCGAAGTTACCAGCTAAAAGTCGGCGTTTCTTGGTTAATCTAGTATTGATGTCACCAGCTAAAAGTCAGCCTTGCTTGTACAACTAGTGTTAAAGTCACTTGCTTATGGTTACTTTTATAACCTAGCGTCAAAGTCACTAGCTAAAAGTCGGTATTGCTAATTTCACCCAGCATTGAAATCACCAGCTAAAATTCGGCGTCTCTTGTTTAATCTAGTATTAAAGTCACCAGCTTAAAGTTGGCGGTTCTTGATTAACCTAGTGTTAAAGTCACTAGCTCAAAATCAGAGTTACTTTTTTAACCTACCATCAAAGTAACCAGCTAAAAGTCGGTGCTGCTAAATTAACCTAGCGTTGAAGTCACTAGCAAAAAGTCGGCGTCTCTTGTTTAATCAGGTAGGGCAGAGCGCGGTCACTTGATCAGGTTTTTGTTCGAGCTGGTGTAGGATCCATCATAAGAAGTAAATAGTAAAGAGTTATTCTCAAATCAGTAATTTATTCACTTGACCGCATTGTAGGATCAAAATACTTTGGCTATCCTTTGTTTAATTTGATAAATTCACATTATAATCAGATGATGCATACGGCTCATTGGACCCCACAGGCGGGGTCAAGCGGTCCACCCAAAGGGGATACTTGAGCTATTAAGTTATTCAAAGCTTAACACATTAAAGCATCTGATATATCGAAACAGAAACATAACAAAATTTCTAAGACTCCGCATAGGCACAAGAACAATGGGTTATTAAAACCTTTGCACGTAACACATATAAAATACCTAACCAAAGTTCTAAGGCTTCTCATAGAAATAGAAACAAACAAATAAACTATAAAAGTGATTTAGGTAATTAGTTTAGTCACTGTCACAGTTTATGCAAACACAGACAGTACTGACACCAGAACTGCACGTGATGTGAGCCCATGCTCGGCAACTACAGCACTGTACCCACTCTTCTCCAGGAAGACTGTCTGAATAGGACTCAGTGCACACTAAACAAAAACAATCATCCTCTTCAGTCTCTTAAGGAAGTTGTATTTTTTTACATCTTTCTTCTTATTTTCCCAACGACTTCATTTCACATCATTTTTGTTCGGAGTGTCTGTCAAAATTGCATAACTTCTCTTTTTCCTTCGTGTTTGTTGCTTTCTGGGCCCTGCTTTCGGTAATGGTCTCACAAGCTCCGATGAAAATGGAATATCTCTAGACGAAGACGGCATAGCATTAAGTTGTCTGGTACTTTTAGGTTATATTTAACGGCACATTTATAAGAAAGGCCACGTATATCTGATGGAGATAAACCATAAAATATTGATGCCACCTGTATGAAGCCTTAATATTCGTTCTTGTTGAATCGAAAAAACTTGGCGTGGGTTTGTATACTCCATGAACACATCAGAATCAGGGGTAGCTTTTAATTTATTGACATACCTCGAAAGCGTGGTTCTGTCTATTTTATTATCATTAGCTGCTTTACGCATACTTGTTCCATTTATGACTTCACTTACAGCACTAATATTAGCTCGGTCTGTTTTTCTTTTGTCAGTTCGCATTCTAAAATGAAAAAACATTGTTGAAATATTTAAGCATACGACATAATTATCTAGCATTAATTTGCATAGTATTTAACCATATTACATATAGCATGTTATAAATCGTGCAACCAAAAATAACAACAAATATAAGGGGTCACTTGAATATGGTTCATTCAACCCCCTTCGTTTTGGCTAAAATGACCCCTTTCCCACATTCCTTTTAATATGGCTTTATAATAATTAAAAACCTTTTGGAAATAGTTTAGTTTTGTAGCAGCTATTAACAGTAACAATATCGAAAGCAAAATACACTTACTTGAAAACCATACGATGATACTCGTAGTTAATAGCCCAAAATTCAGTAGAGCGATATTTTTTACTTTTGGCGACAAATTTACTACATTACGCACTCACACAAATAACGAACGCCGGCCGGCGACTAAAGCAACGTGGGTTTGGTTTGCTCATCCCCGCACTTCATATAATGCTGCCAGTTTGTATCTAACACGCAGCGTGTGAGTGATACTAGGTTGGCGCACGTGACCTCGCGGCTCAAGACCCCGCTCTGCGCTACTAAAGTTATCAGCTAAAGTCGGCGTTTCTTGTTTAACTTAGTATTAACGTCACTCGCTAAAAGTCAGAGTTACTTTTTTACCCTAGCATCGAAGTCACTAGCTAAAAGTCGGTGTTGCTAATTTCACTCAGCATTGAAATCACCAGCTAAAATTCGGCGTATCGTTTAATCTAGTATTAAAGTCACCAGCTTAAAGTTGGCAGTTCTTGTTTAACCTAGTTTTAAAGTTACTAGATAAAAATCAGTGTTACTTTTTTATCCTAGTATCAAAGTAACCAGCTAAAAGTCGGTGCTGCTAAATTAACCCAGCATTGAAGTCATAAGCTAAAAGTCGGCATCTCTTATTTGATCTAGTATTTAAGTTACCAGCTAAAATTTGGTAACTAAACCAACTAAAGGTCAGACTTACTTTTTTAACCCAGAGTTGAAGTCACCAGCTAAGAGTCGATGTTGCTGTATTAACCTAGCATTAAAATCACCAGATAAAAGTCGGTGTCTCTTCTATAAAATAGTTTTGAAATCTCCAGCCAAACGTCCGTTGTTTTTTCACCTAGCGTGGAAGTCACCAGTTAAAAGTCATAGTAGCTTCTTTAACCTATCATTAAAGTTAAAGTCAGCGTCTAAAAGTCAGAGTTGCAGCTTCTTTGTTATTCTCCGACATAATTTATGCTCCATAATTTTGCTGCTGCCTTTTGGATCACTATGCAAATACAATAAACTTATTCTAGATTTTCTACGAAGTTCATGACTACGCGCTACCCCTATGCGTAGTGAAAGGCTCTTATGTAGCTCCCGAATTTTCTCTGGACAAAAATATGCTAACATTCGCTAATGTTGTTCTGGGATGTCATCGTGACATGTACATCCTCTTGCAAAACACCGGCGATTTGAAAGGAAGATTCAAATGGGTCGTCGACAGAAATGATCAGTTTGAGATACATCCGATGGATGGCGTTATCATGCCTAAGACTGTAATGAAGATATGTATAACCTATCGGCCTAAAGTGATGCAATGTCAGTTAATATTGAAGGTATGTTAACCTCGGTAAAGTGAATATTGATGATTTTTATCCCTGAGGCTCCTCCTTCGCGGTGTCTCAATCATCCCAATCAGGCCCACTATCTGTCCAGCGAAAGATTGCAAAAGAGATCTGACATGCGGACCACTCTTACTAAAGAGGACTCTGGTGCCGAGGTCTATAGCGAATCAGGCACAAAACATATGGAAATTGGTTCTCAGTAGATTTGTCTAAACAGTCAGTATGATAATTTCTTGCTTTGCCGAACAAAAGTGTTCATGGGACCAAAGCAATCCTATGATAGTTCCTAAGAAATATGCGGATAGTTGTCTGATTTGCAAAAATGGTGAATGTGTCGTCCAAAAACTCTTAGAATCAATCGATATAATCCACAATCCAGTCAAAATAAAAATTAGGTTTGCAAAAATTCCCACAAAGCTGAAAATTGGTATATACCTCAAATACATCATGATGAATATTATATTAAAACTCATATATCCTTGGAGCGGAACCTTGTTTTATTTTGGTTCAAATGTCAAAAATATCACGTTTTGTCATATTTCTCTGAAAGGGAAAGAGATACTACAAAAATACCGTGTAGAAAAATTATGGAGAATTCAATTATCTATAAAGTACTTTTATTCATTAAGTCGCCGTTTATGAGGTCTACTTGGAACAGCAGGCTTAAGTTCAGTAAACTCTTTTCAAGCTTTTGTAATTTTTTTTTGAGCCACCAGCATATTTTTTAAACATCTTTTATGAGTACTGTCGTACACATTATGGCCGTTTTAATACCTCAGTTTATAAAACGACTCATAACGATGAAACACGCCACGAATGCGACGTAGCAGCAACTTATATATTAAAGAACGCCTAAATAGCGAATCATAAACAAAAGCAGTTGGGCAAGTTCTATAGAGAAATGTATAGTCTACAATTTTGGAGCAAGTTATTTTTGTGGTTAGTCGTACGGTTCCATAGATATAATAGAAAATGGTAATTTTGGCAAGTAACCTCCGAAAGAATATTTTGCTTTCCAAGGATCGATGGGGACTTATCATATATTAATTAATTAATAGCATATTGAGTGCCTGCAAAAAATTTTCAAGTAGGTTCGAATTTTTCCAAAAACACGACTTCCATTTTCGTTCATTTTGAACGCAGCTTAGACAGACCAGGATGTGTTTAAATGGTACGGATCAATACTATTACTTTCTTTTTTGAGTTTTCAAGCATTTCACGTTCAATTGTTTTGTATCCAAATCTTTAATTGCTCATGAAATTGTTTCTTAGAAATCTCACTTTTTTGACACACCCTGTATTATTAGTATGTTTTTTAGCAAAAGTCGTACATATCAATGCTTCCACATACATGTTCATATCGAACGGTCGATGGCGCACACATAATACAGGATGTTTGAAAAATAGATGGAGATATTTCAGAGAGTGAGTCCTTGTTAAGAAATATGAAAAAAAGGTTTTATAAACATGGGTCCGGAAATGCGTGTTCAAGATACAGGGTGATAAATTAAAAAAAAATATATCAATTTCTTGTAGTCATCATGGTACCTATTGGAAAAGTTGCAATAACACTCTTTCCATGAATTTTGGATTTTTTGTCACTTGGTTCAATTTTTTAGCAAAAATTAATAAACTAATGTTGTCCAGTGACATGCAATTAAACGGTTTTCATTTTTTCTCGAAAACGAAATGAGATACGAAAAAAATACAAGAGGCGAAGAAGTATTTTTAGATGCTTAATTAAACAACAAATATCGAATTTACAAAAAAGGCAAAGGTATTAATAAAAAAATATTTGTTTTAATTTATCACCCTGTATCTTGAAAACTCTGCATTCCCGAACCCATGTTTATAGAAACTGTTTTTCATATTTTTTAACGAGAAATCACCCCCTTAAATAACCCCGCCTAGTTTTCGAACACCCTGTATATGCCGCATAAGAGCACAAGAGTGCCTGAAAATCCACAGATCACTAGATCTCATAAACAGTGTCTCAAGAAATAAAAGTACTTGAACAACAAACTTTTATAGCTAATTGTATTCTCTTCAATGTTTGTATAAGGCAGCAGCGGTGGCCGCAGTAGTAGACTCTTCGGCCTCCTGATCAGTCGCCGTGCGCTGTGTGGGTTCGAATCCCGTCCCAAGAGAAATTTTTCTCTTGTCTATGTATGTTGTGATTGTCCGTAGGTGGTAGACGGTCTCTGACTGTCGAACGCAGAGGTACCACCCGGCGGATCTCGAAGGCGGGGCCAGAATGTGTGCATGTTGCATGCACACGTGTTCCCTCGCCAGAGTACGTGTGGCGTTCACCCCTTTCCCCTGTATCACCCTATAGCCCCACCACGGTACCCCATGGGTGTTTAGGCCTTCGTGGTAGTTGGCGTATAAAAAAAAGAGGAATATGACCAAACATTATATTTTTTACATTCCAACCCAAATAAGTCAAGGTTCGACTCCAACGATATATGTGGAGTTTTGGTATACAGGGTGTAAACGTTATGATAGCCATTATTTAAATGGGTGATAGAGGGCGTTAAAATAAGCAAAAAGTTTCATATAACATGGGGGTCAAAACGGCATTTTTTTAGAGAAAAGCGACTTTAAAGTAAAATAAAATCTGACAACGCTGAAATGCCAGACGCAAATCACGACGGAACACAGTGTAAATAAAGGTGGAGTTTATTATTTTTGGCTCTTAGGTATTATTTCATTATTTGATAATGTACTCGTAAAATGCAAGCATTTAAAAAAACGGACTTACCACTAACTGTCTCAGCGCTTCACCTGGTGTGTGAAAGTTTATTGAACATATTAAAAAAATCCACTTATAAATAGGGAACACAATTTTGATACATATATTGTTTTTCTTTTTAAAACCTACATTGCACTTTTTGTAATCAAAGAAGGTGTTCAAAATGTCGTCCTCCACTTTCCACACAAGCTTCATTACGACGAACCCAGTTTCTTCTTACTCTAGGTCCTCGAAGTTGTTCATTTATTATTTCAGCCGCATTAAAATTTTTCTCGTCAAGTTGTGTTTCAGTTGTTATTGGACCAGCCCCATAAATCATCCCTTTAAGTTCTCCCCAATACCAGAAATCCGTCGGATTGAGGTCAGGAGATCTTGCTGGCCATTTTCGAGGATCAGGAGTATTTCGACCGATCGAGCGATTTGGATAATGTTCATTCAAATACTAAATGACGCCTCTAAAAATGTGTGGTGGCGCCCCGTCATGAAGAAACCACAAATCCTGTCTCGGTTGTAATGGCATGTTGTCTAAGATCTGTTCCAAAAGATCTGGTAGGTTATTGGCTAGAAAGCTAAGGTATCCTTCTCCTGACAACTTTGGGGGTAACTGGAAAGGGCCAATTACCTGATCGTCAAGAATACCCGCCCAAATATTTATTTTAAAATGTTGTTGGAAATGACCTTCGCGAATGGTATGAGGATTTTCTTGGGCCCACGTGTGAGTATTATGGAAATTTAATATCCCGTCTCGCGTAAAAGTACATTCGTCCGTCGCTAGAACGTTTTTAAAAAAATCCGGATTTTCAATGTTTTTGTGCAAAAAACACTGACAGAATGTTAGTCTTCTGCTAACAAGACCTGCACTCGTACATGGTAGGGATAAAGCAAATTTTCCCGTAGGATTCCATGGATGCTATGCGATAGTCCTACGCGGCGGCCTAATTCCCGAGTGCTGATATCTGCATTGATTTCCACGATATTTAAAATTTGTTCGTCCTGCTCTACGTAACCTGTCTTTCACGAGTGCGAATATTAGTGGGCTGAACACTTCCTGTATCTCGAAGTCTTTGGTATACTTGCACAAATGTCCTTCTTTCTGGGTGTACCCGTTTGCGAAATCTGTCGCGATAAATTTGAGCTGCAAGATTTGAATTCTGACGAGCTTCACCGTAAACTAAGAACATGTCGGCAACTCTTGATTCGAGAACATTGTAAATAAACACGACGACATACGCGAACAAAAAGAAAACAATACGCCCGATGCTATGCTCGACAAAACGATAAAGTAATTTATCTATGCAAAACGATAACTAACCACTGTTACCGTTTGTGATCGATTGCCGGCCCGACAAGAGTGATGAAAGACCGACGCGCTGTTGTCATGTGTGTTTTAAATATTTAATTTAATGAAACTTACTGACTACAAATTTTGGCTTAACTTAGAAAAACTTAATGCCATTTATTTGTTAATTACCCAATTTAAAAACGTTTTAGATTAGATTATGAAAATTAGTAAGATTGTGGTAATTGTGGTCGATATAAAGCACTTTAGACAAAAATCTATTGGCTTTTGGACCATGGGTCATATGAACTTTTTGAATTGTTTTGACTACCATAACGTTTACACCCTGTATTATTTATATTGAAGTATTTGAGGTATGCACCAATTTTCAGGTTTGTGGGAATTTTTGCAAACCTACAATATTTTTGCTGTATATGTCTGAGCTAATACTAAAAGGAATATTTCGTTGAAACTCCTTGGCAGGAAGGTGTTGCGATCGGTCATGTTGATCATGACCATGATCCTTACAAGTCATTTTCAAGGCAAGTTGCTGGAGATTTCAGAAAACTCAATAGGACAAGTAGAATTTCACGTGCCATTATTGGATTGTAGACCAACTACTCTCTGCACCAGCCACTTAGAATGTCACAAATTCTATGGAAATACCCGATTTTTTAGCCCAATTTCCGACACATATTCCACGACTATTGCGACACAGCATAAAACGTCTGGCCTTAGGTAACTTGGGCCATAGTGAGGAGGGAGATAGATTTTTATTACTTGTAAGCCCTCTGAAATAAATCAATAGGATTCATATTGTTTTAGAGCAAATGTATAATAAATGGAGTAACCCATCTACCTCTTGCTATCGTTGCTAACTCGGTAAACTGGCCAAATCCTGCAGAGCACCTCACTTTTTTTTGTCCAATAAGGACCGAGACATCCCAAACAGTAACGTTGTACAACAAGTAAGTAAACCTCAAGATAAAGATAAATAGTGGGTTTACCCCAATATATGGCTGGGGGTCATGACCTCTGGGCGAATCGAGGTCGACCGGCCTCCAATAAGACCACCGCCTCCCATTTCAGGAGAAAATGAGTGAATTCAAGTACTAGAAAAAATAAAGAGTAAAAATGAGTAGCCGAAAAAATAATGAGCCTGTGGACATTCTTATGATCCCATTCTAGAACCTTTTTCTTGTGGCTGTGAAGATAGAAATTATAAGTGAACATCCAAATACATCATAGGGTTGGGCATCTTCTTGAAAAATGTGTTGGTCAATGGTTCAAGGATAATTTACCAAATACGTTTGGTTTATCTCGTCAGTGCTTATAAGGTAGCTAAACGGGTGGAGTGTTTGCCTTGTAGAACGGGAGATGTGACACTGTAAAATCTTTTCGAATTAGACTTTCAAGGGATATGGCACTACTTGAGTAAAAATCCCTAGTAAAAGGAGCTTTTTTTTATCAATTTTTAGTACCAAAGTTACATGGAACCTGAAGCCTATTTTGACTGGAGAAGAATTTATAATACCAGACGAAATAATGATTCCTGCGGAGACGAATTATTTGCTTCACATCAGTTACGTTCCAAGAGCAATGAACAGCCCACATAAGGTATACTCCAAATTCTTACACTCCATTGCATTTACTGCTACTTAAGTGTACGTGTAAACAAAAAAATAATTTTGTTTGAAATTTGAAAACAATGTGCACAATTGAGATTATAGAGATTTTTTCGCGAAATCCCGTAGTGAATGGAGCGGGCACAGATTGAATTTCCTCGTCTTCTCGAAGTTTTGACAGCTTCAAGTTACACCAGGAGTGGTTAGATGGCGCATGCTGCGCAAAATGTTTGCTTCAAGTTCCTTGATAAACTCAGCTGTCCTCTTAGAATCTGAAATAAAAAGACCGATCGTTTTTTGTGCAATGTATATATCAATAAAATCAAGCGTTTGATATGACAAGCGCGGTGCCTATATCTACGATGACCTTCACCGTCGTCATTTAAAATTAGGTGGACTTGTTCCTCCATTCATGATTTAATAATTTAACTCGCTTAATTTTCGGCATTGCGAAGACAAATTCTCACCCATCTTAGGCGGTTAACCGTACCACGTCTCTATTCGCGATATTCGCGAAAATTTGTGTAACAGTTCCCGGTACTGCAGTGTGCTATACCGTGGACTCGCGAAAAAATCCTTATTGCTTCTCGGACTTCCATTGTCTTTAAGGTTTTTTGATTCACGACGTTTCGACTGGCGTGATCTTCTATCGTCGTCAGGTCAACTGTCGAACATAGCCCTTTCTTGACTATTGATACTGTTTGATGACGTGACCGGTGGTTGATTGTGACATGTTCCTCGTTCCGGTTGGTTGAGTTGCAGTTGTTTGATGTTTCTTACAATCGGTAGCCATACCGGTTAATTTCCACACTTTTTTGACATCAGAAAAACTCGACATTATTGCCTTGCCGGTATATCCTGCCCGAAGTGTGAGAGTCTCCAGAAATGGCATACTCAATAAGACCCCTCAGTCGTTCGCCACACATCCCACCACGGTAATGATTGTAGCATTTCTTCATAGTGGGTAGCGTTGCGTTAGGTGCTCATACTGAAGATATTAGGCACATACATACTTTTATACCTATGTACATGTACAACCGCTCAAATAGAAACCTACTATTGGTTCCTTGGTCTATTTTTGTTCTCCGTACCTTACTCAGCATAATTCGCCCTGGCGTATATGCGTGGAAAAATTGTCAGCAATGAGTCTCTCGCCGAGCGTCTGGTAGTTATCCTACCTACCATATTGGAGTAGGTGATTAGGAGTATCCTCCTCTTCATTGTAATATAAGCAATTGGTGTACTCTCTTTCCTACCCTCTTCAGGTAGCTCATAAAGCAACCATGTCCTATGAGGAACTGTGCGGTATAGCAATCAATCCGCACCGCTCCCTTGTCAATCCAAGTTTTAATATCTAGAATCAGCCTTCTAGTCCATGCACCATTGTCAGTTACATCCCATCTCTCCTGCCATCTGACAAAAAGTGCCTCTCTTTCGTCGCTTGTAGCTTCGACGCGCTTTTTATAGAGCGCACATCTCTCCACAGCCAGCAAATCAATTGGCGGGATACCAGCTACCACCAGCAGTGCATCGGTCGACACTGTTGAGGATCACATCAAACAAAACGTCGTATAGACTATGGAAGTGCGAGAAACAATAGCTCAAAAAATGATGTATGTTTCCAGGCCACGATATTTTTGGAGCTGCCCGAAGGCCAAGCTCTACTGTATGACTTGACAGGCACAGCTCAGCCCCCGTTAATAGTAGATAACATTACAAGAGAGATACCCTGTAAGAAACTGCATAAAGAAACGTTGAAGGTTGAAAATTGGTTGAACAGACAGCAAACATTCACGGTGAAAACTGAGTTGATCAGTACACCTACGATTAAAAGTATTTACAGGGTGACTGGAAAGGAAGTGATTGCACTACCACCAAATGCAACGAAGAAATACAATTGGAACATTTATGTTGTTAACGAGGAACCACTGAAATTCAGGGTAAGTTTGAATTTTGCCCTCGTAGCACTGTTTGAAGACGCAACAATCTGGTAGAGGAAAGGAACCAAAGTTGACACAAGCGCCTAATTTGAGACAGTGGTGTAACTTTGTATCTTTGTAGCACCGTCTTCTAGTAATACCAAAAAGTTGTGAACTAAGTGTGCTTACAGTTTAGTTTTGCACATGGTTTGCTGTGACATCACAACTTGTTACTTCTTGAGAGTTAAAAATATTTTTAATAGTGCGAGAAAAGTGATTACTAAAATTAAGGTAAGTTATTTAAAACAATTGTCTGATATAAATTTAGTAGCTTACAAATACCATTTTAGTTTCATTTACAATATTGTGACTGTATTAGGTATATAACCTAAATATGCTTGTGTAAACTTTTTAACGGAAAATTCCTAATTTTAGACTATCTCAAATTAAGCCCCTGTATCAAGATGCAGATACCTGGAAACATGAGAGTAAGGAGATGGATTATTGAAAAGCCTCAAAAGGATTCGGATAGATACCTTCCCCATCCAGTTCAAGTTCAGAATGCAGCGGAAGCCTTAAGTTGGATGATTCATCTTCAGACGGTTCGATTTTCCGAACATGAGAAGGGTGAAAATGGACAAAATCCAGCCATTGTAGTAGATGGGCACATGAAGATTGTGAAGAGATTACCAATAAAATTTTCCTTTGCACTTTTTGTAAAAGAAAGGGATTTTTGAATAGTATCTCAAATTAGAGAACCATCTGTAAATTCACAAAATACTTAATTTTTTTAAAATATACTACTTGCCTGTAAAAAAATACATTTAATATTTTATTTTTTTATTTTAGAGTATGCTAGGAGCATCAAATCGCAAGTTTATTTAAAAATATACGCTCGTTTAAAACAAAAAGTACTTTATTTTTCCTTTTCAATAAAAGTATCTCAAATTTGGTTCCTTTCCTCTGTAGTTTAATGCTTCCAAAACATTAATGTGCGTTAACATTATTATAAATTATAATGACAGGCCTGTAGTGAACATGGATTTGACCTTAACCGTGACGTAGAAGGTTATGGTCAAAGTCCACATGCCTATGTACTTACTATGCACAGGCGAAAGACCGGACCTCCTCTCGTGTTGATAGAGCTTCCCCATATCGCCCGTTCCCAGTAACTCAGTAATTGACTTGACGTTGACCGTAGCCTTCAAGATCACGGTCAAGGTCACATCCATGTGCACCACTAGCAAGTCTGGGATAAATCTTAGCAGAACATTTTACTTTATCTCTGTCAACATTACAAACTATAATAATTTCCTACATCTATCAATACGCCCTAATTAGGGGGGCTTCTGAGTTCTACAGGAGATCAAGGGGGGTTTCCTAACCATCACCTTAAAATTTTGCGTTTCTAAAATGCTCACTAACTACATGAAAGTAGATTTTTTATTATTTCCATTTTCCTGGTGAAAAGTATGATTTGCTACTTTCAAAAAATTTCCTGACCTTGATTAAAACATTCAAGGTCACTGTCAAGGTCACGTCCATAATCGTCATTGGCCACTCTGGAAGATATCTTTATAGCAGTATGATTTGCTTCTCTGATAATATTGCTTTGAAACTTATGTTGTCCTACCACATCTTATCTGATTGGGAACTTCTTGGGTTCCCTAGACGATTGGAGGAGTGGTTTCTGAGGGTTGGCTCCATCAGAATTTTTTATTGCCTTATTTAAAACTATCTCTATGCAAAATTTCAAATAATCTAGCGGTAGCCATTTTCCATGAGAAAACTGCGGGATTCTTTTCAAAATTCACCGCGTAATTGTGATCTCGAAAAGCACTGAGTTTCTGGTTAAATCGAGTGCAAAGATTTCAAATCCAATATGATGCTAGCTCATAGAGAAAATTGTTTTTTTTTGTGATTTGATATTAGTCAACTGTTCAAATTTGCCAGCTTAGTAATTTTTCCACTACGTACTTTGTTCCTTCTACAGATTACTACACTATGGTCTACGATCTCCCTAAACTTTGTTTTTTAAAAATGTATGCTACTTATAGGTGACATTCACTAATCCAGACACAAAAGAATATCTTTGCTACGAAATATCCCTGAAACTTCTACCAAGCGGACCTTTGGATGCCATATACATAGAGACGTGCCTTCGGGAACTGAAGAAAGTCACGATTAAACTTGAGAATCCGATCAACATACCGGTCACATTCTTCAACGAATGTCGCCTGCCAGATATCTTGTACAAGAAGGTTGTTACTATTCCACCTCACAGCACGGTAAGAAAAACTGTTTTGACTTTGACTTTATTGGGGTTAAGGGATGTTTATATTGAGTCGATGTCTTAGGAAACGTTTAATTAGACGATGAACAGAATGATGGTGATCAAAATATTTCACCAGATACCCAATCCAATGAAGAAGTTTCGTGACAATCAGACTCAAATAAGTAATAATAATAGTAATAGTAATAATAAATCGTCTTTACTTAGGGGGCGAAGTTAGGCATAATGCTACTCTGCCTCTTAACCCCAGTAGTAACATACCTAGAAAATATCGATGACATATTATCGATTTATCGACTTATCTTTAGAAAGAAAAAAGGCATACACGTGGTAGTGGCGATCAATCGTCTTCCGCCCAGTTTTTTTTCTTAGTTCTTAAGTTACTGCATGGTTATTATGAGAAATTACAAAAAAAGGTTGCTATAATTATAACTGTATTGCTCTGGATGAAATTGAGTGTACAAAATGTGAGGACCGCAATTTATAAACAGGTAACAACTGAGAAAAGGTCAAAGAATAATAATCTGGATCTTGCCGTACCACCTTTTGATCGATTTTTTTTTAATCTCCTCCGCTCTTAAATCATTACAAAAAAAGTTTTATCGCTGTGACATTTTTTTCCTGATTTCTCGGATCCTTCGGATCATTATAAACAAGAAATATCTTCAGTAGTAGTAGTAGTGGTGTTGGTGGTGGGAAGACGAAGCCCGGCAACTAGGCCACTTTTGACCCTTTTTGCCGACCCCGTACTACCAACACTGTGCTACTACTCCACAAGCCATCTATTTGTAACTGATTATTTATAGAATAAACTAGCTCCAGCGATGAGTTGTAGATATAGTTAATATTGCACCTACATACGTGGATAGACAACACACAACACAACATTCATGGCACGGAATTAACTTCCAACGCGGAGATTCGAGCCCGGGTCGCTAACCACCGGCTACCGAGGCTCTTAGTAACTTTTCTTTGAAGTTGTTCGTTTCCGATATGTCTGAAAAACCTTGAAAACGCTCATCTTCAATGATTAAAAGCTTGAGTAAAAATTATTATTTTTGAGATATCTAAATTACAGCTAAAACCTTCCTGAGCAAGACTCCAAAGTATATTTCAAGATTAGTTTATTTTAAAGCCAAAATTAGCAAAGTTACTTTGTATTTCATTATACAAATGTGTAAATAATAACTGTCAGAATAAAAAATGGCGTCAAGCAGATTAAGTCAAGACTTCTTATGCCTTTGTTGGGGGTTTCAAAGAAAATGGATGAGTCAGGTCGTTGCAAAAGGCGAAATCGAATCGTGATTAGGTAGGTTCTCTTAAGTACGAAGAAGCTTCGACGTCAGCATTTTAAACTATATAAGGCATATCTATCATATCTGTTTCCATGGCAAATATAGGGAAAATATATGACTTAATGAGCCGTATTCATAAAACAAAGGATATCCTTGTACTTGCAAATTTTGAAGGAAGTCCTCCAGATGGTATTTATAATAATTTGAAGTAAATGCTTTTGCTTTTTGAGATAAGCATATCCTTCAAAGCAGTGACATAAGTAAATGGATATTCATAATCTTCACCTTATACTTGGCATAGGAAGCATATCCTTCAAAAATTCTGAGTCCTGTCAGTAGCAGACTCAACTTCGTAACGAAAGGTGGTCAAACGATGATGGCGGAAATTGTGGATGTTAGGGATGTTAAAACGTACAAACCTCGATTACCTTCACTTGGTCGTGACTTCAAAAAATTATATCGGTTCGACGAAGCAAATGTGCAATGGCTTGCGGACAGATTTTTAGTTGAGAATGAGGAAACTCGAGGAGGAGCACTTTCATGTATTCACAAAGTGGAGATATATATCTACGCTATCTCGGTGACCCTGGATATCAACAAGGTATTGGTCAGGAACTTGGTGTTAGTCAAGCAACGGTATCTAGGACTGTGGATAGAGTTGTGAACAGCATAGTTGTACAGTCGAACGAATGGATCAAGCTTCCAACTACCAACCATGAACTGATGGAGGCCAAGCGGATATGGCAAAGTATGTATAAATTTCCGACAGCAATTGATGTAATTGATTGTACACATATAGGAATCCTGAAACCAAATCGCCATGGAGATGAGTATATCAACCGAAAAGGGAAACCTACTTTAAATGTGTTGATGTCAGTTGGCCTGGATCAGTGCACGAGTCCAGAATATGGAGAAATTCACAGACTAGATCAAAACTAATAAATAAAGCAAATGTTGTAATACTTGGCGATGACGGTTATGGTATTGAGCCATGCCTTATGACTCCCTTCAGAAATCCTACTCCAGGTGCAGAAATAAATTATAATAAGCTTTTAAAACAAGAAAGAGTTATAATTAAGCTCTGTTTCGGCCAACTGAAACGCCGGTTCCCTATCCTACAGTATGTTTGCCGCGTAAAGTTGGAAAATCTGCCGGAAATAATTATTGCTTGTATTGTACTCCATAACGTTGCGAAGAGCTTGGGCGATCCTGACTCTGAGTTAGTTGAACAAGACCCAGATGAAGATGGAGGAAATCATGAGAATGACGAATTTCCTTTCCGCCAACTAGGTCAACAAATAAGAAGAAACTATGGAGGTACCAAGAATGGACACTTGGTACCTCCACCATGTCAACGCTCCAGCTCACCACTGGACTGAAACTTATTGAGCACCCTCCTTACAGTCCAGATCTTGCTCCCTGCGACTTTGCACTGTTTCCGTATGTGAAAATGAAGCTAAAAGGAAAAACGGTTTTCTAGCGATGAGGACCTTCTGAGGTCGGCGTGTGCCGCACTCCCCGGTGAAACTTGGCAGAGCTGGTTCGAGAACTGGTTTTGGCGGATGGAAAAGTGTATTGATGTGGTGGAAATTACTTTGAACGAAGTCAATAAACAAAGCTGTATTGCAAAACTTTTATGTATTAGAAGGAATCGACTATATCCTTTACCTCAAAAACGCCTTCTGATTGCTCGAATTTAGCCCCAGTAGCAAATTTTGATCAATGCGGGTCAATAAAAAAAGGACTTAAGACGTTCTTTGAGGATTGAGTGCAGTTTGAGGAATAATCTCACCTTGGTTTTTATACAAACAATATTTATTTTCAAAATTTTGAACGTTCTGTATCGTAACAGTAATTATCAAAAGTTTGCGTACCCATAAATCTGCACGATTTTCGAAATTTTCAAAATTACCATGATATTCAAAATTTTCTAGATTTTGAAACGCCTGAAAATTTTGCATTTTGTGAAAAATGGAGATTTGGAAAATTCAGAAGGTTTTGAAATTTTTCGTCCGAAATTTTTGAAAATTTGAGAAGTAATAACAATTTTGAGGATTTAGAAAGTTCGAAAAATATTGACGATGATTGACGGTGGTGTTAACTGATGTGGAAGGATCACATTCTCTCTCATGATAAATACTGACGGTTCACATTAATACTGATCGTGTGACATTTGCCTGAAGGCGATTCTATTTGGCAACACGTATTCATCCTGTAGAATTCGTTTATCAACGATATTAAATATTATATTTTTTCTGTTTCCAGCATAACTTGGAATTGTGCTACTTTCCAATAAAGGTAGATAACTCTCGATGGAATTTTGAGGTGAAAAGTGATGAGCTGGGAATGTTTATATACTCCTTGAACGTAAAAGCTAACCCTCCACTTGTAGAAAAGGTTGTCCGTTTCGAGACAGAACTAGGAGAAAAATCTTTTGCTTCAGTTAGCTTGCGTAATAATTTCACGGTACCTGTGGAACTCAATGGAAAGGTAAATGTAAAAAGGAATTATATCAGTTACTATTACGGGATATTTTCCTAAATTTTTATATCAACGAAATATCTATATTTGACAACAAGTATCTATACAGGGTGTCCGCAAAGTTGGTGTTTTCCTTTAGACGACGTGTAGATCTTGAAAACATAAGCAATTTTTCTTAGTATCATATACACCAATGTCTTAAGGGAACCGAGATAAAGGGCTCTGGAACATCAAAAATATCTGAATACCGACCTGTAGCCGCGACCCGCGACATCACCGAGTGGTACAAGGTCACTGGCTCAACCCGACGACAGAACTGGGTCGGGGTCAGTGTGTCAGGTCAGTATGCAACCTTCAACCGACGGTTACGGTCACGCGTGTAGAGGTAAACGAAACCGTAAAATCGATTGCGTTTCAAAAAAATAATAATGGCACACTCATACACCAATAATGAACTCGTTGATATGTTGTTAATTTATGGCGAATGCCTTCAAAATGCTACAGAGGCTTCGCGAGTGTATGCATACCTGGTCCAGAGAGTCAGGGATATGGGCCATTTGGAGGAATTTCGAGGTGGGCACAGTGGGAGGCCTAGACAACCACGAATGGTGCAAGTTGAGGAAGAACTACTGAATCGCGTAGACGAGAATCCCTCAACAAGCACTAGATACGTGGCTAGAGGAGTGCAAGTATCAAAAACTAAAGTGTGGCAATCGCTGCGTGAAGAGGGGCTGTATCCGTTTCACGTCCAACGTGTACAAGCCCTTCAACCTGACGATTTTCCAGCAAGAGTGCGGTTTAGTGAGTGGTTGCTGCATCAACATGACAATAATCCCGACTTTTTGTAGTGCATATTGGTGACAGATGAATCTACTTTCACGCGTAATGGGGTGAATAACTTTCGCAACACTCATGTTTGATCAGTAGAAAATCCGCACGCTGTCCGTCGGGCACATTTTCAACAAACATTTTCGGTGAATGTTTGGGCTGGCATGGTGAACGGTATGCTCATTGGACCATTTATTCTCCCAAATCGATTGGACGGGATGCAATACCTAGACTTTTTACGCAACATTTTGCCTTCCTTGTTAGAAGATGTGCCATTAAGTGTAAGACAATCAATGTGGTTTCTGCACGATGGTGCACCGCCCCATTTTAGACGCGAAGTGCGTGAGTTTTTGAATGAATTATTTCCGAATAGGTGGATCGGACGTAATGGACCCGTAGCGTGGCCTCCGCAATCTCCAGACTTAACACCATGTGATTTTTTTCATTGGGGAGAAATGAAACGCTTAGTGTACAAAACTGAAGTGCATACGGTTGACGAACTTCGTCTCAGAATTGAACAAGCTAGTGCTTTCATTCGGGGGAGGGACTCCATTCTCAAAGCCTGCACCGATGCTTGGCTACGTCGTGCACGCACCTGTGTATTTGAATCAAACGGCGATAACTTCGAACAATACCTATAAAGTACGTTTACCTAAAAACTGAAAACGCGGCAACGCCGTCATATTTGTTACCTCTGTTCGTGGTCTGTAGTGTCTGCACCACCGCCTGCGTCTGCTCGGTAGCGCATCAGCTGATTTCATTTTCTGTTGGAGCGGTATGATTTCGGGCAGAGACGTACTTAGCCCTTCTCGTCAACTGGAGAGTGAGTACTTTTTCCTTTATTTTTTTTACTTGGTCGCCCTCGTTTCACTACACATTACCTTTGATATTTCAAGGGTAGTTGTTTCTGAAAAGGAGAACCCCAACTTTGCGGACACCCTGTATATGCTCTTATACGAACGCGGAATAGCATAACTTTCTCCCTAAAGTTTGAACATACATTTTAGCGCCAAAGCCTCTACGTAATAAATTCTAGTGTGACGTAACGTAACGCAGATGAGTTCTCTTTCAATTTTTTTGTCATAAAAATCCGAAAATTTTGGTGAGATTGGATTGGTAGCTCTTAAATTAATTATTTTTTATAGAATGTACAAAAAATAAAGTTTGGCAGTTTATGAAGCAATGACGCGAGTTGATACGATACGAGTATGGTTTCTCCTTTTTCTCACTAAATCTCTTTTCCGAATTACTACATAATCTGGTATGTGTATTAGATTTCAAGGTTGATTTTTGTCAATTTCGTGCTTGGCAAATTATCTTAAGGAACTAAATCATGAAAACCTAAACGCCGATCTTTTAACCCCCACCCTTTTTCATCGAACTGATTCTGAACTAAATAGAGCATGCGAAGACCGATAATGGAACTTCCGTTACTAGCAGCTATATTCCAACAAAATCCGAACTGATTCTGAACCGGTTCCGAACAGCTCTGGTTCTGAGAACCGCTTAATGTGCCGTTTATTACACTTATTAAGAAAATTGGTAATGATCAAGATAATGATGAAGGAACAGATTCAAATGGGGATGAAGATCTTGAGCTGATTATAAGAGTTTAAAGAACCAGAAATGGCAATTACATAGTCAAGTGTCTAGAATTTTATGAATTTGTTTCAACCATGTTGTTAGTAATTTTAATCTTATATATTTCTTTCATTTCCTGTCAAACCATTTTTTTAAGATTCTCTGTACGCTAAAAGACAATAATTTATCTCAAATTCCACGTCAAGCATTCGGAAACTTGTAATGTGTAATTGTCTGTTTCAACCGAGCGTCATTCGTAGATTATTACAGAATACACTTTGCACTACTATGTAACAGTTATAGCGCTCGTCAATGTTTGACGTACCTGTTTCATGCGTTCGGAATTAGAACAGAGTCATTCTTTTGGAACGTTACTGCCCGTGCTCCAAAAGTCCAAAACCTTGTTGTCACTTGTCATTCTCATGGTTTATTGTTTGGTTATTTTATTTTGTTATCAAAAAGTGCTCAAAATTGGCAGAATATTTATATTTTTATTTATACATGTGCTACCTCGTATCGTATACATAGATTTTCTTATGAATGCACTCAGAAAACGTGGTTAGAAATTGGTCGGCTGTCATAAATGATTTGGGCGTTCTGAAAATAAACCTTCACTTCCAAAGTAAAATTTCATCCGCCGATCGACATTCCATCACTGTGTACTTACGCTATTATACAGGGTTATCCAAATTAAGTGTCCACCATTAGTAACTTTGTTATTAGTGAAAATACAAAGTTGTTTGAATTAGCAAACTAGTAGCATTTTTAACGCTGGTAAAAATGAGAAATAAAAAAAAACAATTGAGAGTCGTTATTTTGATTTTTTTCAGTAAAATAACATTTTTTTAAATGGAAACCCCTGTATATTATATTTTTTTCTGTTAAAGCATCAAATTTTAAACAAAAAAGTTCATAATGACTTTGACGCTAAAGTCAAAAATAAAGTCAAAATAACGATAAATATTTTTAATTATTTGCAGTATTATAATATTAAGACGGCTATGAAAACAACATGGCGTTCGCGATTTGACAGCATTAAGATAAGCGACAAATTGTTAAACTGGACATACTCGCAACTAGAAGGCTTTGGAAAACAATGATAAAATCAAATAATGTCAAACATTAGTGTAAATACTTGTTTATAAGCTTTATTGTGTCATTAATTTAAAGAAAAATGTTCTCCCATGAAGAAAAGTGTGATATGTGCAGAAAATCCTCCTACAGTGAATTATATCCCGCTCGCATTCAACCGTATGAACGATATTTTCTGAGACTTTATCGAAAATTTAGGGGCAACGAAAATGTTTTTGCTAAAACAAGGGCAAAAAAAGAATTCATAATAAGCGAGGCCACGGAAATTGCAGTTATTGGATATTTTGAAGCTTATCGTGAGAATTCAATAGCAGATATTCTCAAGGACTCTAATTTCAGTTATGGTACTGTTCAAAGGATTTTAAAAAAATACAAATTTATTCCGTATAAGTACCGACCAGTTCAAACGCTTTTGGCAGGGGATCCAGAGAGAAGACTTGTTTTTTGCCATTGGTATCTTAGCTTCTGTCGCCAAAATGTAAATAACTTTCGTTACCTTTTATGGACAGATGAATCAAATTTTTCAAATTCTGGAATGTTTAATAGAAAAAACCACCATTATTGGTCAAGAGAAAATCTTTTGTTAGTACATCCAAGAGGCCCACAAGTCCGTTTCAGTTTCAACGTTTGGTGCGGTATAATTGGTTCAAAAATTGTTGGCCCGTTCTTTTATGAGGGAACCCTAACTGGTGAAAGATATGTGGAATTTATGTCAGAAATTCTGACTAATTTCTTAGACGAATTGGATCTTATAAGTAGACATCATCTGCATTTTCAGCAAGATGGCGCACCTGCCCACAACTCCAGAGGTACTTATCATTTTCTAAGTACTACTTTTAATGATCAGTGGATAGGAACAAATGGCCCAATACAGTGGCCTCCCAGATCACCAGATCTAAACCCACTTGATTACTTCTTGTGGGGTTACTTAAAGAACCAAATTTACAAGCGAAGGTACGATAACCTTGACGCGTTAAAGACTGCAGTTAGGGAAAAGATAACCCAGATAGATGGTAGGACCATACTTAAGACAGTTCGAGCAGTTGAAAAACGTGCCCAAAAATGTATTGAAGAACAATTTGGTGTTTTCGAGCATCTTCTTTAAAAAAAATTGTTATTGTATTTTGTAAGATTATAAGTTGATGTTGAAAATAAAGTTTGTCGATACAATTTAATTGTTTCAGATTGGAGGCCATAACTTCAACAATTTGTAACCTAGGAGAAAAGTTATTGTAAGCTTTTTTGTTTAAAATTTGATGCTTTAACAGAAAAAAATATAATATACAGGGGTTTCCATTTAAGAAAATGTTATTTTACTGAAAAAAATCAAAATAACGACTCTCAATTGTTTTTTTTTTATTTCTCATTTTTACCAGCGTTAAAAATGCTACTAGTTTGCTAATTCAAACAACTTTGTATTTTCACTAATAACAAAGTTACTAATGGTGGACACTTAATTTGGATAACCCTGTATTACCAAGTGGTTTACAAATGTACTCCACAATAGGGAACTAGTTCTGAACTGTACTTACCTTAGGCATGTGCATAAGACTAACTCAGAATTAGTTCTGTACAAGTTGAACTGCTTGTGGGAGCAAACCTAATGGTAGAGAGAAAAGGCAGCAAAAGCTGCGCTTTCCGCATTCATAACTGGAGGAATAAAGCTAATAGAGCACTAGCACTAATAACCTTGATGCCGCACAGTGTAGGTATCTCCTGTATCCCGTATTATAATAATCTAATAACAATGGTTTCAAAAAAGAGATACCATACAGCATCTTGAATGAAAGTTTAAGTAACGTGCATGCCACTTACCATGTCATTCCAAATACCCCAAGAAAAGGTTTGCAGGGTTTATGATAGACAGCATCATGAGGATCATAACAAAACACTTATTATGAAAATCGCAGTTAATTCGTCCGGCACTAAACTATAATCTGTGACTAAACAGCGATTTCAAAAACGCGGGATTACTTTAATTTATCTGTACAACAGCATTGCGAAAATTGTCTATCGAGATCCCCAGATTGTACATAAAATACACTCACGAACCCACGAGAGCAGACGCAGTTAGGTACTCTTGTATTTCGCCGACAACAATTAAAAGGTTTTTTTCAAATTTTTAACGCAAACAATAAGTCGCGATGTCGGTTGCATACTAGTGTACTAGAAACAGTGCAGGGTTGCCAACGTCAGAATCACCGCGAGATCAGGATCGTATTCAGGATAACAGATATTTGCAAGGACTAGATTGCAGATAACACGCATTACGGTCTGAAATGGATTGTTTAAAAGTAAAAGTTGTTAGCAGAACCATTTAAGGGCGTCGCATAAATAAAGAATATTGATATGCGCCAGTCTATTCCCATTATGAGGAGGCATTAATCAATTTGTGAAGGAACGGTGCTATGTTTATAAAGATTGAAAACTGAAACACGTTACAAAACATATTCTGAAATGGTACGTTCTACACCCATATCCAATAAATGACACAAGAAATATAAGCAATATATTTTAATCAATGTAAATCACTATACCTCTGTTCGATATTTGCAGTTTGAAAATCCTGCATTTTTGTTGGAAAGTTCGACAGCTATTTTGCCAGGAGAAGAAGGAAGATACATGTTTTGTTTTGAACCATTTGAACTAGGAATAACGAAATGCAAAGCGGTACTTTCTTCACCAATGACAGGAGATTTCATGTGAGCAATATCACTAATACAATAATGAAGTTCATATTTGATTATTTGACAGCTTCCAAATTCTATAAATTTTGTCTGATTTCATCAATATATTCCAAATTCTTATTTCTTAGTTTACGTTTGCGTCTAGAAGCCTGGTTCTATATAACTTTGACGCCCCGCTGGCATTTTTTCGATTACTGACAAATTATTCTTAATTTTTTACTTGCACTTCTCCCTCTGCATAGCCAACATAAACACCATTTAGCTTCATAACACGTTTCTAAAGATTATTTTGTTTTGATTGTCAATATATTTTTATAAACAATTTGAGCATTAAATATGTACCTTCACCGTTTTTTTTTTCAAATATTATAAAAAATATAATCGTGTCTATTACAACAGACAAATTACTTTTTGAAGCTGACACTGACAGCAAAAATTATATGAATGCATCCATTTAAAAATAATAATACTACCTAATTGCTACTAGGTTTTTCGTGTCATTAAATGTTTCATCACAAAATTAACTCCATATTTAGAGGAATGAGGCGGCATAACTCCCGCACTCTCCTAGTCCAACAAGTATCTTCGCATCTGCTCGGAAAAATATTCTGATTCGATTTTTTGCATAAAGTTCAAAAATAACCAAACTCGATGTTGCGTCAAAAATTGTTTAAGAGGTTTTTTTAAAGAAGTTCCTAAAATTGTTTATTTATCGCTCGGGACAAAGTTTTTTGCGTTTTTTGAGTCCTTCTGAACCAAAAAGGTGTTTACGACCTCTTCTCTTCTCCAATAGTTTTCGAAATACAGGGTGGCCGATATGTAACTGACTGGTTTGTATCTTGAATATTTGTGAAGTGAAATAAAATGCGTCCATTTTTTCCACCTTAATCTTTTATTGCACTTAGAAATTATGAACGAAAAATAATATCAGATAAATGTCCGCCTCTAGAAGGCGCGCAAGCAAACCTGAGAGCCCTCTTGATTACATTTTCCATCACTTTTTGGCAGGTTTCGGGAGGAATATTTTCAATCGCTTCCGTCATATTGTTCTTCAGCTGCGCTACAGTATTTGGTTTGTTGGCATAAACCCTATTTTTCAAAAATTCCCATAAAAAAGTCAGGAGCCGTTAAATCCGGTGACCTTGGTGGCCAGTTGACATCACCAAATCGAGAAATATTGTTCGCAAAAGATTTATTGTTGGCCTAGCTGTGTGACAAATTGTTCCGTCCTGTTGGAAGCACATGTGTTTTGGAGGCTAAATTGTTGGATTTGAGGATCCAGAAAGTTTTGCACCACATCACGGTATCGCTCACCACTGACAGTAAGAGAATTACCTGCAGCGTCTTCGAAGGAGTAAGGTCCAATGACACCTCTATACCAAACACCGCACCAAACTGTGACTCGATGAGGATGTAGTGGTCGTTGATGGATGAAACGAGGGTTCTCTAATGCTCAGATACGACAATTCTGCTTATTAATAAATCTGTTTATATGGAAGTGGGCTTCATAGCTCATTATCAGTTGTCGGTAAAAATCGGTATTGCATGACTGTATTGTCAGCGACTTTCATGGTCACTTGGCTGTAGTTCTTGGGTTAACTGAATTTTGTATGGCCGCAAATGCAAGTCTTTCTTAAAATAGTGCATAATGACGTGCGACGAATACCCAGTTCTTGAGAACGATGTCTGGTAGACGTATCAGGGCGCTCCACTACACTTTCACGAACTCTCTCGATATTTTCTGGAGTACGAACATTTCGAACACGGCCCGAACTTGGCAAGTCTAACTTCACCTGTTTGTTCAAATTTCCGCACCAACTGACGAATGGTGTTGACACTGGGCACATAATTTCGACAGAAATCTTGTTGTAGCTTCCGAATCTTTGCAACAATCGACTCATTATTTAATTAAAACGTTTTAACAATACGAACGCGTTGTGGGATCGTGTAGCGCTTCATGATGAATTGGACACATGTTGTGCTTTAAGCAACTGCTTCGGCGCCACCTACTGAAATGCGTGTATCAAAAATGACGCGCAATTTAAATCACTCAGTTATACAGGGTGACTTCGAAGTTGAGTCATTTATTTTAACAGTGAGTAGATCTGATCAAAAGAAATGTTTTTTCCTTTACCATTTTTCTGGTAAAATTAAAGTAACAAAGTTATAGCCCTTTGGAAGTTTGAGTACCGCCCTGTCTCAATAATAATATTATGTGCTCGTGTTTGGCGACAACGGATATAATCCGCCTTATCGGTTCATCGCACCGGAAACAAAAAAGCGAAAGAATTTGGAACGATGTTTTTACAATTATTTTATTCATTTGTATACAGTCAGTGTCAGTCGGTAACGCGTGAGTGAATAGTGGTGTCTGTTGCGTGGCTCAAACGAAATAAAAAATGGCACATGTTTATGCGGATCGGTTTCCCAATCGAGTGCAACCAACCCCTCGTGCCTTTGTTAATGTAGTACAACGGGCTCATGAATCAGGTGACGGCATGCCGGTGCTCCAAGACCTCACGATCAAATACAGGTCCGCACTGAAATACTTGTCGGGAGGATACTTTATAAAACAAGGCAAACATTTTTTTTTAATTTTTTTTTATTTTTACACACATATTTTGGTTTATCTTCCTTCTACAATCATTATCTGAAAATTAATGACTCAACTTGAAAGTCACCCTGTATATTGGCCACCCTGTATAAGCGATTTTACAGGTGCGAAATATTATTTTCAATCAAAACATCAATTTAAAAAACGAACATATCAATATTGCCAAAGGTCCTAAATATTCTCCAAACGTCAAATAACAAATTCCAAAGGAATTTTAGCCTTTGTTTTATAATCGTTAATCAAGAGCGCGCTCTCGCAGAATACACGTTGAGCGGAAAAAACAATTTTTAAAGTGTTCAGACAAATTTTGACACATTTTTAGGCCTGGCAACATGTAGATGCGTATTCGAATAAGATTATGCAAAAAACCGAATCAGAATAGTTTTCTGGACTGATACGACGTTACTTTGTAGACTATCTTGCTATATCAAGAGAAATACCCATGAACCGACCTTTCTCTCCATGATGGAACGCCAAAGAATGCAGTTTCTCTAAAAGTAATATGAAGAACGCGACGCCTACTTTCAATTAGTCACTATACCCCAGAAATTAGCCTTCAAAATTATTGAATTTTTTTAATCACACTCTACAAATTTATTTCAGATATCCACTAACAGGCGAATGTACACCGCCAAAACCCAAAGGACCGTACACGATAAGATCCGGAGGCATGATCGCTGTAAACTTCACGAATCCCTTTTTGGAAACCAAAGAGTTCCATTTCACATGTGATAACAAAGATTTTCTGTTAAGAAACAATGAAGAGGAGATACGGGGAAGAAAAAGTACCAACATAATCGTTAGTTTTGTGTCTTCAAGATTAGAACATACTTCGCTAGCATGTCCATCTACTGCCAAAATGACTGTCAAGTGTCTGGATCCGGAACTACATCACATTACATGGTTGTATTACCTGCAGGGTGATAATGAGTGATTATATTTTATTTTTAATATATAATAATGGTATTTTTTAGTGAAAGATTTTTTACCATGTCTTCAACTTTTACGACTTAGCGGTCATTCTTGAATATGGCGGCGCATTTTCTTCTATACAGGGTGTCCCAGAAATAACATGCCAGAGTGACACGGAAGGTAGATTGGCTTCAGATCAATCAGATCAGATAAAATCAACATGACCTTAGTAAAAGTTTTCTAGTTTTCGAGATATTGCCACTTTTGAGTTTTTTCAAAAAATCACTACTTTTTGCTTGTTATGGCTAGAAAGAACTTCTAACTTGTGATTTTTTCCCTGGGCTACCATTAATAGTTGGTTGAGACAACCAAGTAATTACTTCATTGAAAACTAGCACGGTATGCTGAAAAAAAAAACAACAAATTATTACATTTGGTTTCAATGCGAAAACCTTTGCTAAAGTTTTACTAATTACTGTGAAAAAAATGTGCCAGACTGAATCAGCAAATGACCTTAAAAATTTGCTATTTGTGTCCACATTACGACTTTGTAGTTGCTGTAATCGCAGTGAGCAGGTACTACCTGAGTGTTGCGAAAATCAATGGAAATAAAAAATACAACCTATAATGGATAGCTGTTTTAGACATTTGCTAAAATAAAAAACGATTACAGCAACCACACAGTTGTAATTTGGACACAAAAGACAGCTGTATTTATTATTTTTTATTTGTAGTATTTTGCAAGTATTACTACTTCAATGACAAAACTTGGAATTATTTAGTTTTTAGTAAAAAAAGGACCTACAAATGTTATACTATTTTTAAAAGAGCATTAAATAGCTAATTTTTAATGTCATTTGCTGATTCTGGTACATTTTTTTAACCGTAATTAGTAAAACTTTAGTAAAGGTTTTCGCATTGAAACCAAATGTAATAATTTAGTTTTTTTTATCATACCGTTCTAGTTTTCAATGAAATGAATACTCGGTTGTCTCAACCAACTATTAATGGTAACCCAAAAAAAATCATAAGTTATAGCCATAACAGGCAAAAATTAGCAAAAAGTAGTGATTTTTTTGAAGAAGTGGCAATATCTCGAAAACTAGAAAACTTTTACTAAGGTCATGTTGATCTTATCTGATTGATCTGAAGCCAATCTACCTCCGGTGGCACTCTGACGTGTTATTCCTGGGACACCTTGCATACAGGGTTGGGATTTTCCTTTTCAATGCTAATGTGTTTTTTTTATATCGAATCAGCCGGGCAGGCTGAAGACTAAATGCCGGAACACCGCGTCCCAAAGAAATTTTGTTAATACGATTTTTGAACTGCCTAAAGTTAGTAGAACTAGGAAACAGTAGCGAAAAACTAAAGAAAAATTAATGATAAAGTACTGATCGTTCATTTGCGGAGAAATTTCAAGTACGGCTTTGTCACCTAAAAGTACTGTTCGAAGTTGTCGCCATTGGTAAAAAGTTTAGTACCTATTGTAAACCGTCCAGCCGATTCGGGAAAATAAAAGGTCGAATGCCCATACCATGTACCATGCCGACCCAAGCATTCAAAATAGATGTTGGTTGAAAATCTAACCGACGGATTACCTGAGGATTTTTCAACAAGTACACATAAGTATTTCGGAAGTTGTTCACTCCGTTACGCGTGGAGGTTAATTCTTCCGTGGATAATATGGACTTCAACCTCGCATTATTTTCATATTGGTGCAACAACCACTGACAACACTCTTGCAGGAAAATACTCCGCTTGTACAACAGGGTACAATCCATCATCACGTAGCATTTTCCACGCTTTAGTCTTGGAGGCGCGCTTTTTTTTCTACAAGATTCAATAATCCTTTCTCAGTATGGACTACTTGGGGTTGTCTAGGTATCCAGTGGCCCACCTTGGTAGCCCTGAGAACGACCTGTATCCCTAGCACTTTGCACAAGGTGAACAAATCTATGCGGTCCCGAATGATAATCTCTGGAAAGGCGATCTGCATACGCTCGCGAAGCCGCAGTAGCATTTTAAAAACACTCACCATAAATTGAAATCATGTCGACAAGTTTGATATTGCTGTACGAGTGTACCTTTTTGGTTCTTTTCAAACCGATTGATAATTAAATGTATGTTTTCCTTACGATACCTGCCCTTGGGTTGAGTACTGACGTGTTTTGTGCCTTCTCACTTTTGATCTGATCTAGATACGGGAGCGGATTTCCTTTGATTTAGGTTTGATTGATTTTGCGGACCAATCTCTCCTTGTGTGGTCCAAGGTTATGCAATTAAGTGGACTGTTTTTTTTCTTGAAAAGTAAGCAAGTGACAAAAAAAGTTTGCCTAATCCAAAAAATATAATAAAACATGCACAAAAGTCAGTGGCGTCCATATTTTCGTCACAAATATTCGTTCAGATCTCGCTCGAAACGCCACTGGACTTGATAAATTTAATCAAGTCAGGACTAATTTAGCTCCTTAATGTTATAAATACCACCGCTAAATTGCAAGAAAATTAGGTAAAGGATATTTAGTTATTTACGAAAAGCCATTTTGTCTTAAAATTACTCAAAGAATCGTCTGTTAAATTTAAATGTTTGGTACGGTGAAAGCTCTCTTAACGGGCAGCTCTAATAAGCAACCATCTTCCTTAAGCGGCAACATTTTTTGGAACCGATTTTAGTCCTATATTTTAACATAGAAAGTACACTCTAACAAGCGGGCACTCTAATAAACGGACGCGGGCAATTTTTGCACATAGGACGAAATAATATCTCCTCTAAGCGATCGCGAAGCTCTAATAACCGAGCAAATGAAGTTTAACCATTAGGTACTTTAATATGGCCATTCGGTGATTCCCCGCGAAGATTTCTGGGATTTACGGTATTACACGATCACAAGTTATTGTGTTGGAGGTTAGAATTTAGAGTTGGCAGTTTAGCACTGTTAGTCTTGTTGTTTGTGTTTTAGTGTGCACTTTTAATTTACGATAATATTCAGCCGAAAAAGCGAATGTTGACGCTAAAAGAAAAGATGGAAATTGTGAATGTTATTGATAAGGAAAAATGATCAACTCGGGCTTGCAGCATTGCGATTTAATATAGGAAAGACACAAGCGACGTTGATTGCAAAAAATGAAGAGGATATCCGAAGTTTGTGGCAGTCTTTAGTAAATGAACAACAAAAATGTTTTGTAGGACTGAATGCTTAAACATCGATAAAGCATGTTTTGAGTGGTTTATTAGTGCTAGAAATCGAAGAATACCCATATCTGGGGGCTTGTAATAGAAAAAGCAAAGTAAATTGCACAAAAATATGGTTGTCAAAAGTGTAGTGCATCCGATGGGTGGCTTCAAAAATAGCGTAAAAGAAACAATGTTAGTTTTAAATTCATTTCTGGTGAAGCGGCCGATGTAAATCAAGAGACAGTCGATGCATTTATAGAGAAACTTCATTGCTTTTGGGATACCAATCTGAAGACATTTACAAGGCCAACACAAGCGGTATATATTTTCGTGCGCTTCCGGATAAAACACTGGCTTTAAAGTCTGAAAAGTGTTCGGGGGGAAAATTATCGAAAGAAAGACTAACCGTATTATTCTGTGCAAGTATGACAGAACAAAAAAAACTAGTTAGTGATTGGCAAATTTGCATGCGCTCGAGCATTGAAAAATGTAAACATTAAGGATTTACCTGTTATGTGGAAGTCAAATAACAAAACCTGATTGTCACGCGAAATAATGGGTGAGTGGTTAGCCCAGTTGGATCGAAAAATGGGCATTAAAAATAGAAAAATTCTGCAATTTTTAGACAATGCTGCATCTCATCCTCGAGACTTCATTAAAAATTTTAAGTTTTATTATCGTAATCAGATTTTAAAACATACTTTCTTAAATATGGATGGTGTTTAATCATCCTCTGAATTATCAAAAAAAAATAATGTTTTGAAGGCATTGTATTTTATAAAAACGGCATGGCAGAATGTTAATGAGACAACAAGACAAAATTGTTTCCGAAAAACTGGGTTCAGAAAAGCAGGGCAAGAGGTTCCTCATTTTGATCCCGAGGATGACTTGCCATTATCTGTTTTCGCAACGATGGTCCGAGCTGCGGATGAGCTGAACATTACCAACGGTCAAAATTTAGATGAATATGTTAGCATTCATCAAAACACTCCAACTGAAGAAGATGCTGAGCTTGAACATTTAGACGTAGAACTAGTTCTTGAATCTAATCAAGAAGACGGATGACGAAATTGAGGAGATTCAAGAAGAGGAAAATAAAGTAAAAACCTATGATGAATCCGTAATTTATGTAACAGAACTGAAAAACTTCGCAAAAGATGTTGAACAAATTAAAAATTTGGAACGTCATTTTCAGAAATGTCGTGATGATGCAAAGCAAAAAAAACTTAAGCAAGCGACTATTCTAACATTTTTTCAAACTGTTTCTAAACAGGTTTTCTGCCCTTTTGTTGTTATTTGAAAATTTTACTCGTATGTAACATATGTACGTATTTCATTACACCTCCATACATATATGTAATTATAAATTATAATTTTATGTACAATGTGTACATACAAGTCTTATAATAAGACTTAATTTAATATATGTAATTATCATATTATGCTTTATAAATTGATACATGTAATAGTATGTATGTACATACATACATGTATGTTATGTTACTTATAAATAAAAAACTGTGCAATTCCTATATTTTTTAGTTTTCTTTAAGGGGTCACCTCCAATAAGAGGGCAAAAGAGCTGGAACCATAGCTGCCCGCTTATGAGAGCTTTCACAGTACATAATTAATTAACACCCTGCATATGCCACTATAAAAAACCGCTTATTTTTTCTAGATCTATCTATCTTTTAGCGAAAAGTTCCAGCTTTGAGGATACCTTGTATATAAATGTGAATATCTGTCCAGTCTGTTAGCATCATGTCTAAATCACAAAGCGATAAGTGATACCCAAGGAACGTTATAGTTATGGTTTTATTCGTGAACTCATCATCGATTGTACAATATTTGACAAGATTCAACTGTCGCCGCAAGTACGAGTACCAAAATCTCCGTCAAGCCGGCATCAGCGAGGTCTGCCATCATATTTTGTAACATTGATGGTACTAGCACAGCTTAAATAATAATTATCTACGTCTACGCTATGCTACTAGTTATTAGTGGCGCCACCTATACGTTCTGTAGGTAAAGCTGCGGAGCCTTAGCAGCCAGAACGCTAGTAAATTCATTCTTTCATCAGTCACAGGTGTCATATTCTGACATCATGTAAGTAAGAATGCAAATTCAATTTATAATATACAACTTATACGAATTTTGCAAATACATACCTTTTAACTTCGCTCAAAAGAATATGCATAAAGATACCTCATAACGCCAGTTATCGATATACCCAGTTCTTATTCAACTCTCTTGAGATGACACCTCAAAACCTTAACTAAATGCAAATTTTTCCGATATAATTTCATTTCATAGTCGTCAAAATTCAACTGGTTCCATCACTATCTTGGCACCGCAGAGGTCACGCGCTAAAAGCATGATTTATAACTTGACTAGAAATCTGAAAAGGTTGGTATCTGATGGATGGCTCTGTAGCCAACTATATGCTCATATACGCAAATTTGGTTGACGTAACGCATACGAGAGAGAAGCGTGCAATATGTACGTTAGGAGTGCGCCGATTGCATCGCGGCAAGCCGCAGACTGCGTTCGGGGCCTCGTCACTCGGGTTGCTAGACAAATAGGCACTTCTATCTTTTTCTAACACACGTATTGCTCGCTTCTCTCTCGTACACATTACGACGTCAGTGGTAGCGGACAAAAGTTTGAAACAAATATTAACATTATTATGATCTATATTTCATATACCTAAATTAAAATTGTGAAGGAACAGATAATATAAATATTAAAGTCTACCATTGTCCCGTACTAATACAAGGTTTATCTTGTCAATATTCAAATAGTCTGAAAATAAAAACGCGTTTTTTTAATACCACAGTTTTTGTAACGACAAAAGTATGGAAACATTTCAGTTTTGCCGTATTTATTCGTTCTGCAATACTCTGATATTGCGTGCGGTAAATATCAACATCAGTGAGAATGGCAAAAGTAAAAGAAAGAAGATTTAAGTAATTGAATTATTTAGAAGTGGTATCAGAAATGTTGACATTTCTCAAAAATTAAAAATGAACAAGGGGACGATTTCTAAAATTATTAGTAAATATCAAGAATACGGCTCAACAGCAACGCGGCCCAGGTGCGGAAGACCGAAAAAAACCGAATATGTTTTGGATCGCTAAATTAAACATTTGTCCCATGAAGATCCTCGAATGCCAGCCACATAGATTTTCAAAAGAATACTAGAAGAGGGTGCCGAGAATCTTTCCGTCAGAACAGTGCAGACACGCTTGGTGGATTTTGGGCTTTTTGGTAGGCGTCCAGTGCAAAAGCCTCCCATTTAAAAAAAATACTGCTCGGCTTGAATTTCCTAAAATTCATCTAACTTGGACAGAGCCACAATAGATTAGTTTTATGGAGTGATGAAAGCAAATTTAACTTGTTTGGATCTGACGGTACGGCATATGTGAGACATTCAATACGAAAAAGATTCGACAAAAAGTATCAGTTGCCAACAGTTAAGCACGGTGGAGGCAACGTCATAGTTTGGGGCTGTTTTCTAGTTCTGGAACGGGTCCAATTGTTAAAATTCCAGCACGATGACCCCAAGTATACCTCAAAATTCGTAAAGGACTGGTTAAGACTAAAAAATGTTAATGATCTTACATGGCCTTGGCAATTTCCGGACCTAATCCATGTAGAACATCTCTGGGAGCATGTTAAAAAAGATGTTAAAAAAGACAACTGGCAAGAAAAAGTTTTAAAAATAGGGACGACTTATTTAATAATGTAAAAAATATTTTGCAAAATATCCCAACAGACGTCTAGAAGAAATTGGTGTCTTCTATGAGCAGCAGATGTCAGGCAGTATTGAATGTTAAAGGCTATGCTACCAAATATTAGCTAAACAGTATTTTTTTAATCCTTTTGTAGTTATTGTATTTAATTTTGTAAAAAAATATGTTTCCATACTTTTGTCGTCTCATTTTTTGTCACAAAATAATATGAAGGTATTTTAATGCTAGTCTGTACTACCACATCAAACACAAATTGTCATTTGTATCCTCAAGACTGTAAGCAAACTATATGAGAAAAAAATATTCCATAATAATAAAGAATGAGAAATTGAGGCTCTTTTTAAAAATTACTAAGAATGTTTCCAAACTTTTGTCCGCTGCTATATATTGATTTCACTGGATGCTATATCTATATAGTTGGCTACATCACCATCTCTGAGACCTTTTCAGAGTTTTAGTCTTTGGGAGAGGAGAGAAAGCTGTGAAAAGTTCTCATAGATAACGTCATGGAAATCCATTTCAACTTGGATAATTTTTTGGACGTTGCAATATAGTATTAGGGTGGCTATATCCAGAAGAGTACGTTAATCAATGGTTATATACATAATTTGCTAGGATACAACTTACAAGTGTTGAGATTAAGTTCTATTTTCATAAAGTTAAAAATCACAATTTTCGCGGGTGCAGATGACGTCATGGTACGTCATTTCATCTCGGATAATTTTTTGGACGCTGGAATTGAGTATTAGGTTGCCTATCGATAGGTAGAATACGTTAATCAATTATATAACAATAGGAAAAATTCCTATAATAAATAAACTCCTTGTGTTCAACACATTTTATTTATCAAAAAACACCTTTTAACTGTATAACTGTACGTTTGTACATATAACAATTCTCAATTGTGAACCTTTACAAAAAAACAATAAAAGCACTTCAAAATTTCATCACTATGGAAATCAAAAAAAATTAGGGACACTGCTTCGCATTTTATCTCTATCCTTGACTGTACAAAAATAATACAAAATAAATCTGGACAAATTCATTCACAGCTTAAAAGGAAAAATATTTACAGCCTTTTTAAAGAAAAATAATTTATTCCACTCACATTTTTACACTGGTCACCGTCAAACTTTAGCGAACGGACATTTTTTCAGACAGTCCAAGTCAAAACTATTCCGTAAACGTAATACTCCAACTGCATGACATAACCTCACAAGCACAGTTGACAGTTGACATATGATAGCTGACACCTCCACACATCTAAAGCTAAAGTTGGACTGTAACTAACAAAATAAATAAGGACTCTGTTTTTAAACGAGACAGACTAAAGCTGCTTGGAGTTCTCTGACTTTGTTTTGTCAATACTTGGAGGTGGTGTGATGACTGGTTGTTTATCCATCTTGGGCTTTCCGGGCGGTGGGGGAGGTGACGTTACATCCTCTTTTTTCGCTGTTGCCGTTTTTTCGTCTGATTTGCTTTTACCGTCTTTGGGAGGGGGTAGTTTATCCTGACCTGAGCTCTGTTCCCTGCCTTTTTGAAGGGCTTTCTCGATTTTATCCTCCACTTCAAGAATTTCTTCTTTGTCTAAGAGTTCAAATAATTCTTCGATTTGTTTCCCACTTAGATTGACGTTTTCTTTGCCGATAATTTCTATTACCTGTAATTCAAAAAATTATTTGAAACTGTAAGAAAAAAAAAGAATGTGACAACTCCATTGTCTAGCTTAGCAGAATCAAACCACATACAGGGTGATTCACACGTCGTGACCAAAAATGGAACATCATACACAGCACCGCATTGCAAGGGGGTCTTCTATGTAGCTTTTTTCCGTCGAGGGCATCATTAAAAAAATACGGGGTGTTGAAGTTTAAAAATATATATTACTATCTTCAAAACCGTCAACTAGAATAAACTAAAATTTGGTATTTGGATTTACCTAAGTATTGTCCACATTCAAAAGTATTTACTTAAAATTAACGTGCACCAGTGGTGGAGATACAGGGGATTAGTAGCATTATTTTTCCAAATAAAAATAGTACTGTTTTTTTTTTCACTCGCAATTTTTCGCATTTCACCTTCAATTTGCTACATATAATTGCTCTTGTGTTTTTTCCCAAAAGTGCACTGTTATCGTAAAAATAAAAAAAAACAAATTAGTAAAAACCTTTGAGGTAGGTTGACGTCTGTTAGGAAATCTATGTAAATACTCCCGAGAAGCCGCTAAAGCATTTCCATTACAGAACCCGTACAGAAAAATAATATCGGCGTACTCATTATTGCTAAATTCCATTTCACAGCACTCAAAAATCGAAAAAGAAACGTTTGACTTGACTTTTAAAAAAATGGTAGTAGTAACGAAAAAAACCGTATAACACATAACTTTGACAAACTATCTCCCAGGAAACATCAAGTTGGTATCAAGGCCTCCTATTTTATCTTACCTTTTATCTCGGCTCCTCATGAATTATCTAATTTGTTTTATTTTTATGAAAACAGTGTACTCTAGGAAAAAACACAAGAGTAATTATTTGTAGCAAATTGAAGGTAAAATTCGAAAAATTTCGCGTTTTGAAGAGAACCAGTACTATTTTTATTTGGAAAAGTAATGCCACGAATCTCCGCCACTGGTGCATGTTAATTTCAAGTGAAAACTTCTGAATGTGGACAATATTTAGGTAAATCCACATACCAAATTTTAATACTAAAAAAAATGTTTTTTATTTTAAACTTCAACACCCCGTATCTTTTTAATGAAGCACTCGAGGAAAACATGTTACATAGAAGACCCCCCCCTTGAAATGTGGTCGTGTGTATGATATTTGATTTTTGGTCACGACTTGTGAATCACCCTGCATATGTTGAATTTCTGTGTATTGTACTAAGTTTTCGCCATCAAAGTGGCCTTTTTCAAGTACAATGACAATGACACTATATGTTTGTTTATCTATCTTCCTGGTGGCAGTTCATTTTTTCCTTTTCTACTCTTCTATATAGTGTGTTGCGTCAATAGATTAAATTATAATGTAGCACGCCGAGATCTCGCGAAGCCATCATTATAATTTTGTTATGGCACCGCGCAAAACCAGAATAGTCCAGGATCGCTTAGGGTAGGCATTCCCGTTCCCAAAGCACATATAGCACCTCGAAGCGACAAGCGAGCACCAGGTTATTTGTAGTTTTATAATGTACATATCAGACACGCAACCCGCGTCCGTCGTCCCGAAAACGCCACCATCCGCCAATATGCAATTTCGCTAAATTTCACATTCAAGACCAACTTGAAATTAAGTTAATAATACACAAAACTTAATTGTGTGATCTACCCTGTGTGCATTATCTAGCTAAATCTAACGTAGGGTTGAGGTGACAGCACAAAAACATAACCATACTAAAAATGTTCTACATAATTTTGAATTGGAATGGAGAGTCAAATTCAGTTGATTTACATACTGATTGAAGTTTCCATTGCCATCTTAATTACAAAGCTAACTTTAAACAAAATTACAAATGCAGATAACAAGTAAAAGAATTGTAGACCTCACACATGGTACCAAGGGTAGTATAAAAGTTATGCAATGTGACAACAAACGGACGCAGGAGGCTGCATGTTTCCGCATGTGGAGACATGTCTATGAGTGCATAATAGCCGCCAGCAGCACGTATGTTGATTTTGTTGTTTATTCCTATTGACAGTGTAAAGTGCGGACTATGGCATCGCGGTCACGTAGTGAAATAAGGGCAGTTTTACGGTATAACTTTACGAGTGGATTAAGCCTAGACTAGTGCTTAGAAGAAATGTCGCTTGCATTAAAGAATGATTATCCTCATCGTACGAGTATATTCAGGTGACACAGAGAATTCCAAAGGGGCAATTTCACTCTGGAGGACGCTGAGAGGGAAGGAAGGCCGCGAACGTCCGTAACAGAGGAAAACATTACTGTTGTGAGGAACATACTTGACAAAGAGTGGAGAGTGACATACCAACAGATCTTTTCAGCTTCATGCACCAGCAATTCTACATGCCCATTTACACAGAAGGGAACTTTGTTCTCTCTGGGTAGCATCGTGACAGATGACGAGACTTGGCTCTATTATTACGATGTGCCGACCAAGGCTCAAAACAAAGTTTTGGTCTTTGATGATGAGGGCACACCCGTAGTTGTCAGAATCTCTATTAAGAAAAAAATGATAGCTATATACTTCAAATCGAGCGCGTCGTTTTGGACACACAGAAGACAGTCACAGCTAAGTGGTACACGGAACAGTGCTTGTCTAAAGTCATAGTATATATGAAAAACCTGCGGGCAGTCGAAAATGGATACTTGGTACCTCCACATGGCAATGCTCCCTACAGTCCAGATCTTACTCCCTGCGACTTTGCACTGTTTCCGCAAGTGAAAATGAAGCTAAAAGGAAAATGGTTTTCTAGCGAACTTGGCAGAGCTGGCTTAAGGACTAGTTTTAGCGGATGAACAAGTGTATTGAATGTGGTGAAAATTACTTTGAACGAAGTCAATCAATCAAGCTGTATTGCAAAACTTGTATAGTACCCTTTGTATAATATGGTTTACAATTAAGGAAGTTTTCAAGTTCACGGCAAAATATCTATATTGTTGAGTCTTTTGACATAATCAGGGAGGCAGGTGTATATTTTCAGGCCATTATAAGTGGTCTTTCACAAGTTTTGATTTAGGTACGACTAATTTAAGACCTTTTTTGCTATTTCTAAAATAAACGATACGTCAGTCATTATTTTAAGGTGCATGTAGCTCTAGGATAGCTTTTAGTTAAATATCTAATAGTACGTTGTCTGCAAAATAATGATAAATAAAATAAAAATAATTTACAGGGCGTTTCACTTTGAATAAAAAACCAAAAGAGGGGCAATCAATTTTGCTAATTAATTAACGACATTCCTTGGCAATGTACAAAATGAAAGACTGCAATATCCGGGTTAAAAGATGTCGAATTTAATAGAAACAAAAAAGTAAAAACATCGATTCCGGCCCTGGATTTTTTAACTGTCCCTGCAATTTAGAGCTTTTTTATCCGCGAAACGTGAGATTTCCCTCAGAAAAATATATCCCCAAGTAAAAATCTCCAAAATTTGGGAGTAAATCGTCCAACCCTGTCAAAGCACCACTGGTACTTAAGGCGTCATGTTTCTCTGTCGTTTTTAAAGCAGGAACAGCATTGCCGTAGTTTCTCATGGTATAAAGGATCCATGCTGAGTATAGTAGAATTGTATAGAACCATAATGGCGAATTTTCCAAATTTCAATTTCACGGGGTACAACCCAAACGGCTTGATGGATTTTGAGATTTGATTGCACAACTAAAGCTTCATTCTTTCACTTACTGCTGCCGGATTTTTTTATTTTGTAAAAATTTTCAGTCTGCGAAAACCAAAACTTCGCCAAATTGGGCCTAAGAATGTTAAAAATTCAGTTGAAATAAAGTAATCTCAAAATTATCTTTGAGGCTTGAAAGGCAATTAAGTCGACCTCAAAATTATATTATTCAGTTTTTAAGCATTGAATATTCCTATTTTTAGGTCTTTCCACACATTAAATCGCTTATAACTCGAAAATGGTCAGCTTAAGAGAAAAGTTAATGGAAGCCTTTTTAATCAGAATGATCCAAAAAAGTTGACCTGGCGAAAAAATGTAATTAATTTAAAATATAAAATGCACCAATTTGATCTGGATTACCGTTACAATGATTAAAAACTTGATTAGACATCATAATTTTTGAGGTCGCCAAGTATCTAAATTCAAGATAAAACCTTGCTCTGCAAGACCTGAAAGAGTATTTTGAGACTACATAATTTTAAGGCGATTTCAACCTTGTTTTTCAGGCCAAAATTGGTGAACTTCTGGTTCTCGCAGACTGTACTTGTTAAATGAAATTGTTTGCAAGTTTTATGCAACTGATTCCTTATTATGGAAAGTTATCAGCAGTATAACGACCTTGACCCCTATCGTGGGAATCGTGTTTGATTCGATTATTTTTTATTCCTTGTTATCTAATCTAAAATACAGGGTGACATGAAACAACTAATACCACAACAAACAGAAATGTTTCTATGATGAAATGTGGTCAATAGAACACTTTGTGTTTAATCAAATTCACGAAACGTATGCTTTCGGGGAAGTCAACTGAAAAGCATCTAATGTCAATGTTTATCCGATTCTTTGCAAATCTCACCTTCAGCACATCATCAATTTTCAACGAACCATCATGATCATCGTCCATTTTTTTCAGAACAGTCGCAATTTGGTCTAACTTGCTCTGGTCTGGCACTCCTTTGAACTTTACGATCGCCGAGATTATGTCATCTATCTTCAACAATTCTTCTTTTTCTTATCAGTAGCTTCTACTTCCAAATCTTTCTTCAGCTGCTTCTCTTTCTCCTCCATATCGACCAGCACCTTTAGCAAACATTTAAGTTAATATTTGAAGATTTTTTTGTAAAATAACATAATTGATTCTTCAAGGATATGCCCAATGATTATTACAACCATGTTTGCAAGTAAGATTGCAAAATTTCGCTTCAAATAAAAACAGACCCCATTTTTCTTTTAAAGAAAACTATTCCAAACATGGGTATATCTGAAAGATTATGTTAATAATTCGACTCTCACAATTGGGATCTCGGAAACCGTAAGAGATATAAGTCGTCTGGGAAGGAGCAAAGTTGGCATATTTAGATAACTAATAAAATGATAATTTAAGTTTCAAAATTCAAAGAACTTAAGAAAGACGGAAAAACTGAATTTTCCAAAAAAAAATTTATTTTTTCGCGACTTTGTAGAGGGATTTCAAAATAAATTGTACATGAACATTGCCACTTTTTCTCCTATACAAGATGGCTCAACTAGAATTTCAATTTGACGTTTCATATCTTGTCGTCCAGCATCAAATTTGTTTTTTTTTTTTAAAGGGCGCAATACTGGATTTTTGCACTGATAAATAGTTTTTTTATTCTGATTCCAAAAATGTATAATGTTATACATTAACATTACCAAACTTCAATTATTAGAAAAAACAATTTCTTCGGTAGGCATTGAAATTAACAGATATATACCAGATTTGTCGCAAAATCATTTCATTTTCGTAACTTTATTTGACACAGGATTTCAAAAGAAATGGCATGCTGTTATTGTCACTTTTTCTCCTCTACAAGATGGTGTAGTAAAACTCAATTCAAATTCAATTTTCAGGTTTCTTCGAATTCCATCGTTAACTCAGTTTTTTTCATATGGAAACTATATTGGAATTTCGTAAATTTAAATGGATCTTTTAGTCCTGATCTCAGCAATGCAATTTCTTAGTTGGTACTAAATTTGTTGTTGGAACGAAAATTATGTATAAAGAAACAAGTAGGTATAATGAAACCAGAACACATAATTAAAGTTTTAGTGATGGTAACAATAACAACGATAATAATAAGCAGATGTTTAAAACATTGTCCATTATTTTGTAGCCCGACCCTTCTCTGTACATTGTTCACTGTTCAATTTAGTTCTAGGAGGTCTTCAAAACACCTTTTATTTTCTTTAATTTTCGATAGAATAAAAAATTCATGTCCTATTAAGGAAATACATCACTGAACTTAGGACTCAAAATTTCATTTAAATGTACAAAATTCCAATATAGCGTCCATATTAAAGGCCCCATCTCAAATAGTCATGAAAAAATAGAAATAATTTGCCAGTAAATCTGATATATGAAACAAATCTGATAATTTCAAGGCCTACCTAGGAAATCCTGTCTTTTTTTAATATCTAAGGCCCGTATCGTCAGTCGTCCATACAATTGTAGGGCGCGTTTATGGCCTCCTTGATTGTCATACTCCTTTCTCTCCTTCAAAAATTTCTAGATTACACTTGTCCCGTGTCAGCGTCAGCGCTCTCCTATTGTGAAGATATGTTTTCTTTTTAAATTGTAGGAAATTTCAGGCTGATAAAACATGATATAACTCAAAAGTAAGCACAATTTGATGCAAATAGATGTTTGTGACATAACCTCAAAATAGAGCTCTGACACGGAGAAGTAGAAAACTATGACAACCAAGGAGGCCATAAAGGCGCCCTACAATTGTAGGGACTACTGACGATACGGACCTAAGACTTGGAAAATCCAATGTATGACATATTTTTGGAATCAAAATTAAAAACTCCATTCACCTATTAAAAAATCCAATATGGCGTCCTTAAGAAAAAATTAAAGTTGATGCTGGAAGGCAAAAGACAAAACAACATCGAAATTCTAATAATGCCGTCTAGTAGAGGCGACAAAGTGGCAATATTGATGTGCACTTTTTTTGAAATCCCATTACCAATAAAGTCACGAAAAAATTAAAATATTTTGTGAAATCCGTTTTTTTGCGTCTCTCTCCGGAAGTACTTTGAATTTTGAAACTTCCTAAACGGCATTTTGTTAGTTATCTAAATAACTTTGTCCCTATTTAAGCGTTTCTGAGACCCAATGGTGAGGGTGTAATTTGAAACACCCAGTATACTGATGCAAAGAGATAATCATAGCTACCTTGTCCAATTTATTAATCATCTTATTGACACTCTTGAACAGTCTCTTAGCTGCCTTAGTTTCTTTGATCTCCGGTGTAGGTTCACTAGCCAATGTCTTCTCCAAATCTTCAATATCCTCTTTGTAATCTTCCACCTCTTTCTTCAACTCTTGTATCTCCTTATTCTCTACAATAAGCTTCTTCTCTTTCGATACAGAATCAATAGCATTCTCTATAATCTTAAAGTCCTTCGATTGCAAAGGTTCTTCCAACTTCTCTTCAACCTTCTCCAATTTCTCTGTACTGATCTTCAAAGCAGTATCTTCCAAAATAGGAGTCGTGCTAGTCGAGAGGATTGGTGCTTTGTCCACCAGGATTTCTTTGTCCTTGACCTTTTCTTTGACCTTCTCCAGTTTCTTCTTTTCTTCGCGACGCTCTTCGCGCTCTTCCCTGATCTTCTTTTCTTCCTCTCTGAGGATCTCTACGCGCACCTTGTTGTCGATCTTACCTGGAAAGTTGACGAACGATGTAAGTAGATTCAGCCATATACAAGATATATTGGAAGTTGGAACTTTCACTTTCAAAAAGAGATATGTTGGAAATTACAAATCTAATGTGCGGAAAATGCAGTGAAAAATTACGATATTGACAAATCCACGCGGCGCGGGATGGACACATCCAAAAAAAAATTCTAGTATATTCGCGAAGCATCTGCAGCTTTTTGAAAATACACATCATAAATAACATTAAATCAACAAGTTCGGTGTTGCTACTTGAATGTGCGATTGTCTATATTTTTTTCAAATCGGATATATAAACAAACAGCTTGGTTAATCTACACGACATGCGGATCATGGATACTGTCACACGACGTATCTTCTCGCTCAATTATTTACTGGGGACAATGACAGATTTGGTACAGCAGCTTGTTTCAGAGCTTATTAACTCAAAGTTGTCTTAAACTATGTCTATACCTCAGAGCCAGACTAAGTCCAATTTTGCCTAAAATGATTTTAACATGTTAATGTTCATGATATGAGAGAGTTTTCAGTGCAGCAAAGTAGTGAATCCCTACCCTTCCGTTACGTTATTTTGTCAGCAATAGCAAAAAGGAAGGTTAGAAAGAGTTTTTATGAAAACTAAAATGAACCGTAGTAATTCGAGAATACTGACTACTGACAGTTTGCTTATTTTGTTATCGATTTTAACGTGGAGCTAACCCCAAAAATTTCAACACCTTGTTAATTTTTTTCATGGAAAAGTGAATCAATTTTCAAAATCTGAGACTACCTAAACCAAACGATGTTAACTCGCGATAATCTTCGAACTTCAGTTCACAAGTCTTCTGTGGCTTAAACATATCTGCATCGCGCGATTTGTCATTCCGTGTTTACTGTATATCAATGCGTAGTAAGTAATGAGTCAGCATACTTGACGAAATATATACTGAGTAACACAAATTAAAGGTTAGACGAAATGGGCGGGTACATTTAAGGATCATAAGATTCAAAAAAATATATCTATGTGTAGGTATAAAAACAATTAAGTCATCATTTACAAAAGCATCGCAGATCGCTAATGTGGCAAGTACTCCTGGTACTCAAATATTCCTAAAATATGTAAATATTACCCGACCCGTCCGTATCGACATCGACTTCAAGTTACCTCTTTATTGCGATTGTTACAGTCTACAGTGGCCTTCAGGACGATGCAGCGTATAGCGCACGCCACGCCGATTTTAGTAATTTCCAATTATACATCGGACTTTTATCGTTTACTTTTCCCGTTGTTGCCGGGATCAGAATCTTCTCAATGATGGAACATATTTGACTAACACTAAAGACGTAACATTTACAACCCCCTACCCGCTACAATCCCCAATTTTCAACCCTAACAAAAAAATTCAAAATGATTAGGAGCCTCTAGAACATCAAAAAACGAAGTTTGAGCGATTTTTATTTTCCTTTTTGTTTTTAACCTTTTTCTCTGCCGCCATTGGACCGATTTCCAAAAACTACAAAGCTTGTGCGTCCTTAGCATAATACTAACATTAACATTGTGTAAAATGAAGATTGAGCAGTATTTCTCAAGGTTTCAAGATTAGCCTACAGACCGACAGACAGACCGACGGAAATGAGTGAATTGGTTTTTTGTGATTACAAAACTTCCTCGCCCAGTGGCGTAGAAGGTAAAAATATTTGCAATGCAATTATATCATAGCTACTTATTTGGACTAAACCTAGTCTGGCTTTGAAGTGCAGATGTTTTGAATTTGATTATTTTTCCAAGAAGTCTCTGTGTAAGGCAAAATCCTAACTTTAAGAACATCCCAAAAAATCCTAAATCTGAAAAATACATCTTTCTATTCTGAGAATCGCCTCAAAAATGAGACAAGTCACGAAATTCATACTTGACAGCTAGAAGGAATAGTCTCCAGAAAGGCTGAAGACTAACTATCAGATTGTTGTTGTTTTTTTTTTAGAGATTAGTCAAGTAAAAAAGGAGTGATCTGTTGCTTGCAAATGACATATTTACCCTCTTTTTCACCAATAGCAGCTTGCGTATGTTTGACAACAGTCTCTGGAAGGGCTGAGATGGTAGCTTTGAGTTTATCCTCTGTTGGTATGGTCTCTGGAAGCATCAATGCCCGAGATAACAGCAGAAGTGATGGAGGCACTTTTTTATCCAGGCTCAAATCCAACCATTGTTTCAATTGTTGTCGTAACCGCTCTCACTTACACCATAAGCTCTCATACCCCTTGCTCTAGAATGAATATAATTTTTTGATGGTCATATCCGAGTTCAACGCACTATATTAGATAACTGTAACAGAGTTTCGCAGCGATGTTCAAAATTGCTCCCGCTAGACGGCGCTTGTGTGGTTGAAGGTGTTGGAAAAAAGGACAGATGACCTTTTTTTCGCATTTTGACGTAAAGCTGACCAGTGGGCAGATCTGGTATACGGACGGCTCGGCTTCTGGAGAGAGCTCTTACGGCAGGGTCTTTGGGCTATAGAATTAGGCTCTCACTGCCTCTCGGCGGATACTTATACTATAGTTGTAGTCACCGTTCTTGTCGGCAACGTCATCAATATGAAATAAGTAAGCAGATCGAGTCTCCGTACCATGAGTGGAACACTGCGCAGACTAATCTTCAGCGCATCTGCTACTCTCTCCAGTACGCATGAAGTGGGCAAGAGGGGACCGCCGTTTTCATTCCCTTCCTGAAATACTCTAATAAGTTTAGCACGAGATGTCGCCTTCTCATTGATCGTATTTCCGGGATTGTACAATTTTATATTGAAGACCACCCAAATTCAACGCCGATCTCAAGTATGTTGTCATCCTGACAAATATGATTAAAGGCAAGAGATATATAAGTGATACAGGTAGTTTTTTCTTTGACCTGCCAAGAAAGGTGACTAACAACTTTACCACTATTTTCCAGGCGGAAATCCATGCGATCTTGGCTTGCGTATCGCGCATTCTGAAGGGGGAAGGGCCTAGGGAAAGAATAACAATTTTCTCCGACAGCCAGGCTGCGATGAAGGCACTAAGTGCCTGCAAGATTACTTCGAGCCTTGTAATACAATTGCAAGGAGGTTATAGATAGTTTAGCAGCGAGGCATCCGGTATTGTTAGTCTGGGTACCGGGCAAGGGCGGATTCAGGATTTCGTCTAGGGGGGGGCGCAAACGATATTTGGGGCTTTTCATTTTTTAACCTCAACTTCTAGAATTAATCCTATTATTGCTCCTTAAATCCACTGTGTTCTATCTGGTCAAGGCCAGCTTGAAAAAAAATGGAAATTGCTCAGAAATCCTCAGAAAGCCAATATTTTATTATATGAGAACAAAATAAGTACCATGATATGATAAAAAGTAACACAATGGTGTTAGATTGCAAAGTCAAATGTCAGACGTCTAGGGGCGCCTCCCCACTAAATCCGCCAGTGGTACCGGGGCACGCTGGGATAAACGGTAATGATATGGCGGACGCTCTCGCGAAAGCAGCGGTCAAGGTTGTTGTCCTCAGCCAGCCCTGGTTGTTGATGGGACTGTTGGCGTCACCTGCAGTGATGAGAGTGGCTTGACGATCCCATGTGTGAGCACTGCTGGGTAGAGGAAGAGTCCTAGGCGCATGTTCTGTGTCTCTGTGAGGCTCTGAGTTACTACAGGCAGACTATACTGGGGTCAAACACTTTGGATCCCCAGAATGTCAAGGAGCAGGGAGCAACAGTATGTGGCCGATGCGCCGGCTCCTCATGGTGGCTGGTATGCTTCTAATTTCTTTATCATTCGTTCAAAACAGCTGATTGCTGAGCAATGTTCGACTCATGGAGCCTATATATTAGGAGAACCGGAGAAATGAGAAAAACGACAATTTGAAAGGGCAACAATGCTAAAATATGTTCTATTATTCTCATTCATATCAAAAAACAAAAGTAAAAATACGATATTTATCAAAATCAGTAGTGACGCACTGGAATTCATAATCATATTTCATTAGTTAGCTCTAGTTAGCATCTTATTTGCGATAAGCAATCCTGCCAAACTATTTAATATAACCGTCGCAAGGATCTTTAATATGTTATTAAAAGAACGTTTTTTGAACTTTTGACAGCATGTAACCTGACAACCAGACTTTTTAGGTCACACATTTACGATTAAATGTTTTACTGAAACATGTTTCAGGAATGGGCCCTTATAATTATGGCCTATGATTAACAACACCTTTATATACATGTCAACCACCATATTAGGTGCCAGTGTTGTCACCCCTAACGATGTTGCCATGTTACGAAATGTCATGTTCCTTTCTTTAAAACAAAATATGGTCTGATTAATTTCTTCTACTAGGCACACGAATGTGATGATGGAAATTATATGTGATCCTCAAAATACAGCATAGGGTTGGGCATTATCATGGAGAATTCATTAATTGATGCCTATAGTCATGATAGATAAAACAGAAATTTTGCATGACAAACCCTAGTTATTGGTGCGCTGATTCTGAATATGTTGACAATTTCGTTCTGGGACCGATGAATTAATCAAATAATTTAAATACAAGGAAAGGTGCAGTCAAATCCTCAAATGATTCACCTGCAAGCTGTTGAACCTCAGCTAATGTCAAACTGTCAACTCCCTCTTTCTGTATCATTTTATCATCTGCCGCTAAACTTCTCAACTTCATTCTCAGCTGGAAAACGTAGGAATTATTTGTGCCTAGTGGTTTGCACATCCAATACTCTACAGAGAGCTATCAGTTGACTCTTGATAAAGAAATCTAAGGTTATCTCATCTTCGAATAGCTTAAAATTTCATGATCTCATCCGTAGACAATGGGTTCACCTGGAAATAGAAAAACAAAAACTTACGGACTTCCACCAAACCAGATTATGAGTGATAAAAATAATTTTTTCTACAAACAATCAAGCAGTTCGTTTTACTGCTCGTAAACTTGCGCGCCAAGTAAAGTTTCTGAGAACCGACCGCAAAAGACAGCTTAGATGCTTCAGAGCAACAAAGTAGCAAAAACGCTCGTTATTGTAGAGAAACATCTATATGCAATACAAATTTGTATGGCTCTCTCGAGGTACTGCCATAATGTTCACGATGCCTGAACCAAACATTTTGTGAGCAAGAAAGTGAAACTTTTCTATAGCTAGCATTTCAACCTCACTAAATGATAAAAATGAAACAGTGGCAGATGTATTGACTTGTCTAAGCTTTTGACAGTGTCAATCACAAAATACTTATTGAAAAACTTTATAATTTTGGAATTAGAAGTAATTATTTGGAACTAATTAAATCCTATTACAAAACCGCACACAACAGGTTGTTGAAAATGATTCCCGGGGTAGGCTTATTGCTTCTGAAAAGATATAAGTCCTGATCCTTGGCCATTGCTGTACATCCCAATGAACTGCCTGGGGTGCCGGGTGAGCAGACCATTCTTTATGATGATGATACAACATTAATTTTTAGAACAAAAAATCATGATTGACAGGCGTTCAAAGGGCCTGTGGCGTACTTGAAGGGTATTTTTCGGCACATGATCTCTGTCTTAATGTGCCAAAAGCCCAGTGTATTTTATTTGGAAATGTATCTTAAAAAAATACAGATTTCGGGACAACAGAAAGCATGTGATAGGATTGACAGGTGACTGGCCTGAGGGGACGCACGTTGAGGATGTTGCATTGGGTGTCTTTGTGTGTGATGTTGGTCTCGACGCTGCCCTATCGGCATACCACGCGTTTGTTCGATCTAAGATTAGATATGGTCTGATCTTCTGAGGAAGCTCGCCGAATATAGGAGGAAAGGAGAGTTGCAAAAATCTTCATCAGTAGAAAAATTCTAACTGTTGTTTCTTTTTCTCTATTGGACGCTTTTATGTTTGTTTTTGAACACAGAGGTCTGTTTGACAATGCTACAAACATAACCACATGCCTAGGCATAAAGAAGATCTTTCCCAGATAAGTGTAACTTTAGTTTTATGTGCTCCACTGTTAAAAAATGTTCATTCAAATGTCGTAATTTACCGGAAATAAAAAAAATTAAAAGATTATCGCTAATTTAAAATTATTTAATCTCCAAGGCATTTTACTCATTGAATGATTTCTTTGAGGATAAGGATAGATTACTCTATGAGTAAAGTTCGAATATTTTGTACAACAGGGTATTATATCATTGTTGCTCCTTTACATAATTTTATTGATAAACTTGACTATATGGAAAATTGTTGTTATTAAATAGATTATTATTTATGATTGTGAAGGCACATGAATTCTTTGAAATTGATATTTCTTTTATAATTAATTTTAGCTAGCTAGTATACTTCTCTTTAACAATGTTCTATGCCTTGGCTTATGAATAAATAAAAAATGTTCTATCTATAATTACCAGCAAAAAATTAGCTTTGATATCAAGTTCCAGTATTTTTTCATGTAACAAATAACACATACATACTTCAGTATATCAATGTTTTAATTATTTAATTTAAAAACCTAGTTATAAAATATTTAGGTATTGAAAGAAGTATCTCCAATTTTCTAGACATACCCTGTAAGATTGTTATATTCATAACCTTGTAGGCAAAGATGAATTATATAATTCAATCCAACGATAAGAAAACAATTTGATAAAGAAATAATGAATCAGCAAATCAATAAACTCATTTCATTGCCCTTGTAACCTTCATAAAAAATAAGAATTTTCCAATGTCTTTCAAGCATGACTTTTCTATTAACATCAAAAATATTTTTTAGAATATTTCAGGGATTTTCAAGGCAATACAGATGATTCTATATTATCTATCTATTCTAGTTTACATAAAATCTTAATATTCTCATCATCTGATCAGCTTACATTAGTTGTTTAGGTACATTATCATAAATTATATGGCACACGATCAAAATGTATGTGAATCACTTTGTTTGTACATTGTAAATATGTATGTAAATTTCTTTGCAACATTTTTGTAGGCAGGAGTAGGAATTATAGATTTATAATCTAGCGTTCATGAATAATATTTATCTTATATCACACATTTTACTAATTCCTATTGACTATTCTAGTTCTAGTTCAATTTTGGAAATACATTTCTCATTGCATATGATATGCTATAACACATTTTGATAAAGTGTTATTTATACCCAACAATACAAGCTGTCTGTTGGAACTGTATCCCTATTCACATTGTCAGTCTGGTGCTATAGTAGATACATT